GTATGGCCAAAAAACTGATTTTTTTGTGCTTAAAATCACGTATACGTCTTTCGGCAGCAGATAGCCCGGTTTTGTTGCCGTTTCTAAGCTGTAACTTTGTCAAAACAAGACGCACGGCTAAAACAGTGACTGTTTTACGCAGCTAAGAACCAAAACTTGACACCCCTATACTTGCTTTTATCATTATTGTTCTGATATTTTGGTGCGAGCTCTGTTTTAAGGGCTAGAAAACCAGAAAACCGATTTTTAACAGAAATTTGCAATATTATTTTCGGTTTTTTAGCTCTAGCTGGGTCAAAACAAGTCGCACAGCCAAAAGAACGACAGTTTCGTGCTGCTAACGACAAATACTAACCACCCCTATCCCTCGTTTTTCGATTTTCGGAAAATGAATTTTGGCCCAAATTTCGCATTTTTGATAAGGGGTACCATCATCAAAATTTTCAAAAATGGGCCAAAAATGAAGTTTCCCAGATTTGAATGCAAACCAATTGGGAATCATGGCAATCAAGTTACGAGCCCTACGAGGTATTACATTCCTCATTTGGAGCATTTTTGGCTTCGGTATGGCCAAAAAGCTGATTTTTTTGTGCTTAAAATCACGTATACGTCTTTCGGCAGCAGATATCGGTATGGCCAAAAAACTGATTTTTTTGTGCTTAAAATCACGTATACGTCTTTCGGCAGCAGATAGCCCGGTTTTGTTGCCGTTTCTAAGCTGTAACTTTGTCAAAACAAGACGCACGGCTAAAACAGTGACTGTTTTACGCAGCTAAGAACCAAAACTTGACACCCCTATACTTGCTTTTATCATTATTGTTCTGATATTTTGGTGCGAGCTCTGTTTTAAGGGCTAGAAAACCAGAAAACCGATTTTTAACAGAAATTTGCAATATTATTTTCGGTTTTTTAGCTCTAGCTGGGTCAAAACAAGTCGCACAGCCAAAAGAACGACAGTTTCGTGCTGCTAACGACAAATACTAACCACCCCTATCCCTCGTTTTTCGATTTTCGGAAAATGAATTTTGGCCCAAATTTCGCATTTTTGATAAGGGGTACCATCATCAAAATTTTCAAAAATGGGCCAAAAATGAAGTTTCCCAGATTTGAATGCAAACCAATTGGGAATCATGGCAATCAAGTTACGAGCCCTACGAGGTATTACATTCCTCATTTGGAGCATTTTTGGCTTCGGTATGGCCAAAAAACTGATTTTTTTGTGCTTAAAATCACGTATACGTCTTTCGGCAGCAGATAGCCCGGTTTTGTTGCCGTTTCTAAGCTGTAACTTTGTCAAAACAAGACGCACGGCTAAAACAGTGACTGTTTTACGCAGCTAAGAACCAAAACTTGACACCCCTATACTTGCTTTTATCATTATTGTTCTGATATTTTGGTGCGAGCTCTGTTTTAAGGGCTAGAAAACCAGAAAACCGATTTTTAACAGAAATTTGCAATATTATTTTCGGTTTTTTAGCTCTAGCTGGGTCAAAACAAGTCGCACAGCCAAAAGAACGACAGTTTCGTGCTGCTAACGACAAATACTAACCACCCCTATCCCTCGTTTTTCGATTTTCGGAAAATGAATTTTGGCCCAAATTTCGCATTTTTGATAAGGGGTACCATCATCAAAATTTTCAAAAATGGGCCAAAAATGAAGTTTCCCAGATTTGAATGCAAACCAATTGGGAATCATGGCAATCAAGTTACGAGCCCTACGAGGTATTACATTCCTCATTTGGAGCATTTTTGGCTTCGCTCTGGCCAAAAGACTGATTTTTTTGTGCTTAAAATCACGTATACGTCTTTCGGCAGCAGATAGCCCGGTTTTGTTGCCGTTTCTATGCTGTAACTTTGTCAAAACAAGACGCACGGCTAAAACAGTGACTGTTTTACGCAGCTAAGAACCAAAACTTGACACCCCTATACTTGCTTTTATCATTATTGTTCTGATATTTTGGTGCGAGCTCTGTTTTAAGGGCTAGAAAACCAGAAAACCGATTTTTAACAGAAATTTGCAATATTATTTTCGGTTTTTTAGCTCTAGCTGGGTCAAAACAAGTCGCACAGCCAAAAGAACGACAGTTTCGTGCTGCTAACGACAAATACTAACCACCCCTATCCCTCGTTTTTCGAAAAATGAATTTTGGCCCAAATTTCGCATTTTTGATAAGGGGTACCATCATCAAAATTTTCAAAAATGGGCCAAAAATGAAGTTTCCCAGATTTGAATGCAAACCAATTGGGAATCATGGCAATCAAGTTACGAGCCCTACGAGGTATTACATTCCTCATTTGGAGCATTTTTGGCTTCGCTATGGTCAAAAATCTGATTTTTTTGTGCTTAAAATCACGTATACGTCTTTCGGCAGCAGATAGCCCGGTTTTGTTGCCGTTTCTAAGCTGTAACTTTGTCAAAACAAGACGCACGGCTAAAACTGTGACTGTTTTATGCAGCTAAGAACCAAAACTTGACACCCCTATACTTGCTTTTATCATTATTGTTCTGATATTTTGGTGCGAGCTCTGTTTTAAGGGCTAGAAAACCAGAAAACCGATTTTTAACAGAAATTTGCAATATTATTTTCGGTTTTTTAGCTCTAGCTCGGTCAAAACAAGACGCACAGCCAAAAGAACGACAGTTTCGTGCTGCTAACGACAAATACTAACCACCCCTATCCCTCGTTTTTCGATTTTCGGAAAATGAATTTTGGCCCAAATTTCGCATTTTTGATAAGGGGAACCATCATCAAAATTTTCAAAAATGGGCCAAAAATGAAGTTTCCCAGATTTGAATGCAAACCAATTGGGAATCATGGCAATCAAGTTACGAGCCCTACGAGGTATTACATTCCTCATTTGGAGCATTTTTGGCTTCGCTCTGGCCAAAAGACTGATTTTTTTGTGCTTAAAATCACGTATACGTCTTTCGGCAGCAGATAGCCCGGTTTTGTTGCCGTTTCTATGCTGTAACTTTGTCAAAACAAGACGCACGGCTAAAACTGTGACTGTTTTATGCAGCTAAGAACCAAAACTTGACACCCCTATACTTGCTTTTATCATTATTGTTCTGATATTTTGGTGCGAGCTCTGTTTTAAGGGCTAGGAAACCAGAAAACCGATTTTTAACAGAAATTTGCAATATTATTTTCGGTTTTTTAGCTCTAGCTCGGTCAAAACAAGACGCACAGCCAAAAGAACGACAGTTTCGTGCTGCTAACGACAAATACTAACCACCCCTATCCCTCGTTTTTCGATTTTCGGAAAATGAATTTTGGCCCAAATTTCGCATTTTTGATAAGGGGTACCATCATCAAAATTTTCAAAAATGGGCCAAAAATGAAGTTTCCCAGATTTGAATGCAAACCAATTGGGAATCATGGCAATCAAGTTACGAGCCCTACGAGGTATTACATTCCTCATTTGGAGCATTTTTGGCTTCGCTATGGCCAAAAGACTGATTTTTTTGTGCTTAAAATCACGTATACGTCTTTCGGCAGCAGATAGCCCGGTTTTGTTGCCGTTTCTATGCTGTAACTTTGTCAAAACAAGACGCACGGCTAAAACTGTGACTGTTTTATGCAGCTAAGAACCAAAACTTGACACCCCTATACTTGCTTTTATCATTATTGTTCTGATATTTTTCTGCGAGCTCTGTTTTAAGGGCTAGGAAACCAGAAAACCGATTTTTAACAGAAATTTGCAATATTATTTTCGGTTTTTTAGCTCTAGCTCGGTCAAAACAAGACGCACAGCCAAAAGAACGACAGTTTCGTGCTGCTAACGACAAATACTAACCACCCCTATCCCTCGTTTTTCGATTTTCGGAAAATGAATTTTGGCCCAAATTTCGCATTTTTGATAAGGGGTACCATCATCAAAATTTTCAAAAATGGGCCAAAAATGAAGTTTCCCAGATTTGAATGCAAACCAATTGGGAATCATGGCAATCAAGTTACGAGCCCTACGAGGTATTACATTCCTCATTTGGAGCATTTTTGGCTTCGCTATGGCCAAAAAACTGATTTTTTTGTGCTTAAAATCACGTATACGTCTTTCGGCAGCAGATAGCCCGGTTTTGTTGCCGTTTCTAAGCTGTAACTTTGTCAAAACAAGACGCACGGCTAAAACTGTGACTGTTTTATGCAGCTAAGAACCAAAACTTGACACCTCTATACTTGCTTTTATCATTATTGTTCTGATATTTTTCTGCGAGCTCTGTTTTAAGGGCTAGAAAACCAGAATACCGATTTATAACAGAAATTTGCAATATTATTTTCGGTTTTTTAGCTCTAGCTCGGTCAAAACAAGACGCACAGCCAAAAGAACGACAGTTTCGTGCTGCTAACGACAAATACTAACCACCCCTATCCCTCGTTTTTCGATTTTCGGAAAATGAATTTTGGCCCAAATTTCGCATTTTTGATAAGGGGTACCATCATCAAAATTTTCAAAAATGGGCCAAAAATGAAGTTTCCCAGATTTGAATGCAAACCAATTGGGAATCATGGCAATCAAGTTACGAGCCCTACGAGGTATTACATTCCTCATTTGGAGCATTTTTGGCTTCGCTATGGTCAAAAAACTGATTTTTTGTGCTTAAAATCACGTATACGTCTTTCGGCAGCAGATAGCCCGGTTTTGTTGCCGTTTCTAAGCTGTAACTTTGTCAAAACAAGACGCACGGCTAAAACAGTGACTGTTTTATGCAGCTAAGAACCAAAACTTGACACCCCTATACTTGCTTTTATCATTATTGTTCTGATATTTTTCTGCGAGCTCTGTTTTAAGGGCTAGAAACCAACTTGGCCCAACTTTTGAATTTCAAACTGAGAATGCAGTTTTGATAAGAATAAGAAAACAAGCTCAACGAGGTATTACCTTTATTTGGACCCTTATTGGCCAAGTTATGAGGAAAACACTGTCGAGCTTGGAAATACCAAATTTGAAACACTTTTACATATTATTTAGAATCTGTAGAAAGAATTTTCTGTACTTACCAAACCTCCAACTCCGGTCCCGTGCGATAGCTGGCGCCCATGTCCTTGGCCTCCAGAATGGACTGCAATATCCTCACCATATTCCCCTCGAAGTCCAGGGCCCATTGGTTCAGCGTGGACACCGCCACGGTTACTTTTCGTCCCATTTTGATGGCGTTTTTAGTTTTAGTTTGTGTTTTAGTTTAATTTATTTGTTTTCCACTGATTAAATCCCGTGTTCGGTTGGTTGGTTCGATTAACTTTGGTTCCTTTGTTGTTGTTACAGTTTCGCTTATTCTTATTGTCAGTTCAAAAAATCGGCAGTTATCAACTGAAAAATAGAAATGGAAAATTGCGAAGATAAGTGAAAGGTTTTCTTATAATTGTGGCTGTCCTGGCGGTAATGTACAATGCAGCTGCAATTAATTTGATGGCAGCGATTCAATTCGATGGACTACGTCGGCTCTCACGGCTTTTGGGTCTGTGTGGCATTGTTGATTGTTCGTTGTGTGTTGTTGTTATGGCCATAGTATCTGGGTTATTGATCAAACAGCCGCAGAGTCGCCGGTGGCAGCGGGTCTTCTACTATAATTTGGCCCGCTGACGTAGCCGGCATCTAAAATTAGAGCTAAGGACCAAAAACCAATGGCAACGGGACAGCGGCGGTAACCGGCGGATAATGCGACAGAGAGCCGCGAAAATCACTCAATTAACCCTCAAACTTTTCCAAAATTCAAACAAAAAAAAAGAAGCAAAAAAAGATTATGAGCCAAAAACTTGGCTAGAAGTTTTCTACTGCAGAAATTTTGAAAAAAAAACCTGAGTTGTTTCTATTTTTAAGACTATAGAAAATATTTAATAAAATTACTAAATTAAATATAATTTATTGTATTTCATGGACTGTCAAGTATTAAGAGTAAATCAAATATTTGTTTGGGTTAAGAAGTCTATTGTGGGCTTAACCCCAGGGCCAACAATTAACCCTCGCTAGTGTGTTGCTCTTCAGAAATTCCGCATCAAGTTGAGGAATTTCCGGTGCTTTAGCCACTTCCTTTCACACCCACACGGCCCACTTTTGCCCACTTACACGTGAGCATACCCCCGCTGTGTTTTTCCCCCCCATTACTTCACCTATTCCCTGCTGTTACCACAGCTCCATACATCATACATCATTCGTGACGCACTTTTGGCATTTTAAGCTGAAAAATTGAAAGCCGAACGAAAAATGTCTGCACTGTGAAAAAAGTTCTTAGTAAATTAATAATAAATAGATAGCTTTTTACCTTTCCTTCAAGGTTTTACTTTTTGAACATTTACTTAGACTTTTCACCATTTGTTGCCCTTAAAAATCTGCCAATCTCAAGCTAAAGCTAAAGCTTTAAAGTAAACATTTCTTTTCCACAATGTTGCAACACCCGCCTTCTGCCTCACTTAGCCAAAAAAAAAGGAAGAAGAAAACCTTATGCAAATTTACTTTGCCAGGCAACAAAAGTTTAAAACACGCAGCGTACACACACACATGCCACTACCCATACCCATGCATGAATGCATGAGGTGAAATTTCGCATAAAGTTCAGAGTTCATTTAGTTTGCCCGTAGAAGTCGCGCATATTTCATTTCTCCCAGTCTGATGGCTGACAGGAACACTCTGCCCAACCCAAATTGAAATCCGTATCCAAACTCAAGACCCCACATCACCTACCCATAAAAGTCTGACAAAGTTGCGTTTAGGATTTTTCGACGCCTCGGCGTTTGTGGAAATGTGTGAAGATGGACTGTCAGTTGCAGTGCTGCCAATTTTATTCAAATAACAAGAAAAGACGTCTGGGAAACTAGGAAAACTAGCTTTTTTCGAGATATGCACTCAAGAAAGAAAGTTTGTTGAATTCGCAAAGAATAAACTTATAAAAATTATTGAAAATATGTAGAAATATAGGTATGTAGCATTTAAGTTTTCATAGCATACTTTTTGGGATATTCAAAAGCGAAAAAGTGAAATTTATATATAAAACTAAAAGCTGTAAGTGTAACCAATTTAGGTATTAAAATAGCCATAATAACAACACTGGTCAGGTGTACGGGGAATGTGGGCACTGGTGGGAAGGAGTGGCAAATCGACATGCGAGTGTGTGTGTTTGTGTGCGAGTGTGCGTGTCGCAAGTGAAATGCATTGAACTTTGAACCTCGGCGAAAGGGCAAAGCTTCAGGGCAAAGAACAAAAGGCCGACCGTAGAGGTAAAGTGAAAAAGAAAAAAATATAAAAAAAAAACTGCAGCTGGAGAAAGCGGGAATGCAGAATGCAGAATGAGAAAAAACTTTTGCCAATTGGCAGCCAATTTTAATGGCACATAATCAGCAATGGCAGCAGAATGGATGGTATGTGGGGGAATCCGATAAATATGCCGCCAGTACATACGATTATCTTTATATAAGGGGTGTCGATTTCCAACGATTAATTTTTGTAAAGTAATAAAATATTAGTAATATTTCTTATTCAATATGTTATCGACCATTCTGATGCTCTAAAGCCAGCATTGACATGAATTCTAAAAATAAAATGTCAAGAAATTGCATAAAAATATTTGAAAAATTGTCAAAGAGATGTTATAGCCTTGCAGATTTTTTTACATTTTGTGAGCAATTTTATAAAGCCAGCTTAGGGTTATATAAAGATATATTCGTAAGTATTTCTGGAACTATTCTATAAATAAATCCTGATTTTTCTATCAATATTTGGTTATTATCTAGAAAAAGGACACACACATTCAGCAGCCTATATGATTTCAATTCCAGATGGGCTTTTAATCTAAAATATATAAAACAAAGATACAATATTCCAAGACTATGCCCTGAGGACACCCTGTTTCCCTATGGACTCGCATGTGCATTATGGCCCTAGGTGCTGGCACGCCAGGCGACCTGCACTTTGGGCTTGCCAGAGGATCCGGGACAAACGGGGGATGTGCAAGTGGAACTGGAAATGGAAGTGGGACTGCAACTGGAAAAAGTTGTGAGAAGACATGGACTGGGACTGGGAGAGTCATTGGCAGCGGCGCCGCATCCTGGAGCTGTGTTGCTGCCGCTTTCCGCTGATAGCTGCCACTAATGCAACTAATTCGCTTTGATTTGTTTGCCAGCCCGCGTCGCATTGTCACGAAGTGTTTCCCCCGTTTCCTTTACAACTTTTCCGAATTTTCCGGCTTTTCCGGGCGGCAAACGGATCCCATCCGGTGGCCAGTAGCCAGTTACCCGGTATCCGGCATTGGGCGCCGTTCACCGTTAACATTTGCCGCTTGATTCAAGGTGAAAATACCGTTACAATGGAGTTGTACACTGAGAAAAATACTAAGAAATGAAATGATGATCGATACCAAAAGAGGCAAAGAGAATCGTACCAGAAACTTTTTTTTAAGTAAATAATTGCAAGGAAAAGAAAAATCTTTTTTCAGCAACATCAAGCTCTTTCGTTGGCCATCTTCAAATAGTCAAATTTCTTTAAGTGTATAGCTAAGATATGCTGTGAAAAAGTGAAAAACAAAAACTTCAGCAAGACAATCATAGTAAGCCGATCATAGTAAGCCGATTCAATAGCCGGAGATTAGGAGGCTCTGATAATTCAGTTCGATTCGGCCCTCAACACACACTAGACAGCTCATCCACAAAATACCCCATCCGAAACCTGTTTAACTTATTTACACCCCTTTAGTTCTTCATAAAACACACATGAACACACGACAAGGGACAATCCTATTCCAAATCGAAGGCAAATTCAGCACAGAGCTCGTCCATTAATCGCATCCCATCCTAATCCCGTGAACTCCTCGGTACATCTATTGAACATTCGCAAATCCGAGTGAAGGTCATTGGCAAACTTTCAAGAACCTGAGAACGCAGAACTATCTGGAGGAAAGATTATCTTCTTTGGGAAGTAAAATGCAGAAGGGCGTCAAGGATAAGGAGAACCGGAATGGACCGGAGATCACTGACTTCCATCAACAGCAACCGCCATCAAAACAAAGTGAGGGTGAGTGGAAAACTTTTTTGCCCTCCGCATTAAGCATAGATTATATCCGATTATATCTTCGATTAGTTCTTATAATACTTTCTTAGAATATGAAATCAATCAGATATTATCTTATCAAGGCTTAAAACTATCTTCTTGTTACATATAAATGTGATTTAAAAAGCTTAAACATAAGATTTGCTTTAAGATTGATAAAAATATAAAATTATGATGAAAATTATTGAATAGGCCATTAGATCGAATGTATATATGGTATTTCCTATCTAAATAAACCATTAAAGTGCATTTGTTCTTAGTTCTAATCAAATATCTAGGCAACTAGCTGGCTTAAAACAATATTTAAGCTTCTACAAATCTCATCTTAAGCCCAATCTATTAATAATACTTTTGTCAAAGCTATTAATCAAAGTCCAAAGTTAACTACCATAATCAATTAGGCAAATCCCTTGATACTAAATCAAAGTTTGGGATATTTTTCGCTTGCCTATGCAAAAAAAGAAAAACAACTTTCATTTTGCCGCCGTAGTTTTGGCTTTTAGCTGGCATTTGACGTACCTGACGCCTGACGTCCACCGTAAATAGTTGCAATATTGTTTCTTTTTTCGGTGCCGGCGTCTATTTTCGTCTTGGGCTCTAAATGCATATCAATAACGGCGAAGCGGAACACTTGCCGCTCCGTTTTTTGTTGTTTTTCTTATTTTTTTTTTGGCTCCTGTCACTGTCTTTTACTTGGAAAAACGTTGGGGGGGTTCTTCACATAACCCCCCCGGAAATCCGGAAATACCAAGATAGTCTTCACTGTACTGCGGGCGGCCGCAGCCAAAAAAGAAATACAAAAATAAAGAGCAGAACAGGAAAAAAATACTACACGAAACCATTGAGCAAACACAACAAAAATTTTGGTATATGAAAAAGAACAAAGGAGACGCAACCAATTGGTGAGGCAAAATGACATGCAAGCGACGCAAGGCTATAATATGGTAGGCATATATATATATAATAGGGATCGGAAACAGAATCGGGTGTTGCAGCAAGTGTTGGTCCTGGGTTTGGGTAACCCTGTGGGCCTAATGACGCATTGCAGACAAAAACGATATGACGCCTCGTGGCAATATCCGGCGGATATGACTACTTGACTTGAGGTGGGAAATATGGCTATACAATGATTATTAATCGATACTTGCCACATATCACAGATTATCTTTTACGATTAGTGATAGCTAAGGCGCAATATCGTGACTATATCATATATAAATTCCTTATAACTATCAATGATCATAAATCATAATAGAAAGGTTATCATTTACAAGAAATTACATGCACTTTAAAGAACCTTCAAGGGTTAAGTTAACTGCAAGCTGCAATGGCTTAATCAGGCGAAAGGGGATCTCTGGCACATTTTGAAAGCGTTTCCCTTGCGTGGCGCCACCACCACCACTACCGCCAAGTCATTGAGATTGAGCCCGCCCGTAAGGACCTCTTCTCTAAGGACGTCCCGCCGCTGCCAGGGCGCTGTCAAATGCCAATAAGCCGACATCGTCTCCATCTCCGGCAAAAACAACCGAGCTAAAGCTGAAAAATTGGTGCCAAGCGGGCCATGCAAAAAACACACAAAAAAAAATTGTATAAAAAAAACCGGAGGAGCTGGATTGAGGGGGGTTAAGAGTGGGAATCGGTATTGCGAAATCAGCTATTTTTATCGTTATTTTTGGCTTCTCTAAGATTGATTTTTGTATATAAAGATAAGGATAGATTCTAAGTTAAATATATATGAATTTTGGTAGTTGGAGGTAAGAGAGAAAGATCAAATATAGATCTTGAAATCTGTTAATCTTTCTGCCTATAACCATCCATGTGGAATGCCATATATTTTAGCTTGTACTTTGTAAAATGCTTATTTCGAAATTGCGGCCATCTGTCATCGCCAAAACAAATCCATGTGCCAAAATTTTGCCAAATTCAAATAAAACATAAATGCAAAGTCTTTAAAACGCAACTGTCGTGATGAATGGCTGCAATAATATCCCAATTTTAAAACTTAGAAATATGTGTTCTTTATGAGTTCTTTATATTATATTAAAGGTTACCTTCAAAATTTAAGATATATTTATTAGAACTATAAACACAAAGATCCTTTCATTTTAAACATATTTATTCTCCTAATAAAAATGTCCTCATCACTGATGTAAATCGCTCACGCGCAAAAAAGTAGGCAGTACAAAATTGTGGAAGGGTGAAAAGTGCAGATTTCTATGGAATGGCAAAACGTGTGGCCCATATAAGCATTTGTCCCGGCTCAAACGGGATTTAGTGAGCATATTTTTATAATATATTTTAAAATTGCAAAACAAATGCGGTGGGTGGGAACAAAAAAAAAAGGGGGGGCAAAGATGTCTGGGTGGCAATAGTGGTATTGGATGAGGGCTAGGACTTTGCTGCGCTGTTTATAGCCCATGTCGTGCGCAATTTATGTTAATCACGGCGGAGTTTCAAAGGGGCTGTGGCGGAGGGGATTACAAAGGGTGAAGGGGTTAGGATGCCCCCTTAACCTCCCAATGTGCCGCCCCGTAGCCTCCTTCTTCCCTGCCACGTGTAGTAGGCCTACAACAAAATAACGAAAAACTGTTTTTTGTTGTTTTTCTGGGTTTTCTTTTAAATACTCTAGCAGAAGGGTATCATAATTTTAAGATAAACTTTCAATTTTAAAAGAATATCCATCAAAGATTTAAAATTTGAGTGCCTATCTAAAGGTCCATAAACTTTCTATTCTCTTTTCCAACAAATTGATAAGAAACTTGATAAATATACGTATTTTTTGGTAGTAAACCATCATTCTAAGTTTCTCCTGGTCATCATATCGATGTAGTAGTGGCTTGATAGGCTTTCGATTGAGGGTATATCCTTGTTCGTTCCTTTTAAGCGGTGTTTTCAATTTGTTTTTGTATTGTTGTTTTTTGTCGGTGCCTTGCACAAAGGCAACGCCGTGGCAGCAACAATTTTAATGCCGTGGTTTACTGTGATTCGCAATTTCGCCAAAGGCAGCGACGTCGATGCCAAAGCTGGCAGAGGCCACCATTGTCGTCCGCGTTGGTTTTGCAGCTCAGTCAGCAGTTGCGCTAGCAGCTGAGCTGTGCTGAGCAAAGAAGAGAAGAACAACTCGGAGATAAACCGTTACTTAGGCTGGACAGGCACGCGCGCGTTGCTTTTGTGTTCTAGTGTTTTCTTTATTTTTTTATTGTTGTTGGAGTGCATCCTTTAAGATGACGGAGAGGGAGGTGGTGACCACCTCCATTAGCCGTCTGCTAAGAACCTTGAGCTCAGCTTCGATGAGCCGACGTCGCTGCCCCCTTGCCCTTCTGCAGCCTATGCCAGTGCGCCAAAACGAGATAGAGTTGGCAGTGGAGAGCGTGGAGTGTGTGGAGAGATGCTGCAGCAGCTGCAGCGATGAAAGCAACAACAATGGTCGGTCCAAGAGCGAAGAGAGGGAAACAGAAACAGAGCTAGAAGCTGGCGATGTAGGCGATGAGGAGGATGAGGAGGAAGAAAAGGGGAAGTTGGAGGCCAAATCCAAGGAGGAGAAGGAAGAGGTGGATGAGCTGGAGATGAAGAGAGACAGTACCGTTAATGTGAATGTGGTGAGAGCCAACTTCAAATGCAATGACATGGAATGCTCTCTAGTCCTCGGCGACTATGTGAATGGTGAGTCCCGTTAGGTTCACCATCTTCGACACCGAGAAAAATTAGTGATTTGTAATGATAATATATTAAATATAACTTTGGAAGATTTTTACATTACATTACCACCATTAAAAGTAGCAATTTTAAAATGAAGCACAAGATCTTTTATGTATTGAAATAATTTAAAACCGATAAGTTTTTTCTTTCGGTGCACCCTCCTTTTTGTTTCCCCCATTCGCCCACTCAAGATGTTCACTCAAGCGCTGTCGACAGATAATGAAGATTCAATTTGATGTGTTAGCAGAAAAAGCGGAACAAAAGAAATCACTCAAGAAGGTTATGCAAGAAAGGGAGCTTGAAAATATCCTTTAAATATTTGTGATGCCTAAAATGGTGATTTTTGGCTAAAGATAAAAATATCTTCGTGAAAGATTACTTGAAATGCTTGAAAGTGAAAGTATGAGTAAATTTTATGAAATATTTAGATGTCGCTGAGCGATTATTTTGTCTCCTTCAGGAATATAGAAAATCTATTGAAATGATTCTTAGAAAATAACAACTGACTCACTTTCTCTAGAGCTGGCACATCAAACGACACAGATATCCATTGGGAATATTATTATTTAGCAAAATCATAATTCGCTTTTCACTTCCAATTCGTGTACATCATTTATCTCTGTCACAATTATTATACAGCTTCGAAATAGCTGATTCGGGTGATTTTATTTTTTGTGTGAACAAAAACACACATGTCGGCTGCTGCCAAAATATGGCAAACGGAAATTTTTAATTGCAATTTGTTAATTTGCCCAAAGCAGCCAGCTACCCGAAAAAAAGTGCTACTATAGATACTGGCTAAGAGAACTCTTTAAATCACAAATAATAATGTAATTTGAACTTTTATCTATAGTTGGGATTAATATATCTTAATGATATGTTCTTAGTGAAAATCAATTCTAATTTCCAATCATTTGCTAATATATCTCCTTTACTTTAATACACATATAATAGTTTTAATACTTTTAGCCATAATTCACTGTAAATTTGAAAATTGTGGCAAAGTTCTTGGCAGAAAAATCGGGGTTGGGGTGGCGAAAGCTAATCGCTGGCACAATTCGATGATTGACGAGGGCCAAGAGGCGCAGGGTCTCGCAAAAGTAGGAGGGGCGTTGGGGGAGAAGCAAGGAAAAGCGAGGAGAATGGTTAAAGGAGAAGTACGGGGAGTAGAAGGTGGACGGCATGCGTTTACGGTTCGGTTAGAGAGTCTTCTTTTCGCCTTGGCAGTCACGGCGTCTTGCCAAAATAGAAAACACATAAATTGCACGATCAAGATCATTGCTGTTGCCTCTTTCGTGCTGCTGCTGCTGCAGGTTTTTCTTTTCAAAATACCCTTACAGAGGGTATGGAAACTTTATGTACTGATATTATATAAAGTTTTAAGATCTTTAATGTTTTTTCACTTATTGTTATTAATTTTCTTTAAGAACTATTTGATCTTGAAAATCTAATACAAAAACTTGCGAAAGGGCACATAGAATTCATCATTATTCTAATCGCTTTCGATTCTTCTGATTCTTCTCGCTTTTCATCCAATTCGATGACATAATCCCATAGGCAGAAAAATAGGTGAAAAAGATAGGAAAAATGGGTGGACAGAGGGAAGATGAATGGAAGAAGGGAGGACGACAGAGAGCAACTGATTAAAAGTTTGTGCTTTCTTTTTGCTCTCTTTTCTCGCTCTTTGACACCTGTTCGTTTTGTGTCCGCGTAGGCAGCTGACAGCTGCTGCTGCTGCTACTGCTGCTTCTGCTTCTTCTTTCCTGCTCTTCCCACAAAAGTTTCCCACGGTTTCCCAACGCCCTCGCCCCCTTTTTCATCATATCCCTCCGCATTTAGCAACGATTTTCCACTGCCGTCGAATGAGCGACTTTGACAAATTTGTGTGGCATCGAGGCTTTGCTTTGATTTGTTTTGCTTTTCTTTTAACTTTTCTTTTTAGCTGCGACTATTTTGTTTTTCTTTTTCTAATGGCTTTTCTGGCTATTAGGAAAACGCAAAAGCAGCACTGATCAGCCACTGATCGCTAGGGAATAAGTGGCTAAATTGTTTTCCAAAATCAAAGAAATGTGGGGCATTGGCTATGGGGAAAATTATGAATTATTAGCAAGTATTTGCTGTGAGTTTTCCGAGCGTATTCAATTAATCTTTGAACTGATACTAGCTGTAGGTTATTTAAACTATTTTACGTATTATAATGGATTCCATAGTCTAAACTAGAACTATCTCGATATTTAGCGAACAAACCATAGAATGTTCGGTGTAAACGTGACCTGGAGTTGTATTCGTAACTGTGAATCGCTCCGCCTTCGGCAAACATTTGTTGCTCGTTAGAGTATGCACAAAAATTCCACGAACTGTGTTTTTTTTCTTTATTTTTTATACATATATATATATAGTTTTTTTTTTTTTGGCGTATCCAAGGCTGGTTGCCTTTGGCTTTGGCTTTGTTTGAGCCATCGAATCGAATTCATGTTCACGGCATGCCATGGATAGATGACTAGGATGGTTAGGATGGTTGGATGTATGGATGGTTGGCTAGTTCATAGATATGTACGGATGGGTGGTGTATTGTGTATGGGTATGTGTGTAGAATGCCAGGACTACCTTGCACTTCCTTGGAACATTAGACAACGAGAGAGTGTGCGAGAGAGAGAGCGAGCTAGTAGCTCTAGCTTAGCGAGGCTTTGTTTATTTGTTTATAACAGTCGCAGTGGAAATTCGAGTTGGCTCACAACGGCTCGAATCATCGACTGCGACTCAGTTTGGCCAAATCAGTGGTTATCATTTGACGACGCAATGCGAAACGAGTCGCAGAAAAGGCCACCAAATATCCAAATATCCTTTCAAATCGGTTTGCAAAATAAATACATATAATAATAATAATAATGCCGGATATTGCCACGCTCTATGGCGATTGCATAAGGACCTAAGGCAATATAAAAAAAAGGATATCAAAAATAATCCAAGTGGTTTGCATTTTTTCGATGTGTGCCAAAAACTAGTGAAGCGAGTGAAATCAATCAGTGGTAGTCTGTGTGCTCCCATTGTAAATCAAATCAAAACCCATAACACCGCAACGGTCTTCCTCTTGGTCTTCCCATCATAATGCCGTAAGCATCGAAATACTATAACCTATATATATGATGGACTTTGGAGGCGGTCGCGTGCAGTTTCTGCAGGCCCAGCTATTTCCCGTCTGCACGCTGACCACGTCGAGTGGAGGTAATGGATTGTATTATTCATAAATAACGTATATATATATATATATACTATATTACTTTTGTTCAAATATATATTACTGTGCACTTTGTTAGAAAACATTATTACTGTAGTACATCTGAGAAAAGTAGTCGCTTTAAGTGCTTTAAGTTAATCTCAAAATCTTTTAACTAACATTACTTAAGTGACTGTTAAACCGGTGGAATAATCTTTAAATTATCTTTAACATTTTTTATAAGAATGAATATATATTTATACATATCATAAGTATATATTCTACCTATTGGTTTATATCATTGCCTAGATTAATTTGTAAAATTTATCATCAGCAACCAGACATAAGTTTAAATCGCTGTCAAATTATTTCAAGTTGCAAATTCAATTCATAATACAGTAGAACTTCTGTAACTACGAACCATATTTGTTAAACAAGCATGGATTTAAATCAAGAGCAATCATTTGAATTCGCCATAAATATTTTATAACTCTTTTTAAGTGGAATTTTTAAACTTAAACTTAAACATATTTTCAATAATATTTCATGTACTCACTTTCAATTTGTTGTTAGTTGAGTTTGTTGTTCCTGTTGTACGAATAGATTGTCTAAGGGCACCTCGGTGTTGTTGTTGTTCGTTAAGTTGTTGCTGTTTTTGTTAGTTCACTGTACTACATGGCCAGCATTTGGGGGAATTTTTTGAATGTTTGTGGGCCTCGATTACTATCCACCCGGCCGCAGGAAAGTTTCGTTGCAAGTCGTTGTTCGATTGGATCCTTAAAGCGCCTTCCCTCCTCTATATTCTTCTTTAGCCCTTCTTGGCCCACCTGGAATCGGATAAAGTGCGGATAAATGGGTATTAGAATTAGCCGCAAAACTGTTTGATTTTAGTTGCCACTTGCGGCTGTCATGACAACGGCAACACACAAAATCATTAACACAGAAATTCCGGAATCGCAATTGGGAAATCAAAGTCCGTTGCCTGTTGTCAACCAAAGAAAGTATCTATATATCTATATAACTATGTAGTATAGAAAAGGAGGTATTCGAACCCATTTCAGTTCATTGAATTGCTATTAATGATAATTTACCTGCATAAATCAAAGCCGCAGGCAGTAAACTCATTAATGTTCATTGACTTGGGGCCCTCGACTGTTTGATTATATCTAGCGTGGAATATTGCTCGGTTTGGGGATCAATCTTATGCAGGCCTAGAATCCAAGGTGGTTACGATTTAAGGGGGCAATTACATGTATCTAGGTTATTGTTATTGCATTGTGGAACGTCCAAAGGATGCGAGGTTAATTATTAGCTCTTGGAACTTAGGGATCCGATTAGGTTTCTATTAAAATATAGTTTCCATGGGTTTTTTAATATAACTATTTGTTTAAGTTATCAGATATATTAACTAATATTTTTGTATTGTTTTTGAATTACTTATTTAACATAAAACCAAAATTAAACGATTAACAAACTCCTGATCAAACCGATATACCCCAAAAACCATGACCATTATTTATAGAAAAATCTGCTGGGGGGCAATACCATAAAAACGTCTGGAAAAACGGCAAACAAAGAAAATGTTACAACGGTATTTATTAAACAATTTTCATGAGAACGCAAATTGCTCGAAAAAAAAAACAAAGAATGACCTAGGCAAAAAAGCGAAAAGAAAGCCTGGCGAATAAAAATTGTGAAATATTGTGAGGTGGCAAAAATATTGCGCTTTGGGGATCGGCTTTTATTTTGTTTTGGGATCTGCCGAGTTTTCATTGTACGGCCGCCTCAAAGGCATTGGCCGAATGCCTGCGATTGGGATAAACAAAATGCCATAAATATTACGAATAATAATACAATTTAACTAAATAATATGCAACGGCTGTGCAATTAGAGGGGATCGGCCTGCAGATCTTCGGTTCTCGATTGCCGCCTGCATTTGAGCATAAAAATTTAATTAACGCCAAATTCCTGCTGTCGTTTTTCGGCCAACGTCTGCGTTGGCGCAACAATTGAAAACTGAAAGCAGAGAGATAGCGAGAGAGAGAGAGCTTTCAAATTGCTAGCCCTTTCATTTGGCTGCCCCTGCATTTCCCCTCCTTTTAACGCTTTGTTATGAATGAACGCGTAATGTTTGCCCTTGTCCATTTAGCCAAAACCACTGATTGGTGTGAAAAGTGCCATTGTTATTGAAAAATCTGATGCACTTTTTAAATACTATTTTTTTGGAATTATTTTATAATAAGGATCTTTTTTATAAACTAAATCTAAAAAATTCACTTTATGTTTCAGTTAGAGTGCAAAAAGTGTTGCATATCTTAGAGGGTTTAGGCTGATTTTTTCCTTACAAGTTGAAAGTTGATTTTCGTTATCTTAATATACTCTACAATCTTGAAAGTAATAATTCTAAGTGTAAATAACAAATCCAGGCGAAAAATGATACTTAAAAGCTCGTCAAATTGCGGTCCAAAGCAAAACCACATATAAAATCAACAATAATAAAGAACCTCACATGTGTAAAGAGGGTTGGAATATGGTGAAAGGTCAAGGTCGCCGATTGAGCTTTGTCATTCCATTTAAACTGCAGCTGAAGTGGTTGAATGGTGGATTTTGTTTTGTGGTAACAGCTCAGGGATAAGTGCCACTTCGAATGGCAAGCAAATTTCAAAAGTTTTAAGTTTAAAGTTTAAAACTAAATAAATCCTTTTGCAATTTTATATATATTCACCATATTTCAAAATGAAAAATACAAATTTAAATTTAATTTTTTGCTCTTTTTGGAATATTTTAACAAAATTATAAATTTAACTTATTCGTTTTTATACTTTTTAAGATATCTCAAAATCTTTCTAGTGTTAAAACGAAGTTATCTTCCTAGGGTTAATGAGTCCAGTTTTTAGAGGATATTGCATATGTATTTATTAAAGATCACTCACGCACAGAAGTCCCCTTTTATCTCTAGCTCTCTCCTGCACACATACACTTCGCCAAAACAGCTGTAATGGGAGAACTTCAAGCGAAAGCTTCGTTGAACAATAACATTGGCAGCAAACCCAACACACAGACAAACGCAGGATAACGCTAATGGCAGAGAACAGCTGAGCGCGAAGCTTGCGTCGGCAGCGAAAGTGCAAAAGCTCTCTCACACTTTCTCGCTGTCCCTGTCTTTCTAGTCTCCTTAACCATCCCCCCTTTCTGTTTCCTCCTGCTCTTTCGCATTAAATAATATTCGCAGGCAGCAGCGCGACGCCAACGGGAGACGTCGACAGCGACGGCAGCAGAGCTGAGCATTCCACATTCGCTTGGGTTTTCTGTTTTAGTCAACAACAAAACGCGCAACGGCCAACGACAAAACAAAATTAAAAGAAAACATTCAAAATTCTGAAAACAAAAACCAAAATAAAACCGAGACAAATTCAAAACGTAATCATAATTTTCAACGAAAAGTTAAAAAGAAACACTAAAAAAAAATATATTTTCGATAAGAAACTTTTTAAAAACATTTTAAGAAATCCCCGCAAATATTTGAAAAGTGTGCCGCGATTTATCGGTTTTCTATAGCTTGTCTATATTAGTTTTCTATTTCCACTTTTTTTAGATTTGTTTTTGATTTTTTTCTGTTTTTTTCGAGTGCCACAAATTTTGAACATCGTTTGTCGCAAAAAAAAATTAGAAAACACAAAAAACGGCAACAAAAATCAGCTAATACAAACAGCTGTGCGAGTGCCAACCCCCTTTCTTGAACGCCCCCATCCGCCACCCACCAAAATTTAGCGTCTTCCTCTGTTTTCGTTTCGCTTTTTTTTTTGCGTTTTCGAGATCGTTTGGAGGAGTGAGTTCGGAATTCTGTGCCGGTAAGAACATTTCTTGAGGTTCATTTGGGGTTACACAGAAAGAAAAGCATTACAGATATAGGCTGTATCTAATCTTGAGATTAACTTGTTGTTTAAAAGTGAAATTTATCATAAAATATGCAAATTTTAACTAGCATATCTATAATTCTAATTAGTTTGAATGGCAATCCATTTCAAATACTTGTCATAAGTTTGTATATCAAGAAATGCCTTTTTATATAGAGTAATAAGAACTAAGAATAGCACTCAAAATATATCAACACCAAGATTAAGGACTATATATAAACTATATATTTGTTAACATGTCAATATACAAATAGAAATCCCATCAATTTGCACTTCATAAACGTTCTTATCTCTGTTATATCAACACATGATACTTTGACATCTAATATAGCTTGTTATTATCGCTCTTATCTGTGAAATATCAACATTTAGAGGACTTAATGAATAAGTTGTGGGATAAATAAGAAGAAAACAAACAATTATTTATATCTAACATTAAGTTCTTCGCACCTATTTGATATATATAAAAGAAAGCTATATAATTTTTATATATTTTGAAAAGGTGACGATTCCGATATGTAAAAACCCAAAACAAAATGTTTAAAATCCATTTCTCAGGTGTATTTTTCTACTTTAAACTAAGATAACGAACATATTAATCATTAGAACAGTTTTTTTTGCAGTGCATTTACATAGAACCATTCAAAATGAGCCATGAACAATTTGACATACTTATGCTCAAGTGCTTCCACTGAAAAATCAACTGAATAATCCCCTCGACAGGTTCCCAAAATAATTGCCAGAAGATACCAAACAGAACTCTTGAAAATGTTGATTTAAGAGATTTAAGTTTTGGCTACTTAAATTTGTTAGATGTAAAGAATATTAAAAAAACATTTTGGACAATCTTTGTTCCTGATTTGGACTTCAAATTAAATGATTTAAAAATCTCTTACAAAAATCTGAGCTATATAATCCCCTTCTTAATACCTTTTTCTTTGTTTCAAATAATTTCTTTGTCTTTCACTCAGTTCTTTGTTCCATTCCTCTTTTTGTTCAACAATTTTGTTTATGATTTATTCCTAATTTCCTAGGCAAAAGACAAAAATCTTTAAAAGCCAACCAACCATAATTTTACGACCTTTCTTTTAAGCTTAAATTTAACGCGAGCATAAGCCATAACCAAATCCATTAAAAATCCCCCGCGGGACATAAACATAAAAGAAAGTTTAAAAAAAACTGAAAATTATTAGCGATATTAATCGACTTGACAGGATCTAAATGGCTGGCTGCTGCGGAAAAACTTTTTCGCTGGAAGCCCCTTAAAAGATTTACAGTTGCCAGACATTAGCCCATTCCCCTTCTACCACGAATTTTTCGCCTTTCCAGCGAAAAATTGCAATAAAAGAAGCCAATGAGGAGCACAAAACATGAGCAAAAAAAAAAATGAAAACAAAATCTTGCTTTTATGTGCTAATAAAAACCGACTAAGCAGACTCACACACAGCCATAGAAAGCGAAAAAAAAGCAAGGAAAACCAAAAATTAATTAACAAAATATGTTGCACTGGCCTGGTGGCAAGACAAAAGGAAAAGCGAAATGAAAACGAAATATCTTTTCCACACACCAAACTTTACTTGGTTGGCTAAGGGGGGAATCCCCCGCACATATGGCAATTAATTGTTGTTGACAAAAGACGCCGAAAAATGCCGCTAATTTAGGCCATATTAATGGCGATTTCCTGCGCCTACCCTCTAAACTTTTTTGGCTGGAAGAGGAGACAACTTTCTTTCTATTTTTCTTAAATATTTTTTTTTTTTTGGCACGACAAATGTTTATATAATTGCTGACCCAGTGAACCGCCCCCTTCGTATAAACACACAGGCCTTGACTTAAACATCAACATCGAACGATTTACTATATATTTCTCAGATCTTATTTTGCTCGTTTATAGATTGAGAACAAATATTTTTTATTTTGGCTTTTAAGTTCGCTAAATTGGACAAATACGACTGTATGTACGCGATCTGTGATCACTACGATACGATCATCAGTTCAACGTAATCAAGAAATCCCAAGTATAGGCAATTCTCTGAAGAAAAGCTATATATAGCGATTAAAAGGTATGGTTGGGGTAGTGTCTTGCACTTTTCTAAGTAAATTAAAGGGGCTTTTGGCTGACCATTAAGTTCTTATTAAAGCAAATTTGAAATATACCTTTTCCTAAAGCATTTCCTAAAGTAATTAACCATCTCAGCAGATTACTTTCCTGCAGGCATCCTCTTACTTAAGATTTTCTCATTTCCCATTGTTAAGTCTAATCCCTTGATGTCCTATTTTGCAGGCTTCCTTGGCAGTTTCCTATCGAAGGGCCTGAAGACCAATCAGCTGGTTGTGAACACGGATGAAAAGACCCTGCGACCGGTTGCACGTCTGAAGGAACCGCGCGATCTTTTCGCCCTGCCTAAGGACAAGGACAATGACTGCTCACAGCAGGCCCCCAGATGGCCAGTGGAATGCCAGGTGAGTTAGTGGGTTAATAAGTGGGTTGAATTCGTGAGAGATCAAAAGGGGTCGGGCAATCCATACCCTAAACCACAAATCTCAGTCTCAATCAATTTGCCCATCGAACAGTCGTCGAAGGACGAGGACGAGGACGAGGCCGAGGCTAAGGCAGAGAGCTGTGTCCTAGATTTGTGGCTGGGGTGGGTTAGGGAGGATGAGCTTCAATGCCTTTGACACGCACCTCGTCTGCCAGGATATCCCAGGACATGCGTGCCGCGCCCCATAAATATTAATGCACATAAAAACACAGTTGGCAGGGGTTAAATGGGGTGAAGGCTTTTAAAGGAGCAGCCGCAAATCCAAAGAAAAGACAGGCCAACTTCGCTAAGACGAACGTTAATTTTTTAAATGTATTTTTAATATTATTTAAAGTAAAATCACAGTTTGAACTAGGAAAAAGAACTTCGAGGGAAACAGTAAGGATTAATTAATATAAAAATGAAATATTACTTAAACATGTAAAGGTGTTTATTAGCCAATTGATACTGTAGTGCCCCTCAGCCATCTTGGTTTTATGTAGGTCAAATTGCAATAAAAGGTGCACACACTAGGCCACGCCCACCGGCCGCCTTCGCTTAACCCATGGCATGCGGTAAACGCTCCGCCAAATGCAATGAAAATCCTTTCGTTTCCGCTTTGAGATTTTATTTATTTGGCTTCTCTTTTCGCTCTTGTTTTCGTTATTTTGGTGTGTGTTGCTTTTTTTTTATAAGCTTTTGCCTTTACCTAATTGTTGGCCAAGTCGTTAGCATTGTTAACAATCGATTTTATTTATTTGTACTCGATTTGCATTCGATGCTCTGCCAAATTGTGTTGGGCAAATATTACACATTACACATACGCCCCGTCTGTCCGTCTGGTGGGATGGCGGCGGTTAGGGGCGTCTTTAGGAGGAAGGGTTTTGCCAGGGGTCAAACAAGAAATTGGCCAACTGATTGATTAAACAGACGGCCAAAAGGGGGCAGGGGGGGCGGATGGCAAATAAATCAATTGGAGGTCAATTGTTGAACAATTTGTGGCGCAATTCGAATAAATCAACGAGAAAAAAAAACAAAGGAAGCCCAACATTTCCTTGTCAATTAACATGGCTTGAAATGCACATACAAAAACAAAAAACATTTTAAATATTCATTGAGCAGGGGAAAAGGCCAAATGGATTGGCTTTTAATTAAAATTTTGTAATCAACAGAAAGGAGAGACGAATTTGGAAAGTTTAAACTTCAGTTAAGGGCTTAGATAATCTTTAAAATAGATAAATACAAAAAAAAACAGAAACTTTAAAAATATTAAAAATATGTTAAGAAGAATATATTCATAGCCACTATACACCTTTATTATTTTATAAAATATGTATAAATATGATATTAATCCATTTTTTCATATTTACATATATTTTTCATATTTTACAAATTGAAATTGATTTTAATTTTCAATAACTTCTTACAAAAAAATATAACTTACATAAAAAATAGAAATTTTAAACTTCAAACTCACCACATTTGCTGTCGCTGTCCTGTTCGCTCTTCACCTTTGCCGTTTTACCGTTACCGTTAATTCGCTTCCTTTTTTTAGACTTCAGGCATCAGCACACACTCATCCATACACGCACACTCCAAAAAGAAGTTAGGCAAAACTGGAAATGCAATTAAAAGAGAAAAATAAATAATAAGTCAAGAAAGTTTTTGCCTGGGAAACGTCTTTGCCACGACGCTTTTCCTTCGCTTTTTCCTTTCTTTTTTTGTTCGGCTTTTGGCCATGACGTCCAAAAATGCAAACTCAAATAAAAAGTGAAATTCGAAAGACGCCTTCGGTGTTGACTTGATACGCTTTTGTTGTTGTTGTTCTTGCCACAATGACACTGGCATTGGCAATGGGCATGAAAAAAGTTTGTTTCTCAGTTGTTATTTTTTTTTTTTGTTTTTGGTTTTTTTTTTTGCAAATTTTCATTACCAGGAAAACGAGAGGGTCATATTAGCTGCAAACGACAGCGGACAGGCAGAATGCCGTAGGGCAGAATAAACAAGCTAATTAGTTAGTTTGATATCGCACATACAATCACACAACAGCATAAATAAATAAAATCCGAATTAAGTGAACAAAAAAAAAATAAAGAAAGGAAATCCTCTGGCACAAGCAGTGCAAGAGTGAGGTAGACCGAAAGAGACGGGTGTGCGAGGGAGGGAGGGAGGTAGCATTGTTGCAAAAACTGACGCTGATATGTTTCAATTAAGCCATCGCACACACACACATACACAAATGCCTGCAAATTGCTGTGTCTGTGTGTGTGTGTGTGTATCAGATTTGCATGTTTTATCGTCCGGTTTTGCACAGTGTGTGGAAGCTTAGGGGAAAACTGAAATGAAGTATCAGTTTTTTAAATTACAATCAAATTTAATGGAATTCCAATTGTAATTTCTTAAAAATATTTATGGGCAAGCGACCAAATCTTCATACAAATTACTCATACGCCATGTCAACCAAATGTTGAAAAATTCTTAATTCCTATACTATAAGTACATATAGTCTTGATATTTATATTTCAAATGTGAAAAATGCGAATCTATGCCAATTGCTTGTATAAGCGACAACATTGCGTATAAGTGATGGGTAAGAGACCTGAAAAAGGGCTCTCAAAGTGTATTCTGTGCAGGGCTCTAGCTTATAAGTTGTATATGATATTAGTTTAGTTAAATCATAGGATAGATCGAAGGTAAAATCATCCATTTGAGAACAATTTTCGAGCCACTGTGCATGTCTTACATGTGTAAGCATATCAAAAGGCTAAACAAATAAGCTGCTCAAAAGCTGCTTGTGGGCAGAATTACAACGACAACGATGGCAAAAACAACAGCAAAAGAACATCAAAGCCTCAACTGAGGACAGGCAAAATGGCAAAAGGAATATATATACTCGTATATATATATATAGAACTTCCATTTATAAGAATGACAAGGAGTGGGCAGCTGAGACCAGGCGCACAAAGCAAATCGTCATCGGTGACAGGGAATTTAAATGTTATAATAACTCTGACATTCGCCAATTTCCTTGTCAAGGACATGAACAAAACCGATGAGAACTTCCATAACGAACAACATCTGTGGCATGAAAACTAAATATTATCCACTTTAATTAGCAAGACCTTGGAAAAGGCAACAGGTGTACAAGTCATTATTGAAATTTTATCAAACGGGGTGATTAAATGCGATGGGGAAAGTGATTTTTAAACGTTTTTACATGCCCTTACTTACCTAATATATACATACTAATAATATCTTTTGATTTTCTTTACCCCCTCATCCATTATCCAGGTCATCGAGGAGCGCATCACACACATTCCGTACGTGCCCGCTACGCCGGAGCCGCTCAATGCCCCAACGGGTAACGAGCTGAAACCGCGGCCCGTCGGCGAGGAAAGCGGCATCGTCGTGTTCAGTTACAGTCCGATTAGCGCCGTTAACTACGTGAGTATTTTCAGGCCCAGTTCAGTCCATATTTTGAGCACATGTTACTATCAGAGGATTTGCTTGATTTCGATTTGTTTTCAATTATTTGTAAATGATTTTAAATAGAATTGCATATTTCAATGACCTAAGATAATCAACTAACATGAATATAAATTTCTACAAATCGAAATCGAAAGAAATCCTTAAAACTCCTTGTAAAACCCGCACTTTGCACCAGCACTAACCCACTAAAAGGGGGTCTATCTATCCATAATCATAAAAAAAACTAAGAAGAAATAACAAAACTAACTTCGAGACCTTAAACTAAATACCACGACAAATCAAAAACACACAGGAAAAGCCGAAGGCGAAGAAGGAGGAGGATGAGTCCAGTGACGAATCGGACTATTCCTCGGATTCCCATCAGGACTCTACGCCACCGAGCAGATCAACGCCCATGCGTCTGGCTGGTGGCGGTGGATGTGCACGTGGCAAGCTTAACAGTGTCTCCAAGATGATTAACAATGTGGACAATCGATCCACTAGTGCATCCCTAGACGACAACGATGACTACTACGATGATGAGTACGATACCTCCGGTGGTGGCTGTGGAGGTAGTGGTGAGGCCAAGGAGAAGGCCATCATTAAGGATCTCATCGAGGCAAAGAAGAAGCGCTATCAGGAAGAGGCAGCGGTCACACCCGCTGCTGGTGGTGGTGGTGGAACAGTTCGAAATTCTAGAGCAGCCAGCCGTTCGGAGGCCAGCAAGAATCCTAGCGAGATCGATGATATTTGGAAGAACAACACCAGTGAATACAAGCCAGCTTCGCCGCGCTATGTCCTCAGTCAGTTTGGCAAGAATGTGGCCAAGGCTGTGATCGATAGGATTGTGGATCATGATGATCCCTCGGCCCCACCTTCGGGATCTCAAAAGGTATCCAACAAGTTTGCCGTAACCCCCATTAAGTTGCCAAAAACGAATATAGCTCGCTTGGAGGTAGCTTTCGAGCGAAGTGCCCGTCAAGATCGATCCGCTGCAGTGGCACCCAAATCGCGTTCCGATAAGGGTGTAAGCAAGGGTGCCGTCATGGACAAGCATCGTCCTGGGGACAGCACCACCTCCTCTGAGGAAACCAGTAGCTCTGGTCTGGGCGAAGAGGAAGAGGAATATTTTTCAGAATCAGAAGATTCGGGCAGTGGCGATGGCATTCATAGAATTTTGGGAAGAAATACGGAACGGTTAGCTGGTGGCGCCGAAAAACCTTATCCCAATTCCGGATCCGTTTCGGAGACAGAAACTCTGGTGGGAAATGAGAGCAGGAGCAGGTTGACTGACTGTAAGCAAAGGGAACTTAGGAATTAGAAAGTTGCTTTTTTTTTAGAAAAACAAAAGACTAGCAAGTGAAGTGAAAGCTCTGCTTAGAGGATAGCTTAAGTTATTAGTTTTTTAAAATTACATAACAAAGGTTAAGGGCTCACGTGATCCTAAACGTTCCGCAACAGAGCTTTCCCTTCCTGAGATCCTCCCAGTCCTTAATCCCTACAATAACCCAATCCCCTCCCCAGCTGGTAGCCTGCAGCAGCAGGACTCTGCACGCTCAAGGAGTCGGCAGGGGCAAATACGTCCCCCACCTCGGGCGGTACCCCAAACCCATGCTGCCACAGTGGCAGCAGCGGCAGCGGCAGCGGCCCTGGCCAGAAGGCGGCACCGCGACAAAGACGGTTGCTTGGGTGGCAAAGAACATGACATAAGAATGGCAGCGGGCGCGGGCACGGGCACTGGCACTAATCTTGGCACTACTCGCACCTCTTCTCCAATTGCGAACAACGTCTTCCGGCTGAGCAAGGATCAGCAGCAGCTGCTGAATTCAATGACCAGCCAGGAGACGACCAGCTCCTTGAATTCGGTCACAAGTACTAACCAAACGACGGCGACCAACTCGTCGCAATCTTTTCTATGCTCCGATTTACCCCAAGCACAGTTCAGCCGTTCGGCCGTCGGTGGTGCACGTTTCGTGACCAATTGTCATCCCATGAATCCGGAGGAGTACGATGGCCTGGAGTTTGAATCGCGCTTTGAGAGCGGCAATCTGGCCAAGGCGGTTCAAATCACGCCCACCTTCTATGAGCTCTACCTGCGACCAGATCTCTATACCAGCCGATCCAAGCAGTGGTTCTATTTTCGTGTACGGCACACCAGACGTAAGATGTTTTATCGTTTCTCCATTGTCAATCTGGTCAAGTCGGACAGCCTCTACAATGACGGCATGCAGCCAGTGATGTATTCCACGCTGGGTGCCAAGGAGAAGAGCGAAGGCTGGCGAAGATGCGGAGATAACATCTGTTACTACCGGAATGATGATGAGTAAGTGGATTTAGTCATGCCCCTAGGCCACTGATTTATCCTTTTTTTTGCGACCAACAGAAGTGCCAGTAATAGCGCTAACGAGGATGACGAGGACAACTCGACGTATACGCTGACCTTCACCATCGAATTTGAGCACGACGATGACACCGTGTTCTTTGCGCACAGCTACCCGTACACTTATAGCGACCTGCAGGACTACCTCATGGAGATCCAACGTCATCCGGTCAAGTCAAAGTTCTGTAAACTGCGCCTTCTATGCCGCACTCTGGCCGGCAATAATGTCTACTACCTGACGGTGACGGCGCCCTCAGCCAACGAGGAGAACATGCGGGTGAGCTGAGTTCACCTATCTTATAGCAATTAATCTGCAGGCGAACTTTTCTTCCACCTCCTTCAACAAAAAGTGTGCTTAGATAAACATAACTCTTTGGGTTTTGTAATTCAAACCCCATTCATTATGCAAAAACAAAGTTGATAGCAAAAGTTCTAATGACTTGTTTGCCATAAATTTAAAGATAAACTTGAAATGCTATTTTAACTTTTTAACTCCTTAAAAAAAATATACAGAAAGTATAATATTTTTATGAAATTTATAGCGAAAGAAATCGATTGTGGTGTCGGCGCGTGTGCATCCCAGTGAGACGCCTGCTTCGTGGATGATGAAGGGTCTAATGGACTTTATCACGGGCGATACGACGGTGGCCAAGCGTTTGCGGCACAAGTTCATTTTCAAATTGGTGCCGATGCTGAATCCCGATGGTGTCATCGTGGGCAACACCCGAAACTCGCTGACCGGCAAGGATCTTAATCGACAGTACCGCACGGTCATTCGCGAGACATATCCATCCATTTGGTATACCAAAGCCATGATTAGAAGGTGAGTTTAAAGCTTAGTTAACTTGATTGAATTAGTTTCTCTATTTCCTATTAACTTAATTCTTTGACAAACAGACTGATTGAGGAATGCGGCGTGGCCATGTACTGTGATATGCACGCTCACTCACGAAAGCACAACATATTTATATATGGCTGTGAGAACAAACGCAACCCGGAGAAGAAGCTAACCGAGCAGGTCTTTCCCCTGATGTTGCACAAGAACAGTGCGGATCGGGTGAGTGTTACCAGGGACAGTCAAGAAGTATCAAAAACTGATCACTAATAATCTCGTTATATCAAATCTTAGTTCTCCTTCGAGAGCTGCAAGTTCAAGATCCAGCGCAGCAAGGAGGGCACCGGACGTATTGTGGTCTGGATGCTGGGCATCACCAACAGCTATACGATCGAGGCCTCCTTCGGTGGTTCCTCGCTGGGATCGCGCAAGGGAACGCACTTTAACACACAGGTTAGTGATTACATTTTTTTTTTAAATCGATTAAACTTGATTAATATTGGAATGTGAAAAACAATTTTTCAGGATTACGAGCACATGGGACGAGCATTTTGTGAGACACTTTTGGACTACTGCGATGAGAATCCGAACAAAGTAAAGCGGCACGCCAAGTTGTTTAAACAAATCAAAAAGATAAGAAAACGCGAGAAACGCGAACAGAAAGCATTGAAATTACAGAAAATGGCCGATCAGGGATGTATAATGAACGACAAACTGAAAGTGAAACGTTCTGTGGAGAAAAGTGTCTCCTAGGAAGGTTCTCCATCCCACATACACACACTCACACACACACACACGACGACGACGATGCCATATTTCTGTAAATGCAACTTTGTGCCAGTTATCGTTGATTTGTAATCGTAAATTGTTTATCGTAAAGAGTAATTGTTATCGCAAAATAAGCGCTGCTGTGCTGAACCAGAATTCAAATCCCAAAATCCATAACCAAAATCCTATCATATTTTCGTATGTATATATATATGTCCAAAGACAACTTCAAACTAAAACACACAATCACACTCACACATCGGCCAGAGCCACAGGAGTTATATGGCAGATATATGTACAATACATATATGGGCATATATATCATCGGCATATATGCATACTCGATCGGGGATTATGTATGTGCGGCATTGAATGGAATTAATTTTAATGCTGTCTATTTGCGCGTATCGCAGTTTTTCTAATGTTTTTGATCACCCAGTTGCGTGAATAGAGGAGTCCCAAATGGATATCCTATCCACGCAATGGGTACTTAGATTATCTCAATCAATATATATATACATATATATACACCCACCACCACCACCTGATCCCGCACAAACGTAACTTAGATAGTAACACACACCCAGCACAGCATCGCCAGGCACTCGAGCTCTCTATTTTTTAACCTTAGTAACTTTAATTTTAACTCGCGTTATTTTCGATGTTGCTAGTCATAAGCGTAACCGTATTATTATAACCGGAAAACTATTATTTTTTTGAAATAAATACCACATATCTACATCACATGATTTAAGTTGTCTTTTGGTTATAGATTAAGTTCTCTTTTCGCTTTTCCACATTAAGCTTTAACAGTTTTGCTTTTAGTAATAATATTGCTTGATTATCTTGTCCACACTTGCATTGATTATAATTTCTGAACTTTATAATACTTAATTTTTCCTTTTTTGCCAGTGTATGATTTTTCACTAATCCAAATGCATTAACATTTACAATAGATTTTAAATTTACTCAAACAACAGGACAGGCTACGATCCAAAATTATCGAAAGACTGATGCGAGAAGGCTCCAGTGCCGACGAGCCATTGAATATCCCTCTGTCGGATTACTCAAGGTGGGTCTTCTAACCATATTACTACTCTACTTCTACTAACCTTCTACTAATCCTGAATGCTTTACTAACCCATTAGCGACGAGGGCAACTGCAGCTCCAGTTCGGATAATGAGGGCAAACACTCGATAACGGCATCCGATCTGGAGGGACCATGTTGTGCCCCCACCCGTGCACCGCCCAGTTCGCCGGAGGTAATCCATGAAATTCGCAAGGTAAGTTGGTAAACTCAACATCCTCTCCTGCACTGCACTGCACTGGCACTTTTACATATTCCAAAATGCAGTTCCGTATGCGACGCATGCGCAAGGTGATGCACGAACTGGACAGGATCTACTTTACGCCCCTGTTCCAGCGCAAATTCAAAACTCTAACCACTTTGAAGAGAAGGCGTCACAAAATGGGTGGCAAGACGTCTCCAAATACGAAGCGTCTGCGAGGTGGAGGAGGTGCAATTGCAGTAAGTGGTGGTGGCGGTACAGCTAACAGTGATGCCGTACCCGCCACACCCACAACACCAACTCAGCAAAGCCAACCGATCAGGCAATTGGCCAGGAAGCCGCCGATCAAAAGTCCCCAACCAACTGGGGCTCGGAGTTCGGAAAGTACCGATAGCATGGATTCCTCTCAATCGGAATCACTACGAGATCCGGATTGCTCAAGTGCCAGCACCGGAGCCAGCAAAGAGATCACGCGTAAAGCCAAGAGCACTGGCGGTGGGTCCAAGAAATCAGGAAAAAAGAGAAAGTTTATGCCCATAGAGAAAAAGAAGCCTGTGGTCAATCAAAAACTGCACGTGGATCGCAATTTCCGGCTTTGGTTGGCCAACCGACGCATCTACATCTATCGCCGTAAGAAGGTATAAGCCATAGCTATAATCTACCTAACGAAGTAAAAATCATTATCAATTCCCTATCAAAAATTTCACTAGAATTCTATGAGAAATCTTTTCGAAATCCTTCTAATGATTTTTACTTATGAAATAATGAATAAAACCCTTCGTAGTTAGCTTTTCTTTCAGTGCATCAGCACCACCCAGCACTCACCCTAGCACCACTAATTTGTTTATTCCTGGTTTCGCCCCGAATCTCCCACATCTAATCCATTTAGTCCACCATTCAGGCGCGTCGCACTAAGGTTAGGGGCAAGACGCCAAAGAAACGCGGCGAGGTGGTACGCACCACTCTTGATTTGCCCACAACGGATCCCGGTTCGGATCTGCACTTCTCCACCGACGACGAAGAGCACTCGCCGACATCCGGACAAAACGGTTACGGTGCAGTGGCTCCACTTCGGCACACGTTGCTCCAAAGTGATCTGCAGAGGCGATACATTGAGGAAATTGGTGATACGGTGGTCCAGAAACCGAAGGCGGCGCACATGCCACCGGAACTGATTGTGACAACACCCTCGAAGAGTGGCACACCGGGTGGTGGCAAGAAGATGGATGTCTACAAGCTGACTCCTCGCACTGCTCCGGAATTGGACACAGGTGGCCATCACATGGGCATGATGCAGAGGCAGTCCGGTGGTACTGGGACATCCGCCAGACGCACCTACTCCTGGCACAATCTCGATCAGCAGGAAATACCCAATGGCAATAGTGCTGGTCATGGCAAGGCCAACTTCTACATGACCGAATCCAAGCCAGCAGTGAAGACGATGACCAAACCGCCGCCCAGGAGGTGGGTACTCCTAATCTGCTAATATATTATATAATAATTTTCATTTTTTCAGGAGTGTTCCTAGCAATTTCATTCCCCAGAGGCAAGGCAATGTTCAAACGGCGGATGACCTGCAGCTTAAGCTCTCGTTGAAGAAGAAAGTCTGGACAGGAGCACACGGTGATGCGGATGGGCGTCCATTAGCCTGGTATAAGGGTCACTCGATAGCCGGACCCCAAATGGCCAACACTACTGCGGGTATAAGAAGTGCTGGCGGTGCTGGGGGAGGAGGAGTTGCAGCCGGTGGAGGTGGCCAGAGCCGTGGCATGTTTACCTCAAGTGGCAGGGATCCCACAGCTGCCTCCGGTGGGATTGCCATGGGCGCGCCACCCGCTTTTATTGGTGCACCACGCAAGCCCAGAAAACTCGAGCAAGTGGATCTGTTCAAGTAAGTGCATCATCCGAGATTAAAGTCCAGTAGTGTAGCCTTTTCTAACGTCTTTTTATCTTGCAGTGCCTGTTCTCAGAAGCTGCTCCTATGGCAGCAACAGGAGGAGCACAAGAGCTCTCAGCCGCCGCCAGCGCAACGCTTGATGAAGGTGGAGGATCCGCATCAGCAGCCGCCACATCCAAGGGATCGTGATCGAGATCGCGACCGCGGGCAGCAAGCCTACAAGCCCGTACACATGATGAAGAAGTCGGCGGAAACAGGCCAGGCCAAAGTCATCCAAGCTTTGGTGGCAGCCGAATCCGGTGGAAAGGTCAAGCGCAAGTCCAGCAGCATGATGAAGATAGCAGAGACTACTCAACTAGTGACACGATTCGCTCGTAGTCGTAACAGTGCCGGAGGATCTGCAGTGCAGCAGCAACAGCAGCAGCAACATATGCATCAGCAACACCAGCGGATGTTGTTCAAGGGTCAGGTGGGAGCCGGATCCGTAGGAGGTCGGATGCACTCGGCCGGTGTGATGGGTCATATGCAAGGCAACGGCGGTGGTGGACGTGCACCCAACAAATTCAAGACCGGTGGGCTAGTAATCACGGCCGTCCAACAGCCCGCCAATATGCCAGGTGGCAGCTCTCGACGAATGAGGAATGCTGCCGGATTGCAGGCCAAGAGCAGCACGGGTGCCATGGGATCATCGTCCGGGCAAATGCAATACCAACGGAGCAATGGAAACGTCCAGGCCAATAAATCCTCAACAGGAATTTCGCTGGACACCGTTAATCTTGTCCGGAAGGTGAAGACCAAGCTGAAGAAGCGCAAATCCCGCACTTTATCGAACGGAGCACCGAAATAGTTGACACCGGAACTTCGGGATCGTTTAGCTAGAGTCATATTACCCAGATTTTCCTTTCAACAGACAATATGGTGCTCCAGATTCTCGTCCAGGTGTATTTATTTTACACAGCAGATTCGGCGTAAGCCACATTTTTGGTTTCAAAATTTTAGTCGAATTTAATCTGAACCCCCCGTGTCTATCTTTGTTACGCAAAAAAAAAAACGATAAGGAAATGATTAGCAAAATTATCTATCTATATAACTTTATGCATATGTAATCCCGATCTCTGTACCTACAGTTAATCCCTAAAATAATGTTAAAAGTCCTAGTGTGTGTGTGTTGTTTTTTTTTTGCTGGAAGTTTTTCTATTGAGATTTGCAATAAAACAAACCAAAAAAAAAAATGTGAAAACAAATGCGGAATGTTTTGTAATTGGTAGGGGTTGCTGGCGGAGGTGCGGTGGTTGGGTAAATTTGGTAAATAAATAATGCTTGACCACTGACCGAAAAATCAATTACGCACATGTCCGGCAATCGCGGAGTGCCAAAAAGGTGAAAGGACTCCGAGTCGCAGGACGAGATCCGGGTCCTGCTTACGTACCTTCTGCAAAACAATGGGCTTTCCTCGATCCTTCGCACAATTCACACCGCGACTCCTCAGTCACTTTACCACGCGAAAACCACCGAAAAGTTTAAACTGGCGAAAGGTAAACAAATCCAATTGGACAATTCCAAGAGTGACCTCTAGTGATGGCAGCGCGGGTAGACCAATCGAAAGCAATCGATAGTGCAGCTTGAACGGTGGTCTTATCGATATTGAACAATTAAGTTTAATTTTAATTTGTTATTTAACTAGTATTAATAAAATATTTAATTTTCAAATAATAGAAAAATTAAATATTAACAAAACATACTACCAAAAAATCAACTCAAATAATAAAAAAAATTAAATATTAACAAAACATGCTACCAAAAAATCAATTCAAAAATGAAATCAAAAGTTACAATAACTATCAAAAACTGCAATGTATACGTAATATTATTTTAACTATGAATAATATTATAAATCATTAATATTATCTATAATTTTTTGCCTGTTTATAATTTTTTAATTGGGTACTTGTAATTTTCTAAAAATATTTTAAATCAAATCTTTATGATAATGTAAAAATCGAATCTAGATTACTATAGGTAATTTTAAATAAGATTTATTGGAAAAAAATAGCCATTAATTATGGAATCAAAATAAATTTAAAAATGGAGCATGGCATTATGATAATAATTAACAATGTTATAATGATTTTAAACTTTAATGAACAATAATAAGTACTCCACACTCCAACCATTAATATTAGTTATTTGATTCGATTTATATTGTGGAATGCAGCGCCCTAGGCGCCATTGTTTATTTGATTTAGTTTATTTGTTATATACCCAAGCCATTATGCTAGATTAAACTACGTACACATGCATGCGGGACGTGTGTCTTTCCGTGTCTGTGGTGTCTGTATACTGTATACTGGTTAAGTGTTGTGTCCTGGTGGCCTTCCTCCTTCTGCTCCTGACCATTCCCTCCTTATCATTCTCATTCTCATTCTCATTCTCCTCATATTATTTGTTCCTGCGGGCGGGGAAGCAGCATTGATTTAACTAAATCTAGGTGACTACGAATAAATAGAGTAAACGCAAGGCTAAAACGAAACGTAAAAATTCCGCGAATTTAAACTGAGACCGGCTCTAAACATTGACGGCATTCTGCAGAGCTGTCTTGTCATCAACAATGATGTTGGCCGCCGTAGTGGTTGGATTGGAGCTGAGCAGCTGCTTAGTGGATGAGCTGGAGGAGTAGCTATCACTGGAACTTCGCGTCGAGGCCGAGTTCCCGCTAATTGGGCTGTCCAGCATATCTAAATAGAAATAATATATGGTTTTTAAATCAAGGATTATTTTTAAACAGGATTACAACGCACCTGGAAGGGAGCTCACATTGTTGGACTTTAAGTCCACGACCGTAGCCACCGAACCGGAGCCCACCATATTGCCCACTGATGTGGACTTTTTGTGTAGGTTTTTCTTTACCGCACTACTGAAGCCCACGACTACTGGCCCTACTCCAGTTGGTCCGCCTACTGATCCTGCACTCCTGCCAACGCCTAAGCCTCCATTTCCACAGCTTCCGGCTCCCAGGGGATCACCGCTTTTGGCTCGTTCCGTGGGGCACAGTGGGCTTAATATCGAGTTCTGAGTATCCTCCGGTGTGTAGTAATCAGAATCCTCTGCCGTTGCCTCAGAGGGTGAAGATCCCCCGCCTCCGCTTAGTTCGGGCCTTGGTTTGGTGCGCTTTAGGGAGGAACCCTTCTTGAGGCTGGAATCATCTGATGGTCCATCGCCACCGCCACTCTTATCAACATCATCCGCCTCCAGGCAAGCTACCACCTGCTTCAGAGATTTGCTAGATACGTTCTTGCTCTTGCTGCCTGGTGATAGAAGCGGCGATAGCTTTTCGTTTTCACTGTCCACATCGTCATCGGTGCCCGCAGAGCCATCACCGCCAGATCCAGCTGTAGGTCTGGGATACTTCCGTTCATTGACGATCTGCAATTTGTCCTGTTTCGGTTCTGGCGAAGTGGATGCCCCCAAAGTGGGCGACGTACATGTGGCCGTGCTGGACTTCTTCGGATCGGTTTCGATCTCGACAGAGTGTGTGGAGGACCCATTACCGCCGCCAGATTGGTTAGTAATGGTGCCTACCTCACTGGTTGACGTGCATGTCGAAGCGTTCTTCTTGATCTTCGGCCGACGCTGACTGCTGGACTTAATGGGCGATGTGGCCTTAATATCGGCACTGGTCATTGTTGATGCGGCCACAGTGGCGGCAGAGTCTGTGATGTCGTGTTCGCTGGTTCTTGACATAAGTAGGGGGACACGAGATCAGAAACGTTTTTGGTTTTAGAGAACACTTAACTCACCTAGTCCTGGCCACATACTGCGGAGGCCCGTTGAGCGCCTCGATTAGTGAGACTGGAATATAGCCCGGTGGCACATCCACTTGTGCCGGCTCACCGGCCGCAGATGTGGGTGTGTTCTGGTGCAGCACATGCGTGCTGATTCCCTTCTGGACAGCTCGAATCTGAAGCAACGCCCGAAACGGTGCCCTGCAGATGGGGCAGTTGTTGGCCTGGTAGCGCAGCGAATCCGCACATGAATTACACAAACAGAGGTGGCGGCAAGGCAGAATCAAAGTGTCTCTGGTCTCACTCATGCAGATAACACATTCGCTCCCATGATCGTCGATCTCCTCGTCCAGGGATGTCTTATTTACCGCCTTGTTCTCGATACCGTAAATCTCCTGCAGAAGGTAGCACAGGCCATCCACGAAGATCTTCTGCTTGAGGGCACGAAGAACATAGCTGCCATTCTCCGGATGATGGTCGATCACACAGATGGTAGTGTGCGACTGGCGGCACTCGTCGCTGCCTTCCTCAACCACACAATGAATAGCAACAGGGTACTGTTCCCGACCGGGGCTATAGCCCAGTTCATCCTCGGGCATCTGCTGTGGGTTAAAGACGTGACCCGGCTGCGAAAAACACTGGTTAATTCCTTTCTCGTAGTGGTATGTCTCCGAAGTAAGGCCCTCGCGCGGCACCAGCGTCACGCCACTGGGACTAACATCCTCCGAGCAGAAGTAGTAGATAGTAATGGCGCACTTGGCGTCCGAATCGAAGGTAAACTCGATGTTGTATGAGCAAGGTGGAGGTGGCGGCGACATGTCGGCATCTCCGCCACCCAATCCCATTGAGCAGAGCACATTGCCGTCCACATCCTCGATGGTTACATTAGACTTCTCCTTCTCCAGATCCAGATCCCGGTCAATGTCCTTCATCTTGGGCTTGTCAAGTACACCGCCCATCTTCTTGTCATTCAGGGTCTTGACGAAACGCACCGATTCCTTGCGAATGTTGACCAGACTCTTCAGGGTCTTCGTCGGTTCATTGGCCTGTGGTGGGGGATACGGGAAGGCCGTGGGCCGATTACCCAGGAAATTGAGATCCGCGTTCTCGCCAAACAAGTACGATTCCGGTTGGGGCGTGTCGAAACGCTCGCCACCCATAATGAAGTGGGTTCCAAAGAAGTTGCCCATCCTCGGTGGGTATTTGTAGGCATTGTTCGTACTTGGGTCTGCCTCCTCGACCGCCGCATTCTGCCTGCTCACAAAGTTACCCATTTGGTATGGATAACGGAGACTGGTCACTGGAATTGCCTGATATCCGATCCGATATAGCTTATGGCTTTAGTTTTCTCTGCTCTGATTTGGTTTATTATTCTATATCAGCGGTCACCACACATACAATGACATGTTGGCATTGCATTTATACGAGTGTTTTGCCCGTGCAAAATACTAAAAGTGTGTGTGTGTTAGGGTGTATGGGCAGACAAAAGTCCTATGTCCCACAAGTTAGTCCCGTGGTTACCACTATTATTATTATTATTATATTAGTACAATTTCCTTTCTCCTTTCTTTCTTTCTTTTAGAGCTGCGAAGCCATCGACGGTAAGTTCTATCGATAATGTCTAGTATCGAAACATTCACTCAACTGTTCTTTCTGCCAAATATATATCGATGTTTTTAACGGAAATCATAAGATTTTTTTTTATTTATAGTTATTGATAATCTCATTAATAAGAGCTTTGTTTTTAGGTTTTAAATAATGAGGCTTTAATACAACTGTGATTAACCGAATCTTAGAACTAAATGTGATTAAATATCTGATTGGTATGCCCAAATTTAAGCAATTAAATTATTTTTTCTCAAACTGGTAACATATTTTAAAGTTTAATTAAACATTATACCTAGTTAATATTGGCATACGAACTCAATACGGTTAAAAAGAATCCAATTTATATGCCTAAGTACAATAAACTCAGAGCTGGCCTTGCCAGATAGTTTAGACCAGCATTGCCAACGAACTTGAAGGCAGCGTTGCCAAAAAATTCAAAGCAACAACAAACGGCGCCAAAATAGCGTACGCAAAAAAGAAAAGTGCGAAAACCACGGCAATTCGCAGCGAATCACGGAGCAAAACACACACGCCATCATGAGCATGAGTATGGACGAGTCCATCTGCGCCTACTTCGTGAATAACCTGAAGCCGGGCGACGTTGGCGGCCAGGAGGCGGACACTCTTGAGCAATTTGAGGCGTCCCGAGAACTACTTGGCCAGCAGCTAGCTGAGACCCAGATTCGACAGATAAAGCCCAGCGAAGGATATCCTCTGATAGCTGCCGGCAACTTGACTAAAAAGGATGTCTTTGTGCTGACCCAGTTCGAGGGCGATTTCTTTGAGCAGCTGCAGCAGACGAGAGCCCTGATCTTGGGGCCACCTTGCTTGTTAAATTGCCTACGGCGAAATGAACCAATTCCCGATGGCAGCAGTGCCATTTATACCACGGCCATGAGAGATCTGCAGGTCTCGGCAACGGGGATAACGCCACAGAAGAAGGAGGAACTGAGCAAGCTTATACATTGGATGGGCGGAATTTACTTTCAAAGTTTCGGTCACCGCACCACCCACCTAATATCGAACACCATCAAGTCCAGCAAATACGAACAGGCCACGTTAAACGGGGTGCCCGTAATGCATGTCGACTGGGTGCAGTACGTCTGGGACCAAAGTCGACGCAGTGAACGCGAGAGCATCAGTGCCACGGATCCCGATTTCGACAAGTACCGCCTTCCCACTTTCTTTGGGGCAAACATCACATGCAGCGGCTTAGATACGGCGCGCAAGGATCAGGTTATGCGACTAGTCAACGAAAATGGCGGCATCTATCATCGCGCGTTCCGCTCTCAAGTGGTGGACATTGTCATAACCGAACAGTCAAAAACTGATACCGAGAAATACAAGGCTGCCATACGATACAAGAAGGATGTCCTGATGCCAGAATGGATTTTTGATAGTTCAAATCGCGGCTATGCCCTGCCCACCAAGAAATACGAGATAAAACCAGGCAAAACGGCCTCTACGCCCACCAAGGGCACTCGTTTAACTGCCGGTTCTAATGCAGATCAGACACAACTTTCGGATCTCTCCAGGATCAGCTTTGTCTCTGGCTCGCGGCGTATGTGCAGCGATCTGACCGTTGTTAACGAATCCGTCAGTAGTGTGGGCACCAGCTCGCCCGCCAAAGATCTGCTTAAGCAGGCCACCAGCAGTAGCAGGAACTATCAGCAGGTGCTGGCCGAGATTTGCCCGCGGCAGGCCAAGAAGGCAGGTGCTTTTCTGGACGGTTGCTGTGTGTACTTGAGTGGCTTCCGCACGGAGGAGCGGGAGAAGCTCAATAGGGTTCTGAATACAGGCGGAGCCACCCGATACGATGAGGCCAATGAAGGCATCTCTCACATCATTGTTGGTCAACTGGATGACGCCGAGTATCGACAATGGCAGCGCGATGGTCTTATGGGTTCGGTTCATGTGGTACGTTTGGATTGGCTGTTGGAAAGCATACGAGCTGGCCGGCTAGTCAGTGAGCTTGTCCATCGTGTATCGCTTCCACAGAATCGAGAACCCGACATAGCCTCGCCTGCTAGCAAGCGAACCCTTCGCTCTATGAATCACAGCTTTAAGCAGCCAACATTACCCATCAAAAAGAAGTTATTTGATCAGGAACCAGATCCGGTGCAGCAACAGGAACATGAGGAGCCGGACCATACCCTGCTTGATCAGTACTCACAGGATCAAGGAGCAGTGGCACAACTGCCGCCGGCGGATGTCAGTCTCCTCCAACCAGCAGCTAGTTCTACTCAAATGGATATAAGAATGCGCAACTCGGTAGCCAATCCCAATCCTGTCGCTGCTGTGGCTTTGCCTGATCTTAGTGCCAGCGCATTGTCCATTGATTTCGATAAGCTGGACTACTTCGCGGGTGTCTCCGTGTATGTGCACAAGGAATGCTTTAACGCTGAGTTTTACAACCAAATGCTGACCGAGTGCGAGAGTGCCCAGGGCTTGTTAGTGCCTTCGAGCTTTGCGGATGAAGTGGATTATGCCATCGTCAGCTTTGAGGTTGCCTTCGACGTTAAGGAGCTGCCCGTCAAGGCTCGCCATGTAGTCACTGAGCTGTTTATGGAAAGCTGTATGAAGAAAAATCAGCTACTCCCATTGGAATACTACCACAAACATGTGCCTGCTACTGCACTGTATCAGCCTCTTAAAGGAATGACTATTGTGGTGTCCATCTATGCGGGATTGGAGCGGGATTTTATTAATGCAGTCGCAGAGCTACTTGGCGCCTCCGTCAATAAGACTTTCATCAAAAAGGAGAAACCTTTACTGGTGTGCCCCAGTGCTGAGGGCTCCAAGTACGAAGGTGCCATTAAATGGCACTATCCAGTAGTCACATCCGAGTGGCTGGTTCAGTGCGCCCGCACTGGACAAAAGTTACCCTATACCGGACACTTGGTTGGCAAGAGTCCTGAGGATTTCCCTATATCTCCACGTTTGCGGGAGAGCAACACCAGGACACCTAGAAGGCAGGGCGAAACTACATTGGTGGCGGGACCAGAGGTCACCATGGAGGAAGCGGAAAACCAACCGGCAGCGCCGGTCACATCTGTTGCTACACCCAGTTCAATGTCAGGAGCTCCAGAACTTACCCCTCTCCGCAACAGACGGATATCCGAACTATCTGGAATTCCAGGGGGTAACTCACGCCATCGTTCCAGTAGTTCCACAGCGTCACCCGATTCTCCTTGCACGCCACTTAGCCAGGTTGGCGCCCAGAAATACAACTTCGACTTTCTAGAGCAGTTCGTCCAGCGATTAGATACGGAAGAGGGCAAGGATTGCGTCCGTGAGATCATTCGTGAAATGCGAGAAAACCAAACTCCGGAACTGGAACGCATTCGGCGACAAGCCTGCACGCCCGTCAGTCGCAAGCATCAACGGCCAGCACCGGGTATTCCCGACTTTTGTCTTACTCCAGAGTTCCAGCAGCGGATGGCCGATGATTTCGAACGGCGCTGGCGGCTGCCAACCCAGAAAATAAAACCAGACACACCGCTAGCTGTGATCAGGAAGCGAGTGATGCGGATTACATGCGAGACCCTGGGAATTGACTACGATGATGTCCAAGTGCAGCAGGATGAGGAACCACCTACTCAAAAGAAAAAGCCGCCAATTAAAACTCAAGCCACCAAACTCAACTTTGATAGGTCTCCGAAGACACCAAAGCTTTCGGTGGGCAAGAAGACGCCTCTTAGGGTGTCCATGAACTCACCTCGCACCGGAACCCAATCTCCCTTCGTACCCAATACACAGAGTCCAACAGAAACAGCAGCTCCACGGCGATCAGATGGACCAACTGTTAGCGAAGAGGGTCAAAGTACCATTAACTTCGACAAGATTAGCTTCGAGGAGTCGGCAGCTCCTGTTATGGCACCAGATGTCAAGCAGATCACAGACTACTTGAAGAACTGCGAATCGCGGAGGAATAGCTTGAAACGCAGTCACGACAACGACATGGAATGCGGCGAGAGCGAGGTCCAGTATGTGCAGCCCTTCGAGTCCGAGGATTTCGCTTTGGGCACCGAACACATGGTAGAATGGCGTGATCCCGCGGAATTTAATGCAGCAAAGAGGAGATCCTCTGGCGGATCCCCAAAGATGCAGTACAGGGGCATTCCCTGTTTCAGCATCTCGTGCGGCGATGATGATGAAAAGCGGGCTGAATTAATCGAGCGGATCACCCAACTGGGCGGAAAGTTGTGCGAAAACCTGGTGAACTATGATAATGCCTGCACCCATTTGATATGCGAACGTCCGAATCGCGGCGAAAAGATGCTAGCCTGTATTGCGGCAGGGAAATGGATCCTCAATCTTCAGTATATCGAACAGTGTCATGCGCGTGGTCAATTTCTGGATGAAGCACTTTACGAATGGGGAAATCCAAAGGCAATAAATTTGCCCACGTTAGCGCCAGAGGAGGAACCCATAGCTGCTGCCGTTCATCGTTGGCGCTTGGAGTTAAGTGCTCGAGGCGGTGGCGCCTTCTCCGACCATCGTGTGATTCTCAGCATGAGCGAGCGTAGCGGGGCCCCCATCAAGAATGTGCTGCGTGCCGGAGGAGCCTGCATCCTAGAGCCAAATTCACCATTTTCTGCCGATCCCATATGCTCCACTGCCACTCATTGCTTTGTGGATGTAAAGAAAGCGCCGCTGTCACCCAGGGATATGGCACATCTCAAGCAATGCGGTGTCCAGGTGCTCAGCCAGATTGCTATTAATGCATATTTAATGAATGGCCGGGATGCCGATCTGGGGAAATACGAGCTCCAGTAATTGGATTGGATATGATCATCATCAGATCCTCACAGTTTTTGTATTCTTAATTGCTTTTTTGTTCCTGTTCGAAATTGATATTCTATAGTTTATAAAAGAGTTATAAAAATTACAGCCTTAAATGGTTTGAATTTAAATTATTTTTTGCTTGTTTTAAAAGTTAATACTTTATGCAAGCATTATTTATATTTTTTAGGTAGTAAACAAAATGAAAAGCATTTATGGTCTTTAAAAAAGAAATGAACAGAAAATGCTATTGAAATAAAGGACTACATATTAAATTAGTATTTAAAATTACCATTTTTGTTTCAGATCGAAAACTGTTTCTTAATGTTTTGTTATTATTGAAAAAGTGTAATCATTTTGAAAACCAAACTGTAATGGTTAAAGAATTTCTTTCTTTTTTTTTAAGCGACTCTTGTATTATTTCATTCCAACTTTTTGTTAAATGAATAAAATTTAAAATGATCAAATGTACGTCTTTTACTGAAATTTATTTATATTTAAAAAGTGGTTGAGCTATGGATATTAAGAAATTTTACTCAATACGATTTCGTAAATGTAAATAATTTATTATTTTTATACCACAAATCTTTCTTATTAAATCCCATTTAAATTCAACTGTATTGTACTTTTCATTTATTTAACGTTTATATATTTTTTATGTGGTTGTGTTTGTGTGTGTGTGTGGGTGTTTGTATATAATATAGCATGTATGTATGTATAATTTCACTTAGCATCTGTTCCGTTTCTTTCTCAGTTAGTTAGTAATTAATTATGGTATAGCAGTACTTTATATTTGATTCATATGGTTCACATGTATACATATATTATCATTTCTTTCCTTTTATTTTACAATCCATGAAGTTTTTTTTGTTCTATTCTGTGTGGGATTTGTTTATAAAATTCCATATCCATATAACTATCGGTATATATGTATATGTATAATTGTCTGTGTTTTTTTCGTGGGTGTGTTTAGTGGAATCGCATGCTCTAGAGGCTACAAATTCATCAAAAATAGATAGTACACAGGAATCGATCAGATCAGTATCGATTTATGATTTTATAGCTGATCAATATATATCTCCATTTGTTTCTTCTTTTAAGCCGCAATTGGCAGACTGGCGGCATTTTATATTTTAAAATTACACTTCTATATATTAATAATTATTTATATATTTATATTTTTATATATACGGTTTATGTTGATTTTGTTTTAATTTTAGCAATTTTAATTTGTTCAATGTTGGTTTTCTTTTTATATCGCAGCGATAATTTGTTTGTTTTTTTCTTTAGGAGGCAATTGTTTGAACTTAACGAAAATGGAAAGTCTGAAGCTCGCTTCGCTTCATCCTTTTTGGTTGGATAAACGCGCAATGAATCGAGATTATATAAAAAAAAATAATAATCGTAATAATGATAATTATAATAGTGGAACTTGGAGCTTAGCAATTAAAAAATCTCTTTGCTGGGCGTTGAGATTCCCAATGGCTGTTCGTAGTCGCTGGCCAAAACGGATACAGATGCTGATGCAGATTCGGAAGCCTTCTTCTCCTTACTGCGCTGAGTCTTCTCCTTTTTATGCTTCTTCTTGTGCGCCTTGGATGCCACCTGCCCCTCCTCTTGTTCCGGCTGCTCCTCCTCCATTCCCATATCTATAATGCTGCTACCCATTCCTTTGGGTTCGGCTTCCCGTGATTTCTCCTTGTTCTTCTTTTTTTTATGATGCTTGGAGCTGGCAGCATCTGGAAGGATGTTTGAAATATTGTTGTTCTCGTTGCTGTTGCTGGGGGCGGAGATGTGGCTGGGACTGGGAGTGGGCGTATCGGCATCGATGAGATCGATCACAGGCTGGGCAGCGACCTCCTTGCGATCTCTCTTGCCCTCCTTGTGCTCACGCTTCGATTTCCTTTCTTTGTCCTTGTCTTTGTCCTTTTTCCGGTCCTTCTTGGAAGTGCTACTACTGCCGGCTGTTTCCGCTGGCACCTTGAGATTCTCTTTTCCCGCCGCTGATTTTTTAGACGACGACCTAACCGCGGGTGCCTCGAAGTCCGTTCTGTTATACACATTTTCTCTTAATATATAGATCACAGCTTAGAAATTACATTTATTCTAAAACTTACATGTCCAATTCAATATCCAGAGCTCTATGCGGATCATTTGGATCGTATTTGCCATCCTTGTCCTCGCTGTCCGACATTGATACACCTTCTGGCATGTCCAGCGTCGTGTTCACAATGTGCAAGGGTTTGGGTTCTGTAAAATGGACAAGTTAAAGAAGTTTCCAATTTTGTTTACTTGGACTTACCTCCTTCTGATTCGGAGCTGCTGTTGTAAGCCACTTTGTTCTTAGCCTTTTTGCTCTTTTTTCCCTTTTTATGCTTTTTCTTGCCATCCTTGCCGCCCTGTGCCGACGCCTGCTGCTCCTGAAGATATTTGTCCGAACGCTTGGTAACTACGGAAAAGAATGCGTGTTCATTGGTTAAGTTTTCAAATACAACTAGTATCTTATAGCTTACTTCCCACACGCAGAGCCGCAACGCCTTCCATGTCCAGCGGCAGCTCCGTAATGGGTATGTCATCAATATTGTCATACTGATCCGCATTCGCTGAGGAACCACTGGCCGTTGGCGTGGACTTGAGGTAGTGAGGATTGTTCGACTGCTCAATGAGACGGGCCATTCGCTGTCGCTCCAATTGCTCGGGCGTCAGCTCCAGACTCTGACGCCGCTTGCCGCCACTACCTCCGCCACCATCCACTCCCGTTCCACCCTGCGAAGCGCTAACAAAGAGCTCATCCTTATCGTGCTCCGAAGATGAACTGCTCGCCGCATCTTCCGGCGGTGGTGCATTGATCCATTCGTCCAGATCAAGGCCATCTGGCAGGGGCACCTTCCGTTGCGCCTTGGGCGCTACCGGAATCAGCTCTCCTGCGAATAACAGTGTCATCTCCTGGACAATCTCAATGGCCAGTGGCGGAATGCCGCCCTCCGTCGTCGTATCCATGGCCAAGGCATCGTCTGACGTGGACAGCTGGTTACGCAGCATCTCGATCAGCATGCAGGCAGAGTTGGCTCTTTCTTGCACTTCAATGTCGCTTGAACCATTGAAGTGTTGAAGCTTATCCAGAACATGATCACAGAGCTACAAATAATAGTACCGATCAGTTAAAAGCTCTTTTGAGAATTAACAGGAGTACCACTTACCCTAACTAATCCTGGCAGATCCTGAAGCTCTAAACACGTTGTGGCCAGGCGGGCAAATAGCTTGATCACGTTCTGCACGTAAACACCCTGGATGTGACCGGGCAGTTGCCTTGGACGGAGCAGGATGTTAAGAGTCTTCTCCGCATCCTCCAGTTCGCCGGCAAACTCGCCGACAATCCATGCGGCGGCGTAGAGCACCTCGTACATAGAGTTACTTTGCGCCGAAACAGTAAACGTGTCCAGCAGGTTGGTCATCTCGTTGACAGCGAATTGCCGGACCACAGGTACTCTGATGGCCACGTCAAGAAGTTGTTCAGCAATTAGACGACCATGCCTTGAGCCAGCCTCAAGCTGGATAAGCTCCACTAGAACCGTCAGGTACCACTCGAAGTTGGTCACGTATAGGTAAGAACTTTGGGCACATATCTCGATCACCTTGTAGAGCAATTCGTCTCGATAAGCCGAACCCTCTGCCCGCTCCATATGGCCCAGTAGACGCTTAACGATCTCCATTAGGTTTTTCTTCGACACCATGCCATAGAGTAAGTCCAGGGCACGCAGGCGAATAGATTCATCCTTATCATCCAGACAGGCGAGAATGAGATCCTTGTGCGCCTGAACGCTTTTTGGATGCGTCTTTAGGATTTTAGACATGGCCAATAGTCCTAGATATTTCACTGCAAAAAGGGAAATAATGATTAATGGAATCTCTTAATGGACATGATAACTCACAGTTCTGATCCGAATCCTCGATAAGGATGCGCAGCTTCTGGACGCAAAGCTGGATAGAGGCACTGTGGTTGGGCATGCCACTGCTGATGCTGATTAGTACTGCGATCACCGTGTTGATGCACTCGTACAGGAGACTCATCGCCGAGGTGCTGTTGAGTGAGTTCGGTTTGGTTTTTGGTTCGTTTTTGTTTTGGTTTTTTGTTGGTGGTTCGGTTGGTTTTTATTTTTTTGTTGTGGTTTGTATTAGTTTGAGAAAAAAGGAACTTGTATTAAGAGTAAGCAGCGGTAAAGCGACAAACATTGCACTACAACAATATAGCAAATAGCAATGGCAACAGCAACAACAACAACAGCAACAGTAATATCGATAGCTTAGTATAGTGGTTTTAGCGATAACAATTATAGCGATAGACAATAGGAAAACTTAAAATTGCGAAGCAACGCAGCAAAAGGCAACTAAAAAAGAAAAACCAACAACAGCAACAACAACAACAACTGCAACGGCTCGATTTTTTTGTTAGTTTCTTCCGCTTTTTTCGATTTTAAAGAATATATAAGATTTGTTCTCAATGTTTGTGCTTGATAAGCAAAAATATCGATTGACAAACGACAAAACTAAAACAATTACAAACTAAAGCAGGATGGCGACAGTCATAAGTTTAGAGAAAGAGAGATATCACGAGAGCGAGATAGGTTAAGGACATAAGAAGTTAAAAGATTTGTACAGTTAAATGATAAAAAAAGAACTAATATATATATAATTATTGAGTCGCACAATCATCGAGCAGCTTCAATTTATCAATCGATTATTAATCGGTCACATTTATATTTCGATTCTTTGCTTTCGCCTTGCTTTGTTGCAATCGTTTTCCACAAAAACTTTCGGGGAATCTTATTGTTTTAGTTCAGTTCAGTTTTTTTGTTCGTTTTGCAATGATTTTAGACTTGCCTATGAATTAGATTTGTGAGTGGTTCTATTAATTTCTTTCCTAGCCGGGGTTCTAAGGGGGTTAAAGCGCCAAACTGCAAATGCAAAGAGAAAAAGAAACAAGCAAAAAATTATAATTTACATACAATCGAAATCATCAACGTCCGTATCCACAACTAAAACTATAACTAAAGCTAAAACTAAAACTGTAATCTAAACTAAAAATAAAATGTTAAAATATATAATAAGTAAATCAACACTTTAAAGAACATTTCTCTGCCTATTTAACTGGTTGTGAGTTTCGTTTTATCGATCATTTTTGAATCTTGGTGTGGTCCATTTCCTTCTGATTCGGATCTCATGATGATAAGTCTATTATATATCGAGTATTTCAGGGTCTTTTTTTGTAGTAGCGAAATAAAGATTTTTCAATTTGATTGGTATACATTTTATGATTTGTTTTTGTTTTTTTTTTTGTTTTTAAATCAAGCGAATTAAGCGGTTTTTTTTAACACAATGAAGCCAAAGGAGTACGACGTGGTGGTTTGAGGTGGTGAGGGTAGATGAACTAAAGCTTATTGACAAAGGTTTTTAGAAATTAGGAATAACAATATAGTTGTGACGAAGCAAAGATAATTGATGATCGCGAGATTTTTTTAAATAGAATCAAATAATTGCTGAACAGTTTCATATTCTGTTTTATCATTGCTTTAAGATAAAGTTATATTACAATTCTGAAGACTAGACTTATTCTCTATAAGCTTTGTTCATTATTTGAGTAGGATTATGGAACATAATGTGCATCAACATGGGTGTACAAAAGTTGTGGTATCATTGAAATTTGCAAAGTCAATTTGGGTAATTTCAATACAATTTAAATAATCAATTACGACGCTCATATGTGTTAATTTCTTTGGATGTGTGATAGGGTTTTAAGTTTAAGGTGTGGTAAATGTGATGCAGATTCTGGCAAAACAGTAGAATATGAAGTACTTTTTGGTTGTAATTTAACAATTTCAATATAATACTTCACATTTTCCAATTTGCCTTGAATAATTTAAATAAAAAAGGGGAAAATAATTACTAAAAGTATACAATATTATCTGTGTTGCTTTCCATTTAAACAATTAGAATACGAAAATATATACCAACGAAAGGATAAAGGTTGTTCAATAACTAAATTGTAAATAGTAAAATGCTTTAGAGTAAATCAAAGCGCGTGCTGGTTTTTAATTAAGTTTCTGGATTGGATTTTTCGTTGGTCTGATTAAAGAAAAGCGCGCCGATAAAAACCTGGAAATAATTTCAATTAGGGGCTGAGTCAATTTGCGTCCCAGCGCCGGTTCAATTGTCGTGAGGCTCGCGAACTAAAATTCATTCGATTTTTTATTTGGCATTTCATTCAGTTCAGTTTTCATTAGTATTTGTTTCATATATATAAATATATATATTTTTTGTTGGAGTGGTTTATACATATTTTTTTTTTTGTTATTTGTTTGGAGCAGGAGCAGAGGGAGGAGAGGGGGAGGAGTAGTTGTAGTGTTAATTAACTTTTTTTTCAGACAAAAATTCATTGTCATATATAAAAGTATACGTATTAATATATATATATATATATATATATATATATATATATATATACATATACAGCAAAAATAAAATCGTTGTTTGTCCATGAACAAACAAAAATCATAAGATACATACTTAAAAAAGAAACTTAAGAGTAAAGTAATTATTGTGAATCTTTGGTGGCCAGTGATGTGGAGCAGCACTCACCAGCTTTATGATTTTGATCAGCATCCAATTGTTGGTCGATGTGGTCATTAGCTTGAAGAAAATCGGCGCCAATGGCAGGTAGTTTTTTGGATTCTTACGCGCTAATTCACAAATAACATTCACGGCAGCTGATTGAACACCTTTAAAAACAAACAATAGATATATGCATTAGAATCAATTTCCTTCTTAAAATGCTGCACAATTGTCTGTGTTATAATTGAACCTGGATCTGGATCCTCAAGTTTCTCCTTGAGTTTGGGAAATGCAGGTCTCAATGCTTCGGGATAGCGTAAAAATACTTTATACATCATAAGGACGGCTTTCATACGCAGATACGGTTTTGTTGAGCTCATCTAGAAGATTAAAACAATTTATAATTGATTAAAATGTGTTTGAAATACTTAAATAATTGTTAAATACCAGTGTCATAATATCATTGGCCAAATCGCGGGACAGATCGGGTGATATGAAGCAGCTTAACCCACTCAGCGCCACTCCAGCATCGTATTGATTTTGTGAATTGAGATCCTTGCGTATCATGTTCGTGGTCAGCATGAGCAGCTAAAATGTGTACAAAAAGATACATAATAAGTTTTCATTGTTTAATAAATATTTAAATAATTTACCTCGCTATCCGGATGAAAACATTGACTGGCCGCCAGGTAACCAATTCGCTTGCAGGTAAATCTGGATGAGCTCATCACCTCAATGATGTTAAAGCCAGCCCAGGAGATGTCGTAGCCCAGCATTTGTATCTGTTCGAATTGAAAGCAAATCAATAAATATTAACATTTTCTGCTGATTTTGTGCAAACGAATTGAGTTGTCTAGAGGGTTCCCTCGTGTGTGTTTATCTATTAAATATGTGCGCTGGATGGATGGGGCCCAAGGACTCGTTAGCATTGAAATCTCTTTTGCTGCACCTCGTTTGCCCACCCTACGCCCGCGGGTAAATAAATGGTTATAAGGGATTTTATCCCACCTTTCAGTCAATTAAACAATAAGTAAGGATTAATTGAATGGAAAAAATGATATAATAATATTCTTTATATGAAAATATACATTATAATATTCGTATTAATGAAAATTCTGCGTTTTTTGAGAAGCAAGGAAATACTTATAAAAATTGGAAAACATTGGCATTGCTTTTAAGATGTTAAAAGTCTTAAAAGCAACCCAAACAAATCTTAATTTAAGCCAGCATATTCTTAATATGAAAACCAAAAACATTTTCTTGTCTCAGCTCTCCTATTGTCTTCATCACAACTGTGCCAACAATATAACTTGTATGTTGTTGATGGCATCTTTCGGATCGCTTGTTAGTTGGTCACCATGTGGGTGGCAGTGGCGGCGGAGGTGGTAGGTTGCTTTGTTGTTGCATCCCTTGTTTCCGCCGATTCAGTTGTTATTTTTACGGCTGTTGCTGTTTTTGTCCTTATTGTCACACTTGCCTACAAGGACCCCATACCTTTGGCAATTTGCATCAAGTGCAGCCAAGGCACTTCGCCGACTTTTTTGAATGTGGGGCCCCAGCCAGATTCGGGGACATGTTCGCTGAATCTGCACTTCTTAATCTAACGCTAAGACGTCGTCTTCAAGGGAATAGAGAATACCCTTAAGATTGCCGACGCAGGTGAACAGCTTATTTTAAGAGGATATACTGATTTTTTTGAGGTTTTTTAAACAAATTTTGATTTGTTAAATTTATCTACATATCAAACAAACTTTGGACTAAACCATTTGTCTTTGCCTAAGATTCTCCGCAGCTTCGATGAATTTTAAGTGTTATATATTAAGTTAATAACTATACTTACATAGGTCAACTTGGCCACTGCATTGCACTTGACACTGATATTGTCCTGTCGCAGCTCCTGTTTGATCTCCTCGATGCAAGTCGATATGTATTTGGCCTGCGGAGAAAGTACATGTCAATCAATCTGTTTACATATACATATATACTATATGGGTTGGTGATGTCAAAATACGCGAAATGTGCATCGCCAGCAAATCATAAAACAACAAAAATATCTGAGAATCGTCGAGGGGCTATCAGTTTTATACCCTCCACATACTCACAGCAACAGAAGCAAAATAAACACAAATTCCAAATCATACAATTGCAAACAAAATACTAGTGAACAAATACAAATTAAGTAAATTTTATAGAAAAACCCAATAAGTTGAATATTATATATTATTGACTTTGTTATGGGGGGTTTCCCTCAGTTTACATTAAAGAGCTTATTAAGTTAACTACATTTGCACATAAATCAATGCTTAGAAGTAGCATACCAACAAAAAAGAACATCTCGAAATAAAAAAGAAATGCGCAATTGAAATACCTAGTTTGTTACATTATTTTTATCTTTAATTTGTTAATTTATAAATTATTATAAAAAAAAACCCTAAAAGACATATGTTAATATGTGACATATGCAATTCAGCAAATTTATCAACAAGAGTACCTTAAGAATTTGTATAGTTAACTGGTTAAGAAAGCCTATTAAACTCAATGCTACTTTTTCTGTAATTGTTTACCTTAATAAATATTAATTTAAGTGTATTATATAGTATCATTTGCATTTTAAATTGAATCTCGTCTGGGATCAATATCGGTTCAATATGGAACATTAAACAGATAAAAATAATAAACACTTTTCTTTCTGTGTTGACAAGGAAGTACTAGTACCGTTGGTTGATCCAGCCAAGCATTCTGATAAGGACCAAAAAGGCAATCATGAGTAAATTTATTTGATAAAAGCACTTGCTAATTAATTGAGTGCGTTGGGAGTTTTTGCGTTGAGTTTTGTGGCTCTTTTCCAGCTTTTCCTTTTGCATTGTTGGCAGATGCCGACACACACACACACACACCAGCTTTCTCCCACACTCGGGCACACATACACACGCACACTAAACTCTAATAAGATTCCCTTAATGCAAACGAAATTTGTCAGCCAATTAGCGAGTTCTAATTGGACGCACAGCTGGCCCACAGGGGGCGTGGCAGCTGTGGGCGGCAGGTTTTGGGAGTGGGATGCTTTTGGGGGGCAGTTGCTGGCCGTCCAGGACACGCTTACCTCATTATCCTTGTTGTTCCTAATGCCGCGCACCAAATCAGTGAGGTTTTTATCAAACATACGCTCAAAAAAGTTACCCTTCACTTTCTTCAGTGCCATGTTTGCTGTTGCTGTTGTATTTTTTTTTCTACTCCACTCCGCTTCGTTTCGACGATTAGCAAACGGTAAATCACTACAGGACTTTGACTATTTTGGCAAGGCGATTTCAACACATCACCGGCGGCAGCAGAAATCACTCACTTCCGTCTTTTTTCGATTTGTTTTCGTTTTTTTAATTGTAATACGCTCGCACACTAGAGCTGGAACTAAAAACTTTTTGTTTAATCGATACCTATCGATGCTACTACATATAATACTTCTATCGCAGTCTCATATCGGTTATGATCTCTGCTATTGTAGTTATGGTGTTACTTCGGTGGTGATCTTTGCTAAATGGTATGTTAAATGTATGTTACTGGCAAAAAATGTTAACCGCTTAATCGACTATCGATTACTTAACGGTCAATCCAAGCGGAATCCGTTAGAGGGCAACTGAGTTTGAAATACAAAGATACAATTTAGAAATATTAATGTTAAGTAATTTCTCGGAAAAAAGACCTCGATCTTCATTCAAATTTGGAATGGGATAACTCGCTTGCCATTTTTCACAAAAATGTGTAATGTTACCACCTCATATACTCATGGTCTTGATCTTAGCCATCCATAATAATTTACAACTTAATGTTATTACTTATTTTCCGCCATTATTTGATTAAAACAATAAAAATGACAAACATACGTATTACTTTCAAAACAAAAACGATTCTTTTAATGCAATTAAGCGTTTATTTCAAGCTTGCATTACGGTTTAAAACTGTTCAAAACATTAACATTTTAAAACGCTCTCTTCCTTCTCCATTTAAAATACTTAACACTTTCTTATGTTTACTTTTAATTACCATTAGGTAATTGACAAACTCACTTAGGGAAACGCGTTTTAACTAAGCTTCGATGTAAAATTTATGGTATTTTAATAGAACAGTGTGCGCCATCCGAAAAATGAATCTCCATTTAATACTTTCGATTACAACTACTCAAAAAAAATGTCGGATATGAGAGATAAATATTTGAGATATCTTAAGTTGATGGCTTGCAGCCGACCGATTGACGGAAATGCTTGAGATATACATGCAGGTGCAGATTCTTTTCGATTCAAAATAGCTTAGTTAATAGTTGGATTAGTTTTCTGAATTGCTTTTGTTTGCTTAACTTCAATGGTATATATATCTCAAAATCGTATGATTCGGATATTGGCACTGGGATGACGTGATTGTAAGGACAATGGACGCTATTCCTTTGTGGTCGGCGCATGGACCACAAACCGGCTATTGTTTAAGCAATAAACATTGCTCATTCGCATGTGCTCAAATGTCAGCGGCTTGCTTAGACTGATGTCTCTCTTCTTGTAGTACTCGTTAAAGTCCAACCGCGTGCCAAAGAGCTGAAGATTCGGATCGTGACTTGAGTTGAGGGCCATTAGGAAACTTCTTACGGCCTTTTCGTAGGCAGATGCTATCACTTCCAGGCCACGGTAGGCGATGTCAATCTTTTCGGCAAATATCTTGCTCTCCTGGTCACGTTGTAAGATGACCTCATTGGTCAGGCCATAGACACCTTGTTTCTCCGAGTTTTCCACCACTTTGGCCAACTCTTGGCGCGCATCCAGCTCCTTGAAGCAATCCTTGTAGAAAGACGACTGCCAGTTCTCCAATTCGATAATATTCTCGTACACCGTCTCCAACGGATGTTCCGCATCCGTTTTGTTGCTGATAAAACAGCCCACCTTGATTGTTTGCAGGAATTTTTGATGGGCTTCCAGGATGTCATCGAGTGCTGTCGCCTGCTGCATCTTCCGTTGTAACTCTACCCAATTGCACTCAATCACCTCAAACAACACATAGTACTGCATCTGGTGGATAAAGTGCATGATCTCTGACGTGAAGAGGTTTAGGCGATGCGAGGCCTTACCGATCTCAGCGGATATGAGTCGAAGGGCCTAAAAAAGATAAAGAACCATTATATTTTAGCTTAGCTATATATATTAAAATATTTGAAATAATATATTTAAGAACTTTTAATAAAGTTTTAAAAAATAAATCCTGGTGGCAACGCCGTCTTAACAGCGATAACCGATTGCAATGCCAAGTCGATAAGCGCGAAAATCGATAGCAGCATTGTTTACATTCGTGATTCGTTGCTTTCAGAATCCCTTTATCTGGCTTATCAGTGTCGTACGGCAAAGATTACGGCTTAACCAGTCACGTTGTCAGCGAGATGGCCCTTTCGATCTTCAAAGACTTGCCCGCGGAGCATCCGCGCCACCTGATTCCATCGCTATGCAGGCAGTTCTACCATTTGGGATGGGTTACCGGAACAGGAGGTGGAATGAGCATTAAATACAAGTTAGTGGGCATACAAATCTGACTTCTATAGCATATTATAAACACAGCTAATCCCATCTAGCGATGAGATCTACATAGCACCATCGGGCGTCCAGAAGGAGCGAATGCAACCCGAGGATCTGTTTGTGCAGGACATAACCGGCAAAGATCTACAGCTGCCGCCGGAGATCAAGGGATTAAAGAAGAGCCAGTGCACGCCACTATTCATGTTGGCATACCAGCACCGCCAGGCGGGAGCCGTTATTCATACTCACTCCCAGCACGCTGTAATGGCAACGCTTCTGTGGCCAGGGAAAACCTTCCGCTGCACCCATTTGGAGATGATCAAGGGTGTGTACGATGAGGCGGATAAGCGATATTTGCGCTACGATGAAGAGCTGGTGGTTCCAATCATCGAGAACACTCCATTCGAACGCGACTTGGCAGATAGCATGTATGCCGCCATGATGGAGTATCCCGGCTGCAGTGCTATTTTGGTCCGTCGACACGGCGTTTACGTTTGGGGACAGAACTGGGAGAAGGCAAAAACCATGTGGGTATTTCTCATTCCAGCTTCCAACTACATTTATTCCTAATCCTATATCTCTTTTAAAAAAATATCAGGTCGGAATGCTATGACTATCTCTTTTCTATTGCTGTGGAAATGAAAAAAGCCGGAATCGATCCAGAGAAGTTCGAGAGCTCATAAGGAAATAAAGCTGATAAAAATACACACGCCAATCGCTTGTTAACACTGCATAAGCCTTTTAATGCATTTACTATAAGAAATGTAATTGTCAAAGCAAAATAAAAGTTCCCTTTTGTTGGTCCAATATAAAACAAGTTTGTAAAAACTTAAATTGTTCAATGTCAGAGTTTAAACAATTAAAAATAAGAATTCGTTAACGAATTTTGTAATTACTTTAATTGCGTAAACAATGGGTTAATAATGTTTCTTGAATGAGCTCATGAGGTGGCATATTGTTCCCTAATAATCTCAAGACTCTTGAAGCCTTATCGCCATTTTATGGACATTTCAAACTGAGTGCGCACTTTGCACTAAAACTTGAACCAAGGAGCGTGGTAACAGCCATGGACAACAGCTGATAACAGCTGTTACGGGTCCATGTTAGCTTCCCATGTTAATGTTAAAGTCTAAACTCCATACAAGTTACCGTGGTTTTGTAGATTGCAAAGTATAAGCTAGTTTTGATCTTATCTGTTGAAAAAATTGTTTTAAGCAGGTGATTATATATATATGGCATGCTGAAGATATATTTAAATTTATCATTAGTTTTAATTTTTTGAACTTTAAACGTTTTTCTAATATTTACAAATTCGCTGGCCTACCGTACATCAGCTGGTTAACAGTTTCGTGAGAGTGAGAGAACCCAATAATAGCACACACTAACAACGTTAAGCACCGCAAATGTAAACGCAACAAGTGCGAGCGAGTGAGGTCTATCTCGACCGGCTCTTCGCTGTACCGCCATCTCGCTCCCACGCGGCAGGGGGAGTAAAGTGAAAAAAAGCGACAATAAAATCACCGATTGCACGCTGCCTGCTCATTATTTCGCGTTCTTCGCTCAAAGCGTAAGCATTTTCAACGGCGTACAAACGAGAGGAAGCCCATTGAATTTTCTTTTTATTTTTCGGACACAGAAAAACATACACACAAAACAACCATGTCTCTGCAGTCGGACGCCGTTTTCCAGAAGATCATCGATGGACTGAAGGACAACGAGGCCAAGGCCAAGGCGGTCAACGGTGTGTTCCTGTACAAAATCACCAAGGACGGCAAAGTGGCCAAGGAGTGGAGTAAGTACGCCAATCACTAATTGCGCCCGTAAAAAGCACACACACCCCCGCCAAAAAGCGGCACTCCCTCCATAATACAAGGGCGAATCTAGAGTACGTTAGTGTGAAGAGGGGCTTATTTTCTCTTCTACCAATATCTTGTAATGCAAAGTAATTATCATTGCATGCAATGAAATATTGTTTTTTATCTATGTATTGTAAAATAGGTTTAGTGAACAACCCCCTCTGTGTTCCACTCCTGACTTTTCGAGTACGTGGTCTTTGCTTATGTGTTTTGCATTTTCTAGTAGTCACAGTTCAAAGTGCACAGCGTTTGTACTTCGGCACCAGCTGTTGGCATTAACATAAGCACTGTATTGCCTATTTGTTCGATCAAGGAAATTTATTACAGGGCTTAACCTCTATATACAACAACTTGTTGCACTTTCACGTTTAAAAACAGACCTGGATTCAGATATACTGAAACTAATTTATCCAAAAACGTACCGCCTTTAAGGCCTTTAGACTCCCTAACTGTATCATTTGAAAAATATTTTCAAATGCTTCAAATCGATTTTAAGGAATAGTTGTGATTATTATACAGTTATTAAATTGAAAACTAATCACTTAAGTGATACTTTAAAAAAGAGAGATATTTAATCCCTTAATCCCAAATGGAAACTAATAACTTATTCAAACTTTCAGCTCTGGACTGCAAGAACGCCAAGGCCTACGAGGGACCCGCCCAGGGCATCAAGGTGGACACCACCTTGACGGTTGCCGACGAGGACATGGTTGACATCGCCCTGGGCAAGCTGAACCCCCAGGCGGCCTTCATGAAGGGCAAGCTGAAGATTGCCGGCAACATCATGCTCACCCAGAAGCTGGCGCCGCTCCTGAAGACCGACGCTAAGTTGTAAAAGGATCATCAGCCTAACCTGCACATTCCTCACCAACAACGCGTGTGTTCTTTTATTATTTTTTTTTTCTTTTGTGTGTAATTTGTAATCTGTATTCGTGTTTTTGTTTCACCACATAATTAATGTTATTTTTGTACGGGAAATCGTCTACAAAACTAGAAAATAATACATAAGGCGAAAACGACAAATTCGTGTGCACTTTGATACTACGGAAGGTTTATCGGTAAGTGGGTAATCGTTGCGGATTAGATTACAGGGCAATCTTATCAAGGTGTTATAGGCGATTTCTTGACTAAAACCTTTCGAACTTCGACTTCCTTTCAACGTAAAAATAGATCCCACATCTGTTGCCAGATTAGCTTTTTTTCAATAAATCCTTGGTTGCTTTTAATCTTTAAATTTAAAAACATATCAGAAAGATAAGGTGTTAGGTAAATTAGGTTAATAAAAAGGGCGTCATAGACGTAAAAGCAAATAATTTTACCAACAGATTATAATTATAAGAAATAACATTTTATCTGTAACCAGATTATAGAATCTTCTGATTATCGGTAATATTTTATCCCTAATAATTCACCTAAATTGATTTGCATTTTGGACCTCTCTAAGTTACAAATTTCTCAATAAAAATCACAGTCGACCTTTCAATTAAATTCAGTATACTTTTTACCATGTGCAGCCTGAATGACACCCGCTAATCTAAATATGTACATATGTGCATATACTCGAAAGACCGATAAGAAATTAAAAAGCCAGTAAGTACACTCACCTTTGCATTGCCCATCTGCTCCTTCCATATCTTCATCGAGAGTACAAACTCCATGTGCTTCATACGCCACAGTGGCTTGAAGAGCAACTTGTACGTGGGCATGGTGGGCTCCAGCATGGTGGCTAGTGGTCCCTCAACGATGTACTGCAGCGAAATGATGTCCCAGCCAATATCTCCGTTGTACGGTCGCTGCACCATAACATCGAGATGGTTGAGAATATCAGGATCTTCGTACTGGGCATTTGTGCAACGCAAAGCGGCATCCAACATGGAGGAGAGATCATTGGCATATATATCCGCACCAGTTCGCTCTAGTTCGTCTCTGCAAAAGGGTTTAGTTAAGAGTTAGAAATTATCTATCTAGTTGACTTCCTAAAACCCACTTCATATTCTCAATGAGTATGCTAACAAAGTCGCCCTGGCCCAGTAGCAAATAGCGGCGCATTCCTTGTAGATGATCCAACAGTTTGTGGGGACCCACCATAATGTCCAGAACATGTTTCGAGGTCTGCTGGTAGCATGTTTCCACAGCTGCATGCCAACTAGTGTCCGGCACATACGAAAAGAATTGTGAAACTGTCAATAAAAGAATATTAATAAATATATTAAGATGATAAACTTGGACGGAAGATTTATGTCAACTCACCATTATTGTCCATTACTTTCTTGAGCTCATCGCGCCCCTTTGACAGTCCCTGCATCTCGCAGATTTCTCTCAGAAAGTTGATGCATTTCCCCGTCTTAAGAATCTTATCTGCCAGATCCATGGGAACAAACTTGGGCAGCATGACTACACGTAGCCGAAATTTATCGTGCCAGAGCCGATCAACACCTACATCATTGAGGGATTCTACAAAGAACTCGCTATGTAGATCGTTAATGTCGCCCTCTAACATCCATTTGGAGATCATCCGCACCAGCGGGCCACAAATTGCAGTTAGAACGTCTTTAACCACTGTATTTACCATCGTATTTCCATTGTCGAGGAAATCGTAAACGGTTGATACCAATTCGCCGCCCTTCTTCAGCTGGCATGCATCGGCGATCTTAGCGAGCCACTGCAGCCGATGCAGTGGCTTCAAGTACCAGGCGACCAGACTAAATAGCGTCAGTTCGGCGTCACCACCGAGTTGGCGGTTACGGTTCAGATTATCGTGAAGCACAGCAACCTGGCCCCGGAAATCCGTCAGCTCCTCTTTAAGCTTGGAAATCAACGCCTGACCCATGCAGCCCATGGCATTGAAACCAGTGGACACATCAGAAAACTTGACCACGCGATCGTGGTAGTACCCAAGCTCTGAGAGTCGAAGTAACATGCTTGCCTGTCCAGTGGTCAATATTTTTATGTTCGCCGGATCAAGCTTAAAACGTCCTGTGACTACGTCCTTTTTCAGATATTTTCCTTGGACGCCCGTAAAGGAGTAAATGGCATTTGTCACTAAATCCTGTCGGCCCTCAGGCAACTTTTGTGATGCCAAGATGCTTAGATAGTTTGGCAATGGTTGTTGGCCCAATCCGATGTCTGACTGGGAGGTATCGTAGCTAAAACTTCCTCCTTTGCCTACTCCATTCCCATTTTGATTGGTATAGGTATGGCTAGAGCCATTTGTCCAAGTAAGACTCGTGCCGGACGTTACACGACTGCTTAGTACCTGACTTAGATTATCTGATCGGGTGTTCGAAGGAGCTTCAACTTCGTTAGCGGCTTGCTTATCGACGACTGATAGCAGATAGCTCATCAGGGAATGCCTCGTATAGGGATCAATCTTAACCTGCAAGAGTTTCTTGTAAAGCTCGTAATATCGTTCCGCTATATTCTGGCCATCCACTTTTTCCCTGATGCACAGCAGTTTCATTGCCTTTTGGACACATTCGCGTTCCAGCAGAGGTGACATATTCCAAACGGCACCAGAATTGTTGGCTACGCACTCAGAAACATGGGCTAGGATATGATCTGTGAGGAAGAAATAAATCTAAGCATATTAAATATATTGTAGAGAAAGGTTTAGTTTTCATTAAGTTATGCAATCCCCATACCTAAATCCTAAGATGAAGATCATCTTAATTTTCCCAAAGGTTTAATTTAAATATTTTAAGGAAAACAAAGTTTAAGATATTTTTATGACTTCATGAAACTCTCTACTACTACTACTCTACTACATCTGCCATGAATCTGGCCTTTCAAAAGCAAAGCAAGGCTGCCTTTGAGATCAACAAGGACCTCAGCTCTTAGCTTCTAATCTTAGTAAGCATCTGGCCTTTTCTATATCTTGGAGCTTGTGGAAAATGCATAATCTGATATAGGACTCCAGAAAAGGCTAAACGCCCCTTAGTAGCCAATCAGTGAGTAATTCCATATCCGATTGCCAAATCTCACCATGAACTTCAGGAGGCTGTTTGCCCTCAATGCAAATGTACATATCCATTACGATTTTAGCGAATTGAGCAGTCGCTGCGGCCACATCATCTGGTATATTTTCCTGTGACATCCTGATGGACCGAAATCGGAATCGATCACTTCAATATTCATAAATCCAAGGGGCGCGCGATGAACAATAAATTCGGATAGCTTGGGATTGCGAAGTGAACAACAACTGGTGGCCAATAATGCACGCACACCCGATTCCCGGATAATATCCGGCATAAAGTCGACTCCAATTGCTTTGAAAGCTTGAAATGTCCAGTGGATAGGATCAAAAAGCGTTCAATTGGCGCGAACTTTAATAAAATAATTTATTAAAATAATTTAATACAGTGTTACCGTATTTGGCAAACTGGTCAATGTCAAAAGACAATAAGATGTGTACACACTGGCAGAAAGTACAGCTATCTGGTACCTCTGGCTTTTTTGAAAAGATATAAAAAATACTTATAATAATCCGATTTTAAATGACTGAATGTCATTGTAATTTAAATACATAAATTTTCAAACGAATTTTAGTTTTTTATTTGTTTAAAAACCCATATGTCAACTCTTACTGCAGAGATCTGGCAGCCTTTTTGGGATTTCCATAACACGCACTGAATGGTCACATTTGCGACACAATATTTTGCAAATAAACTAGAAATAGATAAATTAAACTAAAAACTTACGGTTAAAAGAATGGGCGTCACTGTCTTGCAACCGTATCCTTTGCCCGAAGGAAAATCAGGGGCGCATATAATCGATCAGCTGAGCAAACGTCTGCTTGCACTTGGCGCTACACATGCCGGTCAATTTTTGGTTGACTGCGAAACGTTCATCTCGACGCCGCAGCCACATAATGGCGCACCAGGACGTGCCGTCCATGTTCTGCACAACTCTGAATATCCCGCCTCCACGTTCTCCATCATCGACAATGGTACCGGCAAACAGGTGGCTCTCGTCGCCGACAACATCTTCGATCTGCTTATGCTCAAGATGACCAACACCTTTACCTCTAAGAAACAGACTAAAATCGAATCCCGTGGAGCTCGTTTCGAGTATGGTGATTTTGTTATCAAACTGGGATCTGTCACAATGATGGAACACTTTAAAGTATGACTAATAAATTTATATATCGAAATGTTATTTGCTAATCGTTATTGTATGTCCCTTCTATTTTTATTTTCAGGGAATTCTCATTGAGATCGAGTACAAGGCGTGTGTAATACTGGCCTACTGCTGGGAGATGATCCGTGAGGTGTTGCAGGGTTTTCTAGGCATTAGTGTGCCAAAGGACTTTCCTTCGTATTTCGCCCCTCAGACGATAATGACAGCGATGGGCCAGCAACAGCTGCATGCGAAGCACAACGACATCTACGAGCCAATGGACACGGTGAAACAATACCTAGAGCAGTTCACCAGCTATAGGAAACATGTACTTGGGAGTATGGGCAGTGGTCCTGGAGGGCCACAAGTGGGTCCACCTGTACATATGTCGCCCTCGGTGGTGGGCCTGAATCGACCCTGATCCGCTGACGTTAAGCTGGAGCCACCGGATGGACCAGTAGCCGATTAAGCTGGATAATTCAGATATTTGTCATTAATTCAGTCAAAGATTTAAAGGTGTTCTTGTATGTTTCAGAATCTTTCAGTATTCATTGCAAAATTAAATTAAAAATATTTAATCCGGCTTACCTTGTCCAATGTTATACGTACATATATGCTTTGAAAATGTAGATTTCTGTAACAATACGATTTTGAAACATTCTGAACCGTAAATCTTTGGGTATTTTAGAAGTTTCTTAGATTTATTTTATAACATATTTATAAATTTTATTTGCTCGTGTATAATTAAAGTAAATTGAACTCGCCTTTTTTTCATAGAATGTAAATAGGCTTAACGATCGGACGAATGTAAATCTTTTTATTTAATTTTAGAAAGATCTTTTCAGGAAATACGAATAAACACAAACAAATTGAAGAATTTTTGTTTTTAATTTTATTTTTATGTATATTTTTTGCTTTTAACACATAGTTTATATATATATTTTTTATATATAGATGTGTGTGTTTAAGAATATGTCGAATTTTTGTTTCTTCATGAAATGTAAACAATTAATAATATATGTGTGTGGGGCGAAAACAAAAGTCTTTTTCTTATATTATAAAATGCAACGTTTATTCAATCCAAAAAAAAAAAGATGCAAGCGAGAAAAAGATGAATCCGTTGGTAAATGTATGTAAATATATAAAACTAAGCTTAATTATGTTAGTCTTATAACACACAAAGTTACAAAAAAAATTAAGGAAATCAATCGTGACGATAGTGTGAGCTTAGGGAATAATCAAATATGTTTCTGCTGTATTACAAATGAATGGAATTTGTGTGTGTTCTTGTGTATTGGCTGTATAACAGTGATTGGTTAAACATTATTTTCATTAACCGATTTTTTTGGGGGGTGGGGGGTGTACAAAGAGAGTGTGTGTATAACAGTTTCGTATAAGTAATATGCTTTGCTTTCAAGTGGCATAATGACAGCGTGCTAAGTACGCTGCTGTATCTTTCTCCTTTATCATATGCGCGATCCCAATCGAAAGAAAATCAACATCGAATGCTGCATCGTTGCTCCTTGGTATCCACGGTTCTCTGGCTGGATTCTCTCATTTTTCATTTTTTTGTTGTGATCTTTTCACTTATCTTGTTTTTACAAATCTTTAAAATATATACTCCTTCGCATTACGTTTTTTTTAAAGTTACATGTAGGTAGGTAAGATATACGTTGTAGGTGTTTATGTAGGTTTTTTTTATAATAATGAATATAGTTTATACGGAGATCAGATTCCGATTGATTGTTTGTTGTTTTTTTTGTTTTGTGTGTATGTGACCGTTGTTTCGGGATTTTCTTAAGGGTCAGTATCTGTCATTTTTATCAAGTTTTTTTGCGACAAATTCTCCATTTCGTCTCTTCTTATTAAATTTTTGTTATTCTTAGCATTCCTCTGGATTTTCCTTTTTGTAATTTGGTGTTTTGTTTGTTGTTTTCTTGTTGTTGCTTCTTCTCTAGGTGTCCTTGGGTTTGGAGTTGTTATATAAGCATATGAAGCATATAAGTTCCTTGTCATAGTTCCGATTTAATCGCGCAGTGACAAGGTAGCCGGCTTCACATGACCGCCATCGCCCTCCGAAACAAAACGCTTGCGTCCGCTGCAAATATAAAATCGGGAAAATTGATCACAAATTGGTTAATCAATAACATGAAGGGCAGGGGTCCATACAAATAATAGCCCACAAGACTAGATAAACATACTAAACTAATGAAATGACCATCGAATTATCATGTAGACATTTGCTTAATTTGTATTTACATATTTCTGGCTAAAGTGGTTTGAGAGGAAATTAAGGTAATATTAAGTACTTGATTAATTGACTTCATTTTCGAATTATTCATTAATTCACTAAAACTGCTGATGATAAAGTCTAACAGTTTACCTAAAATCTTTATGAAACATCCTAAAGAAATCTGGATTTAAATAGGAACCTACATACACATGAAAATACTTATAAAGAGATAACAGTAAGCTAAAGTAACAAAGAAATAAATGCATTTTAAATGCAACTGCATAATATTATCTCCCTATCTCTTTCTTATTCTGCCGTACGCACTAATCAATTATACAATTATGCAATGCTATGCAATGCCACAAAAAAAAAAACAACAAAACAAAGAACAAGGAAACAAAGAGGGAAAAGCAAAAAACAAGTTGCAAAATGCTTGGCGCAAATTTGGCAACAACAATAACAAGAACAACAACGAATTTGCACAAAAGTTCATTCAACCGTTGACCCTTTTTCGCGCTCTCTCTCTCTCTCTCTCTTCGCTCGTTTTCTCTATCTCTCTTTTCAGCAACAGCTGTGCGAAAGTAGCGGGTGAATAAGTTTTTAGAGGAGGGAGGAGTAAAGGGAAATTAAAACTAGTTTTTTTCAGGTAGCTACTGACCAATCTAAGGATTCTATACAAAAACAAAAAGGCCAAAACCAGCTGGAGCCTGAATTGTTGCTTCTATAAATATTCGTCCAAGTGGGGGACTAAATGCACAAATATCAACATAAATGAATAAATATAGAGTCAAATAAAATTGAGGCAAGATAAGCGGAGAGACCACAAAGTAAATATACGAGTCGAGCAAAAAAATAAAAAATAAAAATAAGAAAAGCAAAAAACATAACAGAGCGGAGCCCCCAGCGAAGCCACGGCATAGCAGTTCTGACAGTTTAGCTATTTCTAGGTAAAGCTTTTAACTTTTTAAAACATTTATTACTAATTTACCATTCAATTAAGTTGTAATCATTTTAAGTTAAGAGACATCTTTAAATTTCCTTTAAATCTTATAAATTTTGAGTAGGTATAAAATATTCTAAACCATCTTTTACTTCACATATTGGAGTTTTCAAAACTCTAAAAATCACTGCTGAAAATAAGCTAAGCTTAAGCCAACACTCGGCCTCATCAACCGTTATGTCTGAGTGTCTTGGCATTGAGTTCAGCTTTGCTTTAAAAACGAAAAAAAAAAATCTATTTTTTGCAAGCTCCATGCAGCTGTAGTTGCGTTGGCGTCACATATAGTTTTTGTTGTTGCTGTTGTAAAGTGAATGGTGTTGTTGCTGCTGCTGCTGCTGCTGTTGCTTGTTGTTGCTGTTGTTGTTACTGCGCTAAAAGTGGCAAAGTGCAATAGCCGCTGTCAAGGCGAAATGCAAATGCAGATGCAGTTATAGTAGCAAAGGCAACAACTAAAACAAAAACAAAAACAACGATAGCAACTAAAGTGGGAGTGGCAAGCAGGTCGATAACAGCAACTTGGCCGCCATGTTTACCTTCGCACAAACACTCTAGCACAAACAAACGAACACAACACCAAACTCAAGCTCACACATACACTAACAAAAAACCACAAGGCGATCTTGAGCCACATGCAGGTTGTTGCACCAACAAACAACAAAAGTATTAATAGATTGAAAACAAATTGAAACAAACAAACATGAACCCGAATAATAAACATTACGGCATTGCAAAGTTTGCCGTGATAAAAAAATTAAACATTAATCGATAAGAGACGTTCGCCCACCCGTCACCTCTGCCCACCATCTCAGACATCGATGTCATTTATTTTTCAAAACAAAGATAAGAAACGGAAAGAAGATACTCAGTGTTTATATCCTAAGAATTTATATATATTTTTATGGTTCTCCGAATTTTTTCTTTAACAAAAATTTAAAATTTAGTTTAGTTTAAAGTTTATAAATATTTTGATGAATAAAGTTCTAGAAAAACCTTCAGGTACATAGTTAGCAAAATTATTATTTTACATCAGCAAAATAAACAATAAAGAAACGGAAAGTAGGAAAATAAAACTGATCGCAAAGAAGGAGGCAGAAGCAAGAACTTGGTATAAAAATAAATATAACTAGCCGGCACCTGATAAACCGGCACACCAACAGCAAGAAAAACACATAAACAATAAAAAAAAAAAATATATGTACATATAGAAAATGGAAAAAAAAAACCAACAATCGGCGACTGCCTCAACGGATGACGCGTCGTTCGTCAAGTTAATTCCAAAATGCTAAACTAAACTGCGCAATAGAAATTTCATAAACAAACCTATACACTCGCATAGACAAACACTCTGGCCACAAACAAAACACGTCCATATGTACATACATACTAGCTATACTATACTATATACTATATAAGAAACTGAGCCAAAAGAAAAGTAAAAAAAAGAAGGGGGAAAAAAATGGGAGAATAATAAACAAGTCGAAGCCGGCAAAAACAGAAAATAAACACGTAAAAAAAATACATATCTAAGCACAGCAGCAGTTAAAATAATAGTGTGTAACAAAAAAATATTCTAAAATTATAATAAAAAATAAAAATCAATAAATAGTTATTAAAATAAGACATGAAGGTAATTGCTAATAAAAAAAAATTAATTGCTCTTGAATAAAAATACTTCTTTAACTGTTTTAATTAATAGGCAAAAAATTAGAACAAATAAACTGCCTCCATAAGGCTAGCTTAGCTATACCCTTCGCCAAAAATAGAATAACGAAAAAAGAAGAATCATAGTCGAAACTTAGTTCATTTTGTTATCAAACTAAATGCCGAGTTGCTATCAAAAATAAACCAATATCTCATAGCTATAGCTGAACGATCTGATCGATAGGCCCTGTTTCATATGGAGTGTATACAAATACATATATATAATTGTAAACAACAATGTATAAGCCTTCTTTATAGGGGGGCGTGTTGTCTTTATGGCTGCTAAGATTACGTAAACGTAAACACGTCTCGCTCTCATTACTAACCAAGTTTATTTTCTTGCAGGTTGGTCTTCTTGCTTTAAGTACAAACATGCATTCTTATTTACAGATAGGCCGCCTCTCATCGTCTTAGTCTTGATATTTGTAAATACAACAAACCCCATAACAATCCCATAATAGTAAATCATCTGATTTTAAAATAATCCAAGTGTTTTTGATCATCAGCCTTCTATTAACATAATTTGCAGGATTCTTAAACTTCTTAGTTATTAAATTAAAATAAAATGAACTTACCGCGATGGCACATTGTTTATAATCTTGTCGGTTAGGAATCCGGCGCGATTGCAGCGTTCAACAAAACGATCGAGTATTATATAGGCCAATGGTACATCCAAAACGATGTCCGCCATGTCATCAAAGACGCGCATGAAACCCTGGAGGAAATATCGAAAAGATTAAATAGTATCTAGTAGGATTGTATCTAATGGATATCTGGTATTAAAGAATCTAATGGATATTAAGGTTTTAGTTATCAATATTTTCCTGGTTAAATAAATATTTGAAATATGTCAAATTTACAATAATTTATCTGCCTAAAATAATAACTAATTAAATTATTATTAATTAGTTAATAATATTAAATATATTAATAAGATGTAACAACACATACCTGCTCCATGCCCGCGGGCAGCACCACGCAGGTGAGATCTAGCTGCTTCAGCAGCTCGCACATGGCCTCCTCGGTGGTCTGGTTAAGGGACTCCAGTGTCATGACAATTGCTTCATAGATGAGCTCGTGATGATAATGAGGCACCTCGAGGGCGCGGAGACAGCGCTGCGCCTCGGCCACATCGCGCGAGGATATGTACTCCTTGAGCAGCAACTCCATTTGCTTGGTAATAGTCTTAACCGGACGCAATGGTCCACCCATGCCCCAAACATTGTCCAAATGGGCCCACACCTGCTTATGGAGTAGAGAGTCGGCACGACGGAGTGCCTGTTCGGCATGTTCGCCAAGCTTAAGACTCAATAGTTCTTCCTCAGTTTTTACCACAAACTTGGGCGGAATGCAGTCATCGGCCACGGCGCGCGCCATAAAGTTGCCCAGCATAATGGGCGCCTCAGGAGTGTCCAGAATGAGATCCGGCAGATTGGCCAACAGCAAGTTGAAGCCCTTCTCAATATCCTTGCCGGTAATAACTCGACCATACAGATCGGAGATCAGCACCGAGGTCATCTCGCGCTGTGAATCCTTGTGATCCATCGCGATCTCAACGACAATGCTGGTAACCCGCTCACGCAACGGTCCCTGCAGTATCTCATCGAAGCTACGGGCCACTTCATGCGTATCCCCGTGCTCATAGTACTCCAAGACAATGGGCTCGGCCATTTTAAAGAATTCCTCGGGTGTTATCTCCGTGATTACCTCGCGCAACTCTACATTGCGATCGTTGCATTCACTATCATAGTTCGGATCATTCTCGTCCTCATACACTTCGGCCAATGCTTCTGAACCAGGCAATCCCCAGACGCCCTTGCCACCTCCACCTCCCTTCTTGGGTAATCCCCTGTTACGATTGAAGTTCCTCGAGCGACGACTGTTCTTCCACCGACGATGGGGCACCACATAGCCACCGGGCGAGGGTAATATGCCGTTGATGGCTAATGGCGATGCACTGGCTCCGGAAGTTGATCCATTGCCATTGGTTTGATTTGGACTACCGCCCGAACCGCTATTCTGTCTTTGGATAAGGCGCTTGGCCTTACGCTTAATCCTGCCATCCTCCACGGGCAGTGGCTTCTTGATATGCCCGTTCGAATGGCCACCACTGCCATTTAATTCCACCGCCTCAATTTCACCGTTCAGCTCCCGTTCCACAGAACTTTCCTTGGAATCGGACTCAGCCGGCGGAGTAGAGTGGCGGCCGCCGTTGGTGGCACGTTTATTATTCGATTCAATTTCCATTTTGACGATGTCTCTCACTCTTTACACTTTCCTCTTTTTGGAATGCACAGCAAGGATTTTGTGGCGATTTGGGTTTAAGATTTTTGTACTCTAACACCAGGTGCGTCCGCTTTACTTTTCGTCTAGAATTTAAAGGCAAAACAATAAATTAACACGTAGATGTCAGATATCTCATAACAAAGACAACTTTGATCGGATAGTGATGAATTAAAATACTTTATTTAGTCAAGTAATATGACAATCGAATATAAAAATTGAGTCAACATAAATTTTCCAATGAAAATATAATCTTTTAAGAGATAATGTTCGGTGCACATATGGAACCTGATATGGAAAAGGGATGGTTCAGTCGAACATTTCCGAGGATTCACTTTCATTTGTTTGTCGCGGTTTGGATTTACATTTCTCGCCTTAAAGTCGCACTTCTCTCGAAGGTCTTGTTTGTATTGTGCGTTGTGTTTGTGGAATTCATGGCACTAAAACAAATACATAGATGTCTGGCACGTAGCCGACAGTACCACCCCACACTAGTCTCGTCTCTTACCAAGTTCCTATGGCTTTTTATTCTGTTATTCAGATTCTTTTCCTTCTTGCTAAAAATAAGATATGTATGCCTTTCGTTCGACGTCCCACAAGTAACTGAATAATAATACAAAGTACTATAATGCCAAGATCAAGAGTTGATAGATATGTTTATAAAAGCTACCTGTGATCAAAAAATTGTGTTCATTTTATAAGAATTCAACCCCAAGAATTTTATCTTATGGATATGAATTTTTTAATCTTGTAGTTTGAAACAGAGGACGGTTTTTTGAAATTTAAATAGGTAAGAACTATTATCGTGACCTGAAATAAGATACAAACGATATTTTCGTATCATTTAGCGTCACTATTTTTACATCTGTATATAACGGTACTGCGTCTTGGAAATTGCAACTGTTTGTCAATGGGCGTGGGTGTAACAGAGATAGCGATATAGGCATGTATCGAAACTCCCCTATAGTCAAAATTCAAGGTCACGCAACAACAATAACAACAAAACCACCAAAGAGACGACATAATTCTGTTACCGTTAAAGCTTTGCAACCCTCACAATCATTAGAGCCATCTCTTTCGCTCCAACTCTGAATTAGAGTTGCTTTTATATATGTACTTGTATATGAGTGAGTTTGAGTTTGCTGTTTTTGTTTTACATAAAAGCTTACTTATTATCTTTACAGCTGGTTTTTGTTTTTGTGCTTTTCAAAAAGATTTCAAATTATACAATTATACACAACACGTTTTTGCTATTCTTATAATTTGATTCGATTTCACAAAGCACACTATGTTTAATAACCAAAAATGAAGATATTACATTTTAATTTATATAGTATTAAACATCAAAACACAAGTTTACAAAAGTGTTAAAATATATTACAATTCTTTGATAAATGTTCATATTTAATTATTTGATTAATAACTTCTATTTTCGATTGCTTAAATATTACGTTTCCATCCTTCTCTTTTGCTTCTTTCACCCATGTAAAGCATAATAAGAATAAAAACAATGATAACGTGCAAAAAAGCCGCATGTCTGCATTGTTTTTGCGTTCATACATATTTTGTTGTTGTTTCATGTTTGTGCTTTATATTGCGCCGTTTTTGCTTTCTCCTTCTCTTTTTTGACTGCTGATTCTTATGTATTCCCCTCCGTAAATATATATGTATATATCTGTACATATATATGGTGTAACCGGTTTTATGTTTGTTTTGCCCGGTTTAACCTTGAAAATTTAGTGCGCCTTACGAATTTCTATGTTTTTATTGCCGTCTCCTTCCTTTCTCTTCTCCATCTTCTTCTTCTTTCGCACTTGTTGTGCCCCCTTTTTCTGATAACAACAAAAACAACAAAATAAACAATTTTCGGCTGCTGTTTCCATCTCTTTTCCTCCTCTTTATTCTTTGTTGATGCGTGTCCGAAATTATTTTTTAACCCCGAAATCAAGAAAGGTACAGAGGCGGAGAGAATAAGCAGAAGAGAGAAAGAGGAGTGGGGGGAAAAGCATAAAAGTGACGCTGTCGAAATTGCGTCGCAAAAATTTTGCGAAAAGAATCGGTCGCAACATTGTATGCTGTTTTTTTTTAACAGAGAAGGCTAACGTTCTAGTTTCGCTGAATTATTTTGTCTTCCGAGCCATATATTTATTTACCTTAAAGCAACCAGAGTAATCACAATTTCTCTACGATCATATTTTTAAACCTAAATAAACGTTACTTTATTTGTGTTTTGGTTTAAAAATAATATGATATATAATAATATAAAATAAAATCGGATGATATGGGTACATTGGAAGGGGGAGCACAGAATGCAAATAAACCTCGAGGCAACAAAAAAAAAAAAAAAAAAAATAAGAAACAAGTTCGGCTGGCTGCCGGAAAAAAAAAACAAATTTACCCCCAGCGGGGGCAGCTGTTTTTTGTTTTCGGCTTTCCTCTGTTTTGTTTTTCTCGAAATTTCGGGTGCGTGCGTGCGTGCCGGTTTATTTTATCACGTACACCAAAAATCCTCAAATTTCCAATTTGGAGCAAACGCCGCTTATCAATATATTTGAAAGCATTGCAATATTTTTTTGAAAACTAATTTCGTTTGTTGTTTTTGACCGCGACTGTATTTTTGTTTTGCATTTTTCGCTTTTATATTCGCATTCGCCGGCAGTTTTTTCTTATTTACTTTAAATCGGTCTTTCGTCAAGATCGATGTTTTTGATGTTTTTTTTTTGCCACTTACCTAAGTTTTTTTTTGTCTCTCCCGCTATCTCGCTCACTCTTCCTCCCTGTATATATCTCTGATGCTGCAACAAGAACAACAAACGCCGCGACTGCAACACCGTTGGCCCAATGCAGTCGACGTCGACTGCACTGCTTTTATACGTTGAGAAGCCTGTTTAATAGTTGTTTTTTTCCGTGGGCTCCTTTTTCTCTCGCTTTATCTTCTCTTCTTATTGGCGTGGGGGGCAAAGCAAAAGCGAAGCAAATGGCAAAAAATGCACTTAAATCTCTTGTGGCTCACAGAAAAAAATACACAAGTGTGTGTGTTTATTAAAAGGCTCCTTCACACACGCATACACACACTCACACACCCACAACCATTCAGTTGTGTGTGCGGGGAGCTGCTGCCGCTATTGATGTTGTTGCCGCTTCTTTTGTTGTTGCCTGCAGCTTCTTCGCTTTGCTTTTGTTGTTTTTGTCGCTGAGCTGTGTTAATTTTTGTATTTTTGCTGGACTGAAACAAATAGGATTGAAGAACCGCAGAATCAGAATGCAACGCACACGACAACACGCCGTCGAAAATCAACTTGGACTGAGCGAGAGAGCGACGCGGCGCGCGCTTTTATAGCGAATTTCGAGAGAGCGGCAAGAAAAAAGTTGCCGTCTCTCTCTCACACCCTCAATTTCTGGGAAGCAAAAATTCCCATATTCACTGGTAATACAATATTTTCAAATTTCGGAGCATTAAATAATAGAATAATCATTTTGGGAAACATATTTAGAGACGCAACGCTTTTAAAACAATTATTTTCTCTTTTACTTACTTTCTTTTATAAATAAAATTTTAAATTAAAAAGCTGTTATCAACAAAGCTTTTTAAAACGTATTCAATTATTTATTGTAAACGTTTTGCTTTTAGTAACATTTGAAATAACTAATTTATTGGGTCATTTACGCCTTGAAGGTGCCAGATTATGAAATTTTTGTTTCGCGCGTTTTTTCAAACAACTTTAATGTGAAAGCTCGCGATAACAAGCAATTGTCAAACGCCGCATCCCAAACGCTTATCAAGATATTGAAATATGTACATGTACTTCAAACGCTCGTTTACCTTTTCCCTGTATAATATAAAAACATAAGTACGAATTGCTCCAAAATGTAGTTTTAATTTAATTTTATTGTACGAATTTATGATTGTATATACCAAAGCAATACAATAAAGTTGCTTCAAGTCTTTGCTGTAGACACGAACAAGTGGCAACGCTTTAAAATTACGGTTCTTTAAAAAATAAAAATAATAAAGGCACTTGGTATAACTGTAATCAGTTTGAATAATGAAGGAAAAAAAATGTTTTCAGAATATATTGAAATAAAAATGAAAGAATCCAAAACTTCCTGACGTTAAAGAAAAACAAAACCAACGAATCGGCGTCGCAACTTGAAAATGTATCAAATTACATATGTACGTACATTAATACATAAAAAATACATAAATGTATAAAAGAACATGGATAATTATACATATGGCTATATCATAATATAATGTATCGACAACCTTATTCCATTAAAACTGATTATTAGCTGTGAATCGCCTACGTTCGCGTTCACGAAATTCACGACGAGCAGCCGGCGGAGCACCTTGGGGATTACGGATTATAAACTTCTCCTCGCAGTAAGTTTTGGGATTGTATGTAGGGACTGGTGGATCGTCGTCCCAATTTTCAGCGGAATCGACAATAAATTCGTGGCGTGGCGGTTCAACAAGAGGCAACATATCCGGCATTTTGTAGCGTTCGAGATTTGAACGATTGGGGCACTCTATGATATGTTCCTGGAAAGGATAAGAAGTTTAGTAAATTTTTGAGATCCTTGTTTAGTATATATTTCAGACCCACCTGCATATTGGTAACCGAGTACAAATGAGATGTATTAAATGGACAGCGTACCATCTTGGAGCATGGGAAGTTTTTGGCGCAACGGTTTAAATGAAAGGCCAAACGGACCGGCAATATACGATGTGCGCTATCGTACGGACACTGGACGTATTCTGTTAAATTTGGTCCACCCACAAAAATGTTATTTCCGGCCATGATTATTTTAATATATTATTGTTTTCAATATTTTTTTGTCGTACTGAGCACTGTGAATTTATGTGAAACAGTAATTCGCACTGAAACTAGAGATGGATAAGCATTGACGATGTATCGTGTTCAGGGAAAAATCGATTTATCGAATATCACCATTTAGGAATTAGGAAACATGCGTGGTTTATAAAAACATCGAGAATTCTAAAATAATAAAATATTTTAAATCGATATGTTTATTTTTTATAGTATTCATTAGTGAAGTAGATGACTCGACAGCCCTGAGGCGCGTTGCCAGATTGCTATGTATATCGATAAGCGATAATCCGCCGATAGCATTTGTTTACCTCTTTCAACGCACGTGCACCGACGTTTTTCGTATAATTTCTTGATTCATTGGAGTATTTCAAGACTTCAAGATGCCGCCCATTTCCCAGGAGGGCAATTGCCTGATTTACCGCGGCAGCAACTTCCTAAAGCAGCGCCTAATCCTCGCCTGCCTGTCTGGCAAACCGGTGAAGATTACTCAAATCCGCTCAGAGGACGAGATGGCGCCCGGTTTGAGAGAATATGAAATCAGTTTGATTCGTCTACTGGACAAGATAACTAACGGAACCAAGATCGAGCTAAATCCCGCCGGCACAAGTGTCATGTTCTCGCCGGGATTACTGCTCGGTGGTCAAATTAATCATGATTGCTGTGTCCAGCGTGGGATTGGCTACTATCTGGATGCCCTAATAGCCTTGGGTCCGTTCTGCAAGAACCCGCTACAGTGCAGCCTGCGTGGTGTGACTAACAGCAAGGACTCGCCATCGGTTGACCACATCAAGGGTGCAGCATTATCCCTGTTAAAACGATTTCTTTTGGTCGACGAGGGCCTCGAACTGAAGGTCATTCGGCGCGGTGTTGCTCCCCTGGGTGGTGGTGAGATCTCTTTCCGCTGTCCGGTGCGAAAGAGCCTGCGAGCCATTCAATTCCAAGCCCAGGGCATGGTCAAACGCATTCGTGGCACAGTTTATGCCTGCAAAGTTTCCCCTGCGATGGCCAACCGTACAGTGGAGTCGGCCAAGGGATGTATGCTTAAGTTCCTACCGGATGTTTATATCTACACCGATCAGAACAAGGGCAAAATGTCTGGTAATTCTCCTGGATTTGGCATATGTTTGATTGCTGAGACCACAGAAGGAGTGTGCTTCGCCGCAGATTGCTGTTCCAACACAAGAGAGGAATCGGTGAGTTGGTGACAGAACATGATTAGTAACCTACGATTGATTAAAAATAATTTTGTTTTATATTGTAATATTGAACTTGAGTTCCATTTATACAAATGACAATTTAAAGATGGATATAAGATTTCCGCAGTGCCTAGAAAACTAATTATGATTTTCTTAAAAGGACACTCCTTCTATACCCGAGGATCTGGGCCAGGAGGTGGCAATGCGTTTGCTGGACGAAATTTATCGAGGTGGTTGCGTGGATTCTAGCTACCAATGGCTGGCAGCACTCTACATAGCACTAGGACAAAAACATGTCTCCAAATTCCTTACAGGTAATGTACTCATAAATACAAATGTTACAGAATTCGTTAATTTACTTGATTTTTAATATGATTTAGGTGCCCTATCCACATACACAGTTCACTTCCTGCAACATCTGCGCGACTTCTTCGCAATCACCTTTAAGCTGGAGAATCCAGAAGCAGAGGACGAGGACGAGACGGAGGATGTGCGAGGTGCCCAGAAGGTCCTAATGGCCTGTGTCGGCATTGGTTACACGAACATTAACAAGCGCGTTACATAAATTGTTCTATAGACAAAAACTTCTAGGAATAAATATGTATTTTTTTTATGACAAAATATAAATTAAATTAAGTTTAATATGTGAAAGCAGTTTTTATTTTACTGGATAAAGTATACTTTTATTTATATTCGTTATTCAGAGCAAAAAGCTATCACATTTGTTGGTTAATTGTTTATAAATCATTTATTGTTTCAAAAACCCTTGGCCATCATTTAAATTGCCTTTTTTATGTAATACATTTTTATGCAACTTCAGCTGGAGTATTTCTGTTGAACTAAGCATAAAATGTTATTTACGTTTTACGAAATATATTAATACCTTGTTAAGCCCAAAAAATTGACAATATTGGCCTAAAGATTCAGAATGCAAAAGCAATTTGTAGCTTTTGAATATATATTACATTTACCTGGCTCTGGTCATTGATTCGAATTTGGCCGGGTTCCAATCGCTGGAGGTCAATGCCGGGTCACATCAGCCAATGAGCCCCTCATTTGACGCAGGTGTTGCAAGTTTGTTGCCAGGTCAAGTCTAATCATGAGTTCCATATTAGTTTAATCAATCGAACTATATTACAAAATATGTGCAGAGAAAAAAATATAAAGGGTTATTTAAAATGTAAATGGATTTTCAGAAATCTTAGTGCAGTTCACATAAAAATTAATAAAGTAAACGATGCGTTGGATATCCCCCACGATATTCTTGATTTGGTCATTTATGATTGAGCTATTTATTTCAAATATTTTGCAAAGTGTGAATAAGTTCAAAAACCTTTTTGTGATAACAGAGCTCTTGGCAAACACATGCGAAATAAATCAGTTTTCGCAATTTCCCTTGACTTGCACTTTAATTCCGGCGACAGATCAGCAAAACGAAGGGGTGGAAGAAAACTAGAGCCCAGACAGCAGTCAGCAGAAAATAGTATGCAATATAGCTATGGAATCGGAGCTATATAAGCCACAAGTCTGACTGGAAGAAGCCATCAAACGTCGTTTAACGTTTGGCCTGATCTGATCTGATCCAAATCCCGAAGATGATGAGTCTGCGTCTTTGCCTGTTGGCTACCTGCCTCGTGGTGGCTGCCTATGCCTCCAAGGATGGCTCTAACACTCAGCTGAAGCCGACCAAGTGGTTGACCGCCTCCGATTTGGAGAGTGTGCCCTCCCTCAACGACATCACCTGGGAGCGTTTGGAGAACCAGCCCCTGGAGCAGGGTGCCAAGCTGATTGAGAAGATCTGTAAGTCAACGGGCTTCAAGCCTCTGGAAGTTTCCATTCCACTGTCTTAACCAACTTTTCCTTTCGTATCCCTAGACCACGTTGGCCAAATCAAGCACGATCTGACCCCCAGCTTCGTGCCCAGCCCCAGCAACGTACCCGTCTGGATTGTCAAGTCCAACGGACAGAAGGTCGATTGCAAGCTGAACAACTACGTGGAGACAGCCAAGGCACAGCCCGGATTCGGTGAGGATGAGGTCACCATTGTCCTGACCGGTCTGCCCCAGAGCAGCCCAGCCCAGAAGAAGGCCATGCGCAAGTTGGTCCAGGCCTACGTCCAGAAGTACAACCTCCAGCAGCAGCAGAAGAACGCCCAGGAGCAGCAGCAGCAGCTGAAGAGCAGCGACTACGACTACACCAGCAGCGAGGAGGCTGCCGACCAATGGAAATCCGCCAAGGCCTCCAGCGGCGATTTGATCGTAAGTAAACAACAAGTTTAATCCTAATAATAGTTTAACTATAGTGATTTGTACTCCAGATCATCGACCTCGGCTCCACCCTGACAAACTTCAAGCGTTACGCTATGTTGGATGTGCAGAACACCGGCGCCATGATCGGCCAGACTTTGATCGAGCTGACCAACAAGGGAGTGCCCCAGGAGATCATCCATCTGATCGGTCAGGGTATCAGCGCTCATGTTGCCGGAGCTGCTGGTAACAAGTTCACCGCCCAAACTGGACACAAGCTGCGCCGCATCACCGGTCTGGACCCCGCCAAGGTTCTGTCCAAGCGTCCCCAGACTCTGGGTGGTCTCTCTCGCGGTGATGCCGATTTCGTGGATGCCATCCACACCTCGTCCTTCGCCATGGGCACCCCAATCCGTTGCGGTGATGTTGACTTCTATCCCAATGGACCATCCACCGGTGTTCCCGGATCTGAAAATGTTATCGAGGCTGTTGCCCGTGCCACCCGTTACTTTGCCGAATCTGTGCGTCCCGGCAGCGAGCGCAACTTCCCCGCCGTCCCTGCCAACTCCCTGAAGCAGTACAAGGAACAGGATGGTTTCGGCAAGCGTGCTTACATGGGTCTGCAGACCGATTTCGATCTTCGCGGCGATTACATCCTGGAGGTCAACCCCAAGAGCCCCTTCGGTCAGCGTAGCCCCGCCCACAAGCAGGCTACCTACCATGGTGTCCACCAGGCCCAGAACTAAGGCGTTTAACCATGCCCAAAACAATGTTTTACCCAGGCAGTTCGATCGCCATGCACTATCTGATACTCAGAGAATCCCGGAAAACGTAGTCTAGTTTAGAAGTTCCATAGAACAATCATAAAACAAAAATTATAAAATCCCATAAAAATAAAAGCTGCAAATCTACCAAAAAATATGTGTTTTAGACTGATTTTGTAGGTTTAGTTCTCTATATAAAAATGTTAATTTTGTTTAAAGGGTAATTTTGAATAATAAGAAATACCAAATTGAACAAATACCATAAAGGGGCTATCAAAAAATTATGATCTTAAGCAGATGCTTATACCAAAAGCAAATGTTAAATAAAACAAACAAATAATACCATTATGCCACATAATAAAGGAATATTGATTTGGAAAGCAATTTTAAACAAGAAAATAGATTCACTATGAAAACATAAACATAATTTTTAACAAATAATAGTATTCCAGTATCCTTTTAAAAACTCTCTCTTGTTAACATCCTGGAGAAGAAAGTTTTCGTAATGCTTATTGAACTAATTAACTTATGTACATAAATGCAAACTTAAGATGCAAATATGCATAAAGAGATGGATGTATGAAGTGGCTAAAAGTGAGAGCGAGGCAACTAGTGTCCGTTGCCACTTGATATCCACTCAATTAAAAGTTGCATTCAGTTTCCCGTTGGCGCTTACACGTTTAAAAATCCCTTCGCCGACCTGTGCAAACTCAATTGTTCCTCAAATTTTTTTTTCTTTTTGGGCATGCGCTGTGTAAATGTCAAAGTTGAACTTTATCACATGCAATAGACAAACTAGAAAGGGCACCGAGAACAACAAAGCGTAAGATAGAGCGAGATAGGGCGCTGGAGTGACAGGAGCCGAATGACAACAGTTGGCGTCTTTTGTTTGTGCATGTCGTGACATGTTTGCTTTGACTCTGACGGAGCTGAATGCGCCGTAATAGCTAAAGCTTATCTTCGTACCGTACACCTAAAATGTCTTCTCTCCTATACGTACTCGCTGGATAGCTGCCCTCCTCATTTGCTTTTCGTTTTGCAAAGCTTGCAGCTTGCTTGCTCTCAGTGCCATTCTCCTGAAGAGAGCACACAAGGACGCCGGGACGTTGGCATTTCGTGGGGCCCTCCAAGTTTCTTGCAGGAATTACACTTATGTATATTATTCATTGGCCGATATGCATAAATCCAATTTACGGAACCCCCGTTTCGGCCACGGCAGCTGCGTCCCCCCTCAAAAGAGAGAAAGGCAGAGCAAGCATTTCTTTGGTGCTTTCTCGCGCGCTTTTGTTGCGCACCATTTGACTGAAGGGGTGTTCTGAAAAACGCGAGTGGAAAATGGAATACTGCCAAAACTTACCAATAAAAATGGTATCTTCATTTTCTTCTATTCTGCTTTCATATCATAAATCTTTTAACTAGTTTTTGTGCATATAAGCTTACACTTTGAAATGCCAAAACGGTAGAGATCTTATAAATTGAAATAAACGATTTTCTATTTTATGCATTGTTTATGTTTTCTTAAAATATCTAACTAATTTTTGACATATATGTACATATATATTAGTTCCTTTATGTACATTTCTGAGCGGTTTCATTACTTTAGAGATTTAACGCTAAACTTGCTTTCCGGAACGCCCTCTCTCGATTTGCCTATGTTGCGCTCTCTTTGCCCACTCTCTCTTGGCTTCTTCTCAGCTGCCTTTGCTTTGGCTTTTGCTTCGTCTGCTTTTCACCGTTCGTTCAGTGTTTGGCGTCCCGTTCATTTCGGTTTAGTTCATTTCAGTTCAGAATCGAACGCGAGCCGAGTCGCAACATCGCCGCCGAGCAGCGCATGCTGTTTTTTTTTCAGTGTGTACGTTTTGATTGCAAAAAAAGGAAAACGAAAAGAAATAAGCAAAAGCAATAGCAAGGCAAGCAGTAGCAGCAGCAGCAGCAACGCTGAAAACATTTTTCATCTGCGGCCTGGAAAAGTGCCCCGAAGAAAATAATAGATAAATTGTGTTAATCGCCCCATCGAGCCAGCAAAAAATATTCACTGTATATTTATACATTCTGTTGTTGTTGTGCGTGTGTTCCACCTCTATTCCTCTTGCTTTTGGACATCATACACTTTTTGTTGTTAATTTTCCAGCTGGCCGCCTGCAAATGATAAAAATGTGAGTTTTGCCCATTGAAAGTTTGTGCGTTTCATTCTCAGCTTTTTCTTTGTTTGTTTGTTAAGAAAGAAAAGCAAAAGTAGTTTACAAAAAAAAATGCGCAAAATTGGTTAAGGATAACGGTGTTAGTATGTGCCTGTGTGTGTGGGTGGCAGCTGCGTAAATGCGTAAGCTCTGTATATGTATGTGCCTGTGTGTGTGTGTTGGCTGTGGCCAGGTCTCAAGGTCCCGTTAGCAGCTCTCAGCCATCTCTCTTCCTCTTTAACGCTTTTGCTCTCTTCGCCAAACAACAACAAGTCTGTGATAAGAATTTTCCATGCGTAATTTTCACGCAAAGCTTTGTTTTGTTTTGTTTGGTTTTTCGCAGTATTCTTGTGCAGTTTTTTATTGCAGAAATCTACCAAGTGTTTTTATTTTCAAAAAAAACTTTAATTCTTTTGGTTTTAAATTTCAATTTGAAAACACAGTTTTTCCAAAATATGCACAGAAAATATGATTATTTCCATATGCACACTTAAATATAAAAATTTAAATTTATTCAACTGAAAAATATAACCTTTCTTAGGTCAAAGGTGGGATTTGAGTTTTATAATATTTAATCACACACGAGTATAGTATGAATGACCATTCATTTAACTTTATAAAATAAAATTAAAAAGAAAATTTTGGAAGATTTCATTTCTAACTTAAAACTGTTAATGTTTTAAGTGTACTTCCTATAAAGAAAGTAAACAGGAAAAGGTGTTAAAAATAAATGAGTTGGCTCTTTTTTAAGCTTGACCCTAGGAATGCTGTGCGCGTTTGTTTTGTTTTTATTTCGTTGCTTGTTGTATTTATAAATTATTAATAAGCACAAAGCGTGCCACAGGTGTGCACAACGGAGTAAGCGAGATGGGTAGATTATGTGTAAGAGAGAAAGCCAGCTAGAGAGATAGAGAGAGTACGTGACCTTTTTCCTCTAATTTAGCTCACTAAACTTGAGACTCGGATTTAATAGGCTTTTTTTTCTAACCTTTGCTCTCTTTTTTTATTATGCATCCCCCTATTTTTGTCTATGTCGCACAAACGCTTTTATTTATTTCCGCTTGAGTGCCTCCGTTTTTTCCCTCTTTTATTACCGCTTTTTTGCGCTTTTTTCTACACCTTTATTTATTGTATTGTATTTCTTGGTCAATTACCATGGCAATTTATTTATCAGTTTGGCATTGTTGCTGAGCCACAATTGCGCAAGCTTATTTTCCCCATTTTTGCAATTTTTCTTATTATTTCCTCTGCACTATTTGAGTTTGAGTTTGCCAGACTTAATAAAAATCAAAGGTTTTATGCATAAACAATTTTTGGCCATCTTCTTTGAACAATTTTACACAGAGAAAAAAGACATAGTTGTCATTAAAATAGAAATATCTCAAAATTGATTGACTTCTATATAGAAAATATGTATATGGAAAATATTTATAAGATTCTTGATTTTTTTCCTTTGTGCATACTTTTGCTTTACCCTTTGGTCACATCATAAAAAATTGTTAAATGACAAAATACATCATAAACACAACCACATTGAAGGCTACGTGCACTTTGGCCAGCTCTTTTATAGCCAACACATGTGTGCGTTTGTAATTTGTTGTTTATTGATGCACAGTGGGTCGATTACCATTCTTATCTTATTCTTACACTTAAATATAGATGCGGATTTTTAAAATATCCTCTGTATAAAAAGTTTAAATCTAATCATAAACAAGACAGATTTTTATTAAAATTTATCACCGCAAAGCTTTTTCTAATCATGAATATTAACATTGCTTATCTCTTGCAACTCTTAGATGTAATAAAAAAATGGATTTTTATATTACTTCGTTTGTTTGCAGAGATATATATGATCGCTATATAAAGATGCAAATATGTTTGACATATAAGAACGTTAAACTTTACTTCAAAGCCGTTTAAATTAGAAAAAAACTTTAAAATGATATGTACAAATCGTAAAATTCCGAGAAAAACGGCGATTAGTGGATTTTTAGAATACAGAAAGATATAATATATATAATTTTGTAACACTTCATTTTCTTTTTTATGTAAAATAACCAACTCCAATAACCTTTGACCCAGGGTAGGAAAGAAAATCTGTTGTTGCATTTTCTGTGTCACAAAATGTAATTATGCTAAGGAGATGGCAGAGCTGGGGCAACTCAAACGAGGGCCGGGAGAAAGCAGGGCTAAAGGGGCGTGGCAAGTGGGGCAGAAGAAAGCGGTGTAGCCATATTGTTGGGGCTTACGATTGTGTTAAGGCCTGCCATGTAACTGCCATGACATAAACATGTTCATGTCTGTGTTCGTGCTTTTCTTTCCCTCTCTTGTCACTGTGCCCAATAATTATTGATTGACTGCCTCTTTTTATTGTGCCTCTTGTTGTAGCATCATCTCTCCCACTTTCCCTATTTTTTATATATATTATATATCTATCTTTATCACGATCAAATTATTTGCTGAATTGTTAAAAGCTTTTTATGGTTATAACATGTAGTTCTATATTTAATAAGAGACCAATAAATGGCCAATGCTTTTAATAACAAAAGTAGCTATTAAAATATAGATTCAGAAAAGTCAATATATCTCCAATATCCTCTTATTCTGTTTGTCTATCTAAAGAAGGATCCATGTTAAAGTCCTTTCTTTGAAAGTCTACTATTTGTTAACTAGCGTGGGTGCAGAACCGCCATAACATTCTCCTCAATTAGAATTCTTCCCCCTTTTCCCATTTTCCAACCTTCACACAATGAGCTTCAATTAAAAAGAAAGCTCTTTAGGGAAACATAAATTGGAAGAGGGACTATACAATAGCACTTAATGAGTAGCTAGACAAATTTGTGGTCGAGATAAATGCTAGATAAGATCTAAACAGATTAGGAGTCTCTAATGAAGGTCATTAGCGGCGGAAGTTGACAGTTTGTAACCACAGTGGAGATGGATTAAGTGCAGAAAATTAGGGCCGTATTAAATTCCCTATTAATAACCCACAATATGGTTTTGTTCATATTAAAAACTGTTTTTTTATTCTGTTTAAGGTAGCAAAGTTCTTGTTAAGATTAGATTACAAAAATGGCAAAGGCATAAATGACGTTTAATCTTGAATGCATTTATTATCAACATTTCGGAGTTATTTAAAGTTTTATTTAAGCACTACCAGCTGTACTCACCGTTACCTATATTAGAACGAATCTAATTAATATTTATGCACGGAAGGGAATCCATCACTTTACTATCTATCGGTCATAATGATAATTTCCCCATTGGTGTTTGTATTCCGACAGCATTTGACTTAAACACGTGTTTGCCAGCCCATTCTCCACCTCCTAAATAGGCTAACCACCGCCACCCATCACCACCCACCATTTCATCCAGTTTTTGTCACATTCCGATAGGTCAAAATGCGATGCAAATGCGTCAGACTACTATATACCCTATGTATCCACCAGTCCCCTCCCTCGTTGCCCATGTGTAGGTATTGCTGTTGTCAGCAGTCAACAATAAATCCAATTAGCAAAAAAAAAGATAGGAAAGGTAGAAAATGGTTCAAGGTAAGAACAGCAACCAAATTATGCACGATAAACTGAAATTCAGCTTAGTTGTAGTCAGTGCTGGCAGGGTTTTCTTTATGTCTGTTTTAGCGGGAAAATCAGTTAGTTAGTTAGAAAGCTAATGATTTTTGGATGCCTACGTCTTTATTTTTTCACACTATCCTGGAAGGATTTATAAATACTTTACTGTCACATTTATATTAAAATATTTTCTATTCACTTATGTAAGAACTAAAAAAGTTTAAAGGAAAACCTAAACCTTATAAACCTTATGGAGGGACAAAGGCTGACCCATCATCTCTGATTGTTGTTGTGAAATGCGAGACCGTACTTGACCTTATCGGACACTCATTTCTTGTTGTTGTCATTTAATTGACAGTGCTCCTCCCCGAGTCTAACAAAAAAAAAAAAAAAAAACGATAGAAAAAAACCCCTAAGAGCCCTCGAGTTACATCCGATTATCTGGAGTGCCTGTCAAAGACTTCCCCTGTCCATGTCCCCATTTTCCCTGTCACTTGAAATCAATAAATAAAATGGTAATTTACATTTTAGAACTGAGGCTAGGCACGAGACTAGAAAGTGACAGAAATTATTGCAATTAGATGGTCTATAAAAACACAAACTAGTTTAAGTATAAAGAACTTTATAGCATTTTTATGGATTTTTAGAAAATTTCTTTCCTAAAATTATATATTCTACTTTTCTCCAAGTTTAAAATTTCAAAAATGTTTACTAAATAAATTGAACAATTAAAGATCTTCTTAGATCAATAATACAGATGTATATATAAATAGGCTAAAATTTAAAAATAACTGAACTAATGACTATAATAATTAATTGAATAGCTTATATGTTTTCATGGTCTATTTTGGGTTCCAGACTATCATCATCTCTTTGTTAATAACGAATGGTTGAGGATTGTACTTCAGCAAATAGCTTTAGATGTTTATCTTTTTTAATTACGAATGCAAAAAAGAAAAATATTTTTCATGCTATCGAAATCTTTTCAGCTCGTTTATAGTTAATAGGTTTCGAAAATATTAGCAGATTTTTCATTTGGTTTTTGAGTATTTCTCAGTACTCAGTAAAGAGCTAAAAATATAAGTTTCTCACAATCAAATAAGATATATATTTCGTTAAGTAACCCAAATGCTATGATATAGTTTAATGTATCCGATTTTAATATTGTTTTGAATTCGTTATTATAAGATACTTTGCCAAACTTTAAGGTACCTACTTCTTTTATCTCCCTAAACTGGCTTTATGGTTTTAGTTTTCATGTTGACCATTCAGTTAAATGTCAGATAGACACAAGTCAGAAGCCATAGCAACACTAGCACACCTACATTCTAGACCTGAACACCTTCAGCCACCGGAAAATACAAACAACAACAAAAAAAAATATCTATATACCACTGACTAACCTCGCCTCGTTTTTCCGATTTTGCCTTATTCCGTTTCGTCCAGGTCGTAGACGACGTGTCTCCCCCCATATCCATATATCCCCCATCCAAACACAACAAAAATAAGAAAACGATAACGTCGGACGACAACAACAACGTCGCCTCCACATCATCCAGCCATGACCAGCGGCAATCGATGATTGCCATTCCCTCAGCCAACGAGACCCAATAGAGGCAGCGCCGGAAAGGAGGACGGATCCGTCGGAAGTGCCCGCCATTCGAGCGTCATCAATAGCCGGTGGAGGAAAACCCACCTCACTTTCCACCTACCCCTTCCATCACTCTTTTTAAAGCCAAGGACTCAGGCGGTCATCATGCTGATCAAGGAGTACCGCATTCCGCTGCCCCTCACCGTCGAGGAATACCGCATCGCCCAGCTTTACATGATAGCGGTAAGAAAAGTTTACTTTAACTTCAGAATAAATACGATTTTTACTTTTGTTTATCAAATAGAAAGTGTAAACTCATGGGCTTTCCTTTTTACAATCATGTTTGCACCTTAAATTAAGATATAAATGTACATTTAATCGATAATCTAATCGCCTAAGAGCTATTTCAGCCTAATACAAGCGTTTAAAAATAGTTTTCAAAGGCAAATTGATTGGTTTCCGTTTGGCTTATCAGTTGTTAGGCAGTTAGAAAATAGTCACTAAAATAAAAACAAAAGCATTCACAACTTAACAATTTCCTAACTAAAAGTTCAACAATTTACAAACCTAAACTTTGATCATTACACAATTTACAAAGTGTCGAGAATTGTTTATTTGCCTTTTGCACATTCGACTTATTTACAAATATTTGATTTGGCCAATATTTATTAAACGTTTAACCGGAAATTCTCTCAATGTTCCTGTAATAGATTTCTTGTTTATTTGTTTGTATCATTAATAATCTTGGAAATTTGTTTTCCTTTTATCCATAGAAAAAAAGTCGCGAAGAAAGTCATGGCGAAGGCAGTGGCGTTGAGATAATCATCAATGAGCCATATAAGGATGGACCCGGTGGAAATGGTCAATACACGAAAAAGATCTACCATGTGGGCAATCATTTGCCTGGCTGGATTAAGAGTGAGTTTTTCTATAATTTAGACTTTTATCTATATTAATATACATTATTTATGACAATTCAAAGGTCTCTTGCCAAAAAGCGCTTTAACTGTGGAGGAGGAGGCGTGGAATGCCTATCCTTATACCAGGACACGCTACACCTGCCCATTTGTGGAGAAGTTTTCGCTGGACATCGAGACGTACTATTATCCGGATAATGGCTATCAGGATAATGTCTTCCAGTTGTCAGGAAGTGACCTAAGAAACCGCATAGTTGGTTAGTTGGCGCTCTAAGAACCTTTTTTAAAATTAGTATAAACTCAATGTCAGCCCTTAGGTTTAGCTAACTTGCTCAAGAATCTATTATTAATATCCCCCTTTTTTCAGATGTGATTGACATTGTGAAGGACCAACTGTGGGGCGGTGATTATGTCAAGGAGGAGGATCCCAAGCACTTTGTGTCGGACAAGACGGGGCGTGGACCCTTGGGCGAGGATTGGCTGGAGGAGTATTGGCGCGAGGTGAAGGGCAAAAAGCAGCCGACACCGCGTAACATGTCCTTGATGACGGCCTACAAGATTTGTCGCGTTGAATTCCGCTATTGGGGCATGCAAACGAAGCTGGAGAAGTTTATCCATGATGTGGCGTTGCGCAAGATGATGTTGCGTGCCCATCGGCAAGCATGGGCGTGGCAAGACGAATGGTATGGCTTAACCATCGAGGATATCCGTGAACTGGAGCGACAAACGCAGTTGGCTTTGGCCAAGAAAATGGGCGGCGGCGAGGAGTGCAGCGATGGTCAGTCCGATGTGACCACCACTAATATACTATCATCCACATCAACCTCACCACAACACACTCTTGCCAAATTGTAAAGACGTATTGAATTGCATAAAGATCTGTGAGATTTAAAAGGTTTTTTTGTAATATATTTTTGATTAGTTTGAGAAGAAAAGGCAGCAAGATCACAGTTTAGATTCTTTTTTTGATTTCAAAAAGTCGGAAGATGTAATTAACTACACTTACTGAATCAGTGTTTATGACTTTGAGCTATTTAAAGGTGTTATTAGAAGTAGTTTTTATACTTTCATAGAGGAAATCCGAAATAATGATATCAGAAATTCGAATTATGAATTATTACCATATTAACTCATAAAAAGTGCACTATTTCATATTTCCTTCTTTCTTTTTGCGATATCCCTCTAAAAGCTGTCAAATTTCTCCATTCCAGATAGCATCTCAGAGCCATATGTTAGCACGGCGGCGGCCGCCGCCTCCACAACGGGCAGCGAACGAAAGAAGTCCGCTCCAGCAGTACCGCCTATTGTAACCCAACAGCCACCCAGCGCCGAGGCCAGTTCCGATGAGGAGGGCGAGGAAGAGGACGATGACGAGGACGAGAACGATGCCATTGGCACTGGCGTGGATCTCTCAGCCAATCAAGGTGGATCTGCTCAACGTTCGCGTTCGCAAAGCATTCAAATGGCTCAGAAGGCAAAGTTCGGGTCAAAGGGTGCTCTACATTCTCCGGTGGGATCTGCCCATAGTTTCGATCTGCAGGTGAGCATCTCTAAAGGATTTCTGTATGATCTTTGTTCTATGTCCTGTGTCCTGTTAGGAATGGAAGTTGTTCAGTGTTTTAAATTCACATTTTAATCTGTTTGATTTTTTTTCAAAATACAAAAAATAATAAAAATTATAGAGTGGAATTTCTTGGCTTTCTTATAAAGTCTTTAACGTCAAAAAAATGTTAGAAAATCTGTCTGATATAGAGAGTTTATCATTACATTTTAAAAAATATAAAATATAAAACTTTTGATTTACAAAATCGAATAAGGATGTATCAAAATTTCAATCTTTTAATGTGATAATTTCCATAAGGGAATTAAAATTCCAATTTTGTTAAGTATCTAAATCAAAATTTGCTTATAGTTTTTGATATTTTCATTCAAAAACACTATTTTTCTATCTCTGTGTTCAAGTTTCTGTGTTTTGTGTGTCGCTTTGTCCTTTAAATGTGCTGCGTCTTACCAAATAATCTTTAATTTACCTTCCATCCAACACGAAACACCGACAAAAACTACAACACAAACGAAACTCAACACCAAAACCAATCAACCCAATAAATCACAAATAAATAAAACAAAAATCAAAAAACAAATCAAATTCCAAACCAAAATCAGTCCAAAAAGCCGCATGCAAAGACAGCGCCACGCAGACATGTAAGTTCCTCTTTCTCTCCCCGTCTCTGTCATTCTCAATATGCCCCGTCTCTTTCTATTTCATTACCAATAATTTGCCTAGCTATTATCCCGTTCTTATAAATAAAATAATAGTATCCGATGATGACCTCCAATTATACTCCCGCCTTCTCCCCTTCCTTTTTAGTACTTTGCTTAGTCGCAGTGTTTTGATTAGCCCAGTTCCATTAGCTTAGCTTACGGCTGCCTCCCTCTGCCTTTCTATATAGCGTAATTTGTAGACCAGAATCGAGTATACATATAGCATACATATATATATCAACAATGTGAATTTCTTTTGTTCATAAATATTTATACAAAATCCATTTACGTTCATCGCAGGTGGCAAACTGGCGAATGGAGCGATTGGAAGTGGACTCCAAGTCTAATTCAGATGAGGAATTCTTCGATTGTCTGGGTAAGCCATGTCGCATAACATTCCTAACTATATAGTCAAAGCTAATCCCTTTTTATATCGTAGATACCAATGAAACAAACTCCCTAGCCAAGTGGAGCTCTTTGGAGCTGCTGGGCGAGGGCGATGACAGTCCACCGCCACATGGCGGACCCTCTGGTGCAGCATCCGTAGGTGGACGTGGCAATTCGCGGCAGGAGGACAGCATCTTTAACCAGGATTTTTTGATGCGGGTTGCCTCGGAGCGTGGTAATAAACGGCAGTTACGTTCATCGGCCAGCGTGGATCGTAGTCATGATTCATCGCCACCAGGATCACCGAGTACACCGTCATGCCCAACTACCATCCTAATCCTGGTGGTCCATGCAGGCAGTGTTCTGGATGCAGCCAGCGAGTTAACGGCCAAGAAGTCCGATGTGACCACTTTCCGCGGTTCCTTTGAGGCAGTGATGCGACAGCATTATCCCAGTCTTCTAACTCATGTGACCATTAAGATGGTGCCATGTCCATCGATTTGCACTGACGCCTTGGGCATTCTTTCCAGCCTGAGTCCGTACTCTTTTGATGCATCGCCCTCGGCGGCGGATATACCGAATATAGCCGATGTCCCAATAGGAGCTATACCCCTTTTATCCGTAGCATCGCCGGAATTCCATGAGACGGTCAACAAGACGGTGGCCGCTGCCAATATTGTCTACCATGAGTTCTTGAAATCGGAGGAGGGACACGGTTTCTCCGGACAGATTGTTATGCTGGGTGATTCGATGGGCTCACTGTTGGCCTACGAGGCATTGTGCCGTTCCAATGGCAGTCAACCGGGCACGGCCCCAAATTCTGGCGGAGATACAGCCACAAATATAAATACCCATAATCCGTTAGGACCACGTCATTCACGGTTGGATGATGATGAGCGTTTCATTGAGGCCGATTTGGATGCCAAGCGCTTGTTGGTGGCTCCATCACCGAGGAGACGGCGTTCCAGTTCGTCGAGCGATTCACGGGCCACCAAATTGGACTTTGAGGTCTGTGATTTCTTTATGTTCGGATCACCGCTTTCGGTGGTATTGGCGGCACGAAAACTCCACGATGCCAAGGCCGCTCTAGCGAGGCCCAACTGCCATCAGGTGTACAATCTGTTCCATCCAACCGATCCGATTGCCTCGCGTCTAGAGCCGCTTTTAAGCGCTCGCTTCTCCATTCTGTCGCCGGTTAATGTCCCACGGTACGCCAAGTATCCGCTGGGAAATGGTCAGCCATTGCATTTATGTGAGTTTAAAATATTTTTAATAAGAAAGAAGAATCTTATAGTAAAATCATACCTTTCCAGTGGAAGTGATTCAGTCGCATCCGCAGCACTTTAACGATGGCAATAACCTTTTGGCCGGTCGCCGTTTGTCAGATGCCTCGATGCAGAGCACGATATCGGGTCTGATTGAGAATGTCTCACTTAGTACGATCCATGCCCGTAAGATAAGCTCGTTATCTAGAAGCTAGAAGCTATATTATATATCGAGCTATATTGATTCCCTAATAATTGACCTTCACTGCTATATCCACAGTTCAAAACAAATGGTGGGGCACCAAACGCTTGGACTACGCTTTATATTGCCCAGAGGGATTAAGCAACTTTCCGGCTCATGCCTTGCCACACCTATTCCATGCCAGCTATTGGGAAAGTCCGGATGTGATTGCCTTTATCCTAAGGCAAATTGGCAAATTCGAGGGCATACCGTTTGTGGGATCTAACGATGACAAGGACAATGCCTCCTTCCATCCAGGACAGCCGAGGGAGAAGTGGATCAAGAAACGCACCTCGGTGAAGCTGAAAAATGTGGCCGCCAATCATCGGGCCAACGATGTGATCGTTCAGGAGGGCCGAGAGCAGCGATTGAATGCCAGATTTATGTATGGACCTTTGGATATGATCACGCTGCACGGTGAGAAGGTAGATGTGCATATTATGAAGGATCCGCCGGCAGGCGAATGGACATTCCTCAGCACTGAGGTGACGGACAAGAACGGTCGCATCTCGTACATCATTCCCGATCAGGTCTCCCTGGGCTATGGCATATACCCGGTCAAGATGGTGGTCCGTGGTGATCACACTTCGGTGGATTGCTATATGGCCGTGGTACCACCATTAACCGAATGTGTGGTCTTTAGTATTGATGGATCCTTTACCGCTTCCATGTCAGTGACGGGCAGAGATCCTAAAGTTCGTGCCGGAGCCGTAGATGTATGTCGGCATTGGCAAGAGTTGGGCTATCTGCTTATTTATATCACCGGACGACCAGATATGCAACAACAGCGCGTGGTGTCATGGCTGAGTCAGCACAATTTCCCACATGGTCTGATCTCGTTCGCCGACGGCCTGTCCACCGATCCGCTGGGACACAAGACGGCCTATCTCAACAATTTAGTGCAGAATCATGGAATCTCAATAACCGCTGCCTATGGCAGCAGCAAGGACATTAGCGTCTACACGAATGTGGGCATGCGAACCGATCAGATCTTCATCGTTGGCAAGGTAAGAGGAGCCATGGGCTTTCAGTTAGAGTAACATTTTCAACTAATTTTCATTCTTTCTTCAGGTTGGCAAGAAACTACAATCCAATGCCACCGTTCTAAGTGATGGCTATGCTGCCCATTTGGCTGGATTACAGGCTGTGGGCGGTTCACGTCCCGCGAAGGGAAATGCCCGCATGGTCATCCCTCGCGGATGCTTTAATCTGCCCGGCCAGACGGCAAATCCGCGACGCAGAAGGTAAGACGCTGTTGATGTGGCGCTGCTTGAGAAGATTCACTGTACAGAGCGCACCAATGTACCGCCCGATCCTCGCTGTATATACATATCTGTGTTTGTGTTTAGTGTAAATAGGCCAAGAGCATTCGTGTATGTTAATGTTATATGTTTTGTGTACAGTTTAATGCCTTTAGCTGGTTGGAAATGTTAGGGAAATATGATAAGGATTATATCAGGAATTTAGATTTATCATGCCTGTATTAGCAATATATATGTAGTACCAAAGGTTTCGTTTTCTACATACCATTTCATTTTTATATTACCAAAGGAAAGGATCAGGGTTTTTTATAAAACTATTAAGAATAATATAGTTACGGCACTGTTTTTAAACTAAGAGTTATACTCAAGATTTGCAATCAATATTTTTGAGAAGAACTTTAAATTTTAATATTAAAATATACGATTAAAACGTTTTTACTAGGGAAACAGGAACTACTCTAGGATTATAAAGTAGATAAAATTTACTATTCATAGATAGACCTGTTAAAAAATCCTCAAAGAACACGATCTAGCTGAAGGCATTATTCTTGTATTACATTGGAAACTGCTTTGTTGGTGTATACATATATATTTTTTGTGTGGCTTTATGTTTTTGTTATTGGGTCCGCATGACCGTTTATTTTGTCAGTCAGTCCTAAGTTGCTTTTCCATCGAGACGATGCCGTGATATAACCCATCTACCATCTCCTCCATATCCGCTAAACGTTGTTGTGTGCGATTTCTTCGAGTGGAGAAAAAGATTCCCTCTCTTGCCAGAAAAAACCAAATCTTCAAATCACAATCAATCCTAATCATGCCCGTTTCCCCTTGCCCATAACAACAATCTGTAGCAATGCTTTTGAGCTGCAATTGGCCAACATCAGTCCATGCAGCAGCAACATCAACAGTCCCAGCAGCAGCAACAACATTCTATTGGCCCAACTGATTGAGAATGCCATTGAAAAGGACACGCCAGCTGCCTAGGAAAATTAAATAATTTTTTATTATTATTTTATGCTGTTTATATATATTTTTTTGTTGTAATTATTAAAAGCAATCTGTGTGTCTCATATATCTATCATCCTCTCAAAAACTAGTCCGCCACGAATCGTATTGTATTTTATTTTACATTCTTAAGATTCCTGTAGAACAAATGCCGTATTAATTATGCAATAAGTTATTACTGTTATGATTACCATTATTATTATTATTATTATTATTATGATTATTATTATTATTGCATTCATGTATTATTCCTATTTGTATTTTTATGATATTATTTTGATTGCGAACAAAAGCCAAAATGCAACAAAACATAAAAAAATATACATACGCCAGTATGTAGTATTAAATAAATATATAAAAGCAGTACAGTAAATGGGCCTGTTGGAAATATATATATATATATATCTTATATAGTATCCATATATATACGATTTATAATGTTTCGATTACGATTTGTATCTTTTCTTTGTTTGTTTCTTGATTTAACGGATAACCAATATCAAAAACAAAAATATTTATAATAATATAATTATAAAAAACGCTTAACGCTTCACGGCCTCGAAACCCACCACGCTCTTCAAAACCCACCACCACCACGCCGACAACTACACATCACACACACACAAACACCATATAAACCACCAACACCACATCAGGCTGCATGAACAAGCAACGAATGAAAATTAAAAATTGCAACTTAAACGAGCAACAATAAATTGCTTAGAGCAATAAAAAAAAAACAATTTAAAGCATCATGTAAACAGATAGAAGCGACAAAACAAAAACCTAAAATCCAAAAACAATATACAGACAATTGATGTTAGTAATAGTGTTATAGAATATTATGCCCTTATACTCCCCACACACCACAAAGTTTTTTGAGTTATTCTGTTAATTATTTTGAAGCATACCTAGCTGAGCATTTTAGTGATTGATTTATTCATTGATTGGTGTTGTAAAAAAAAAGAAAAGAAAAACTAAACATAAAAACAAAAACTCACCAATATTAGAGTTGGGAGCACAAATATCGATAATTATCGATCTTTGAAACATCTCCACCTCTGAACAAAACACAATTAGAGCCTAAAATTCAATTCTCTTCTCAACGTTAACTCTGTCTCTCTTTCTCCAAAAAAAAACTCCAAAATTTGCTTGAAAAAAAAACAAACACCACACACACATACCTCACACACGCACACACTGCCATCGACCTTGTTATCGATAAACAGCAACGAGACGGGACTATCATCACCCATACGCAGTGGTTACCTGAAGCGCAAGACCTACCTGAGCCACCACTAGAGCAACCAAGATGCAACAGCTATATAGATTGATCCATCAGATATAAAATCAAATCAAATCCCTCAGACTTCCTCAGAAATAGTAAACCCTTCGAAATAGAAAACTAAAAGGACAACAACATCGATGACTCCATATGCCACATCTGTGTATATACCACAAACATATATATCTATATATATATATATATTTATATACTATGCGCGATATATTGAAAGTTCAATGGTGTAACATATATAAATATATATCAAAAACCAAAATTGCAAATGAGAAAAAAACAATTGTACAACATTTAACCAAAGTCAAATGTGTCACGCGGTGAGTATGCATTTTTAAGCACAAATCTAATTATAATATTATATATCTTTAATTTTAAATATATTAGTTATAGAGGGAGTACATATATCTAGAACTGAAGAAAGAAGGAATATAGATAGAAATATATTTAAATTAGTATCAAGGGTGTTACGGAAATCTCTAGTGAATCTCTACAATTTTACAATACTATGCAAAAACACTAGAGATTTCAATAATATCTATTCTTAATCTAAAACTTGATGATTTATCCCTAATTATTATTAATTATCCCATTAAAAAGTTGATTTTAATTAAAATTTTTGATCATTTTGCACCCTTAGGTACCTGGAAAGAAAGACTGTTTCCTCCTGTTGTTTGATGGTTTTTCAAACCACTTAAAGCATACATAAAATGAAAAAAAAAAAACATTGAAAACTACATGAAACAAAAGCCGATCGTAAAGCTATATACTAAATAAAATTATAAATGATATATACAAGGATATATTGAAAATATAGAACCGTTTAACATATGCAAGCGAACAAAGTTCAACAAACCAACCAAGTGAGGTACAACAACTGAAGGACAAACTAATGAAACAGAAGATCTCCCGATGAATAAGGAATACGAGTATATAAGGATAACTAAGACAAGCGAATGGAAAGCGAGGAAAGCGTTGCAAAATCAAAAGGCAAATTTAATGCATTTCTTGAGAAACAACCACTACAAAAACTCTTACGAAAAGTATAAATTAACGGCTTCCGTAAAACAAAAACCAAAAAAAAGAAACCTAAAACTATATATATCTATATGCGTGTAAAATTGACAAAAACAAAAAAAAACTAAATTCTTAAGAAGAAAGAATGTTGAAACTAAAATCTTCATGAAATTGAATACAATCTCTTACCTGGCCCCAGAAATTTGAAATCTCCATAATTGTGATAGTCTTTCGCTACCAAAAGGTTAATTTAACATAAAACAAAAACTAAAACTAAAAGAAAAACAGCAAATTATACATATTTATCTCTACTAAAAATTGTTATTCGGATAGAAAAGAATATATAAAAACTATTGGATATTGTGTAAACGTAAACCCGATTTTGTGATACCAAAAAAAAAAAAAAAAGTGAACTAAAAACCAAAGTTGAGTTCGCGAGATGAGAGATCCTCGTGTTAGAAATCTATACAAAATAACACACACACACAACTCAAGGCGACCTGAAGATGTAACGGGCATTAAATCTGACCCATATAGTAATACTACTATACATATATATATATATATATATATATATATATAGATCTATATATATATACCACTATGTATGCATAACCCAGTTATGTGCTGTCCACGCAAGTTAACTAAAAACTCTCACAGAACTTGTCAAAAATCTCAGAAATATATAAAAAAAAAACAGATAAAACCAAATTAAAGGCACACAAGAAGGGACCTTTGAAAATGAGATAAAATTATATATATGTAATCTGTTCGATCTTTTTAGGTTTACCTAAAAGCCAAACGTTGGTTAACTATCGAGTAGTTGAGTTATGTGAGTAAGATACTTCCTAAACTGACAAAACAAATGCAAATTGAAGAGTTTAAAACCGATAGTTTTAATGAGAGCAGAGTAATTGTATGTAAAGATAAATATATATATATTATATACCTACACTATATACTAAATATACTGTATATTTATCTAGCGCAACTACATTAAGGTCTTTTTTGAAGCTTGCTAAACTGAAAAAGTGTTCCGATCATAGTATTGTCCGGCTATACGTTCCTCTATCCTCACCATTTGAGTCGATTTTTAAGTCACTTTCATTTTTTTGTAGCCAAGTATTAAACTAAACCGAAAAACTAAAAACAAAAACTGATGGAAGATCTACTAGATTTTAAGATGAATCTCTACCTATGAAGAGTTTATCCTATATAAGTACGTAGTTGGTTCAAGCATGAGGTAAAAAAAAGAAAGTATAAAGGCAAGTCCTATTAACTAACACACCAGATACTCATAGAGTCGAAGGGTTTATGTCTGTCTATTTAGCTGGTAAATTAAAGGAATTTTCTATATATCTTTCTGTTCGAAACCGATTTGCTTTCCAAAAGTTAGATTTATTTACATTAGTACATTTTTTTAGATGAGAGAAACATTTTTGAAAGTTTTTAGAATATCTTTTAATTGTCTTATGAAACTAGAATTATTTTGTATAGTATTTAGTAAAATTCTAAAGAAATATCTTTCTTTTCCCACAAAAAATAACCAAAAAGTTAAAACAAAAAAGCCCATAAAAACATGAATCATTTTGTATATGTAAGAGGCAACTTTTTGCAACTTCGTACAATGTTATACTGTACTAGTATTAGTTCTTTGTGTTTCTAAAATTTCCCATAGATCGGTTGCTTTATTCCCCATTTATCGTTGCTATTTGTAGAGTACTACATTGTATATCTATATTTTTCCTCCTCTCAAACTCCACCAAAATATGAACTCCCAAAGCCAATAAAGCGTTGAGCAGAATTGTATTGATATTTTGAGAACCCACCATATAGATAATAAGCTAAAATCCCCACATACACACAAAAAAAGTGACGATGACTAATGCAGAGATTATAATCAAAGAACAAAAAACTAAAAAACGAAAACAATGGAAAAGAAATACAAAATTGTTACGTACATATAAGTAAATATATGTCCGTATGGTTATGTATTTTTAAATATTAAGTGCAAAAGTCCAGGAATAACAAATACGAATTCAGATTGTAAACAAATATAAAAAACATAAACAAGGCGAACAAAAATATAAAATTATTTATTGACAACAAAATCTACAAGCCGAAGAACAAAAACACACAAAAAAAAAAAAAAAAAAAAAAAACGAGGAGCAAGCCAAATGCAATCTATTTACAAAATCCCAAAAGCAAGAATGACAAACCAAAAAGTTAAAGATAGCTGATCCGAAGAATATATATATATATATGTATACATTGTATAATGTATAACTAACCGAAAGAGAAATAAAGAGATTTTTAAGCCAATAGTTGAAATTGGACTTTGACAAATAACAAAAGTAAACAAATTGAAATATGGCAGTAAAAAAATTATTTTTCGATGTAAGCAGTTTGTTAGAAAAAGATCGAGTTTCAGCGAATGAGATATATGGCTAAAACCAGTTAACCATTTCACAGAAAATCGGAAACAAAGCGGTTCATGAAAAGATAACAAACAAAACAAAAAACAAAAACAAATGTTCTATTTGATGTTGCAAATGAGAAAAATAAATAAAAGATGTTATGTGAAATAATGAAATGTGTTTATGATATTGCTTATCAAAATTGATCCCAAGGGTATGGAAATTATGGGCGGCTTTAAACTAACTTAGATAACTTCATACAAACATTCAATCAAACAGCACAGTTTTGCTTAATTTAATAAAATAACCGCAGAATAAATAATAACAAATCACCCAAAATGACGAATTCGAGAAAGCTCTGCTCATTGTTTGTTTAATCAAATGGGATGCTAATCATTCTTCAACCCGCAAAACGAACAGATCGTGTTGTATTAAAACTGAAAAACAGATGATTGCCAGCGAAACCAAGTAAATACTATACATCCTAATAGTACAGATAGCTACTATTAACATAAACAAATAGGAAAAGCTACAGTCGAGCTTCAGCAAATTGAACTTGAGAATTTAAAATGATATGACTGTTACTATGAAATATTATTTCCAAATTGCTTATATTTGTGGAATTTTCTACTTCTAGAAGTCCCACTGTACAGAATGCTTTAAACCAAAGTTCATTTTCACAGTCATATACAATACTTTTTTTTATTATCAATCAGGTTTAGTTGTTTACATTAACTACAAAAGTCATTTGCGATCTGGAATGGAAATTAAAAGTGGGACGATAGAAAATAGGGTGTTGATATCAGCCGCAATGCCGTAGTTTTACATATAAATCTACAGTTTGGGCAGACCCGCCGATATAGAGCTCTCGATGCCGCAGTGATCTTGGCCACGCAGAATACGGAAGAATCCACGATCGCCCCAGTCAGTGTTCCATGAGTTGCCAATCAACCAGTATGGGATCTTCTCCTCACCCCAAACGCCCCAGCCGAGAATACGAATAGCATGACCGCCCAACTCCTTGCCATGCTCATGCTGATATACACCATCCTTGTACAGGATGAGATCTTCGTAGACAGTGAAGGCACCCTCAACCGGTCCATTGGTCAAGATCTCCTCCTGAATGTCACGAACATTGCGACGAACCGAATAGGACTTGGAACCAAAGTGCTTGTCCTTGGCATAGTTGACCGTATAGCTGCTCTGGCACACATGCTGGCACTTGGGGGTTCCACCGCCATGGGCACAGGGCGGACGGGTTCCATTCACATGATGCTCACAGGGCGAAATCTCGTAAGGACGGCAGCCCTATAATAAGATTTAGAAACGTTAATGTTTTCTATTTAATAATTTAGTTTCCTAGTGGGATGTGTAAGAAGCTCTTTAAGTAGAAATGCACACATGTATATAGAAAGATAATAACTGAGCGATATCTTTTATATAAAATCACTTATGGGCGTCATAAACTTCGTTGCAAATTTATAGTAAACAAAGAACAAAGTTAAGCTGCCTTAAATACATTTCTCCGCATCAAATGTAGGTATAAAATAGCTATATAAATAATAACTTGAAAGATCACCAACCTGATTAGATCCGTAGGGTCCACCGCTGACAATTCCCTTGCGCGTCCAATAGCTCCAGGCGGCACCGGGGAATCCGCCATTACAGCCAAAGCCGCAGGTGTGGCAGCAGGATACGAGATCATCGGCCGAGAAGTGGAAGTTAACCTTGCCACCAGAATGGATGCACACCTGGTCATTGAAAAATCAGTAAGAAATCAGTCAAAACAAATAAAAAATATACATATTCGAGTATATCAACTGGTTAAACAAAGAGACGGGCTGGGTCTACAAAATCGATAAGATAAGCTAACTTACTCGATCGGACATGGCTTCTACGGCACCAAAGGCCCAGCAGGAGCCGCATGATCCCTGGTCACGAATTTCACCAATTGTTGGGCAATTTGGCCACTGCTTTCGGGAATCAAACTCCTCCGGAATGTCACTCGCAAAAGTTACGTACTGATCACCAAGAACCTCTCGCTTTTCGGGCAAAGCGAACTTATGCGCATCCGGATGTACGCCCATTAGACGGCGAATATGATCCTCTGTCACGGATTCATCGAAATTACGTCCCACCTGTCGGATAGATTACGGAAAATTCAATTTGTCACGTCAGCAGAACGGGCAGAAAAACAAAGGAATCTATTGGAATCTTACCTTCCAGGTTTTGGCCTTACTGCGCACCAAATCAATGAACTCCTCTGACAACATTGATGGCTCACCGGAGGTGAATGCCACGGCCACGGAGGCCAATGTGGCCACCAGGAGCAGTAGCTTCATTTTGTTTCGCGCTGACACAGCACAAATCACACATATAACAGAAACTAAAATGGTAGGAAATGACGCGTCGGATTAATTGGGTTCTCTGTACTGTTCCGTCGTTGTTTTCGTACTGCACTGCCAGTGAAAAGCGGACGGAGAATGCTCTTTATGCCACTGTTTTTCTCTTGTTTTCCTCAACAAAAAAAAAATGGTTGGCGCCCGCTGATTACAGACCAGTGTGTGCACATAAATGGGATAGAAATTTATCGCCTATCGAAAAAGATGATAATTCTTTGTCAACAAAATCAAGTCAAGTTTTTAATTTTGATTATAATGACATGTGACACTGGTTTCACAAAATGTATTTTAAAAGTTTAAAATCCTTTCTCTTTTAGGAAATACATTCAAATTATGTTAATTGCTAAGAAGAAATGTATAGTTGCAAGATTAAAAGCATTCGCCAAAATGTTGTTATTGGACTTATATATTATTATACATAAAATATTCTGTGATTTCCCTACTTTTAGGGAAATAATAATAATAATATTATGAACTCCAATTCCAAGATCAATTTTTGTTTAGATAATCGAAATGTTTAAAATCATAACTATCGTTAAGTTAGCAGTAATGATAACAGAGCTCTGTTACCACTGCAAGGGAGTGGCCACACTGGCTGGGCATTATTTTGATTAGAAACTCGCAAAGATGCGGATTTTCTACGGAATTGTAGCGTTCCTGGTGGCCATCAGTCCCAGTACCAAGGCTATCCAGGCGCGCAGCGACAAGGAGCAGCCGCAGACAGTGGTTTCTGGCACGGCAGTGCAGTCGGTGGTGCCCGTTCAGGCGCAACTTGGCTCCGGAATGGGTCCCTCCTCCTCCTCATCCTCCGCATCATCATCTTCATCGTCTTCGTCGTCCTCCTCCTCATCCGGCGGATCTGGAAACTCGGCGTTCAATCCATTAGGACCGAATGTAATGTGCTCATTTCTGCCACGCGACTTTCTCGATTGCAAAGATCCGGTGGATCATCGGGAGAATGCAACGGCGCTGCACGAAAAGAAACATGGATGCCTGAAGTTCGGAGGATCCACCTACGAAGAGGTTGAACACGCCAAGGTGGTGTGCACTGTGTTTGCCGACATCGAATGCTACGGAGAACGCACCTTCCTGCGCGACGGATTTCCCTGTGTCCGCTATACGGATCACTACTTTGTCACGACTCTAATCTACAGCATGCTCTTGGGATTTCTTGGAATGGATCGCTTCTGTCTCGGCCAAACGGGCACTGCAGTCGGCAAACTCCTAACTATGGGCGGTCTAGGTGTCTGGTGGATCATCGATGTCATCCTGTTGATCACGAATAATTTGCTGCCCGAGGACGGCAGCAATTGGAATCCCTATGTCTAGATGTGTGATACCTCTTAGCTCTAAATAGTTTAGTAAGATTGTTAGGTAAACCAAGTCAAATTCTGTATAGTAGAATTTTACATATATTTTTTTTTTATATTTTAATGTGAGGTAAAGCCTTACACATCCATAACTCAAAATCATGAAATGGATTATATATGTATAAACGCATAAACACAAATACAAGTAGTTTGTACTTATAGTTCTAGTTAACTTTAAGTTGTAAAATGACTACTTTAAATGTATATATGTAAATGTTCAATGAAATTTCCATACAAGAGTCCATAAAGCAAATTTATCCATTCAATATTCCACCCAATAAAAATTAAAGAAAATTCATTATTATATAGGTAATTGATGTGTTTTAATTAAAGATATCAAAAGGTTTTGATATGTGGAGTAAGAAATAAGAACAGGTGGCTAATAAACAGAATTATTTACTTGATACGTATATTGGAATTGGTTTTTTTAAATCTCCCGCGCAACCATCTCTCCACAACTCCAGTGGAGATACAACATTATGTTCCCCTGTCCTGCTACCATTACTGGCCACCTGGTCACACTGCCAGGCGGCTGCCCTCGAAAGTTTCGCGTGGAAACTCGAAAGTCAGTTGCAAAAAAGCTCGCCGACCGCGCGGTCATTGGAGATTGGCTGAGCGGACGCTTTCTCTTTAATTTTCCTCCATTGACGACGCTGCGTGCGCGTCTCTCCCGCAAGAAACAACAACACTAAGAAAAAGAACTGCACGGTGCATAAATCTAAAAGAAAACACACGCGAAAATATATATTTTGTTAGCGAGAAATTCCTGCACACAATAATAGAAATGATAAGGCAACAAATTTAAGCAAACTTGTGATGACAGTCGAAAGTAATAACGGTACTTAAATTCGCGGCATAAGAACGTAAACATAAAATCGTGTGTGCGTCTCCCTCTCTGTGCGTGTTTGTGTGTAAATTCCATGGGAAAAAAGAAAAGGAAAGGTGTACAAGAAGTACAAGAACAAGAACAACAACATGAGAACGCCGACGTCGACGCTGACAGCGACGCCGGCCGAGGCAGCGGCAAAAGCAAAAGCAACGGTCGAGACAATTCGAATTTCTTTGGATGCTGATGGACTAACGTTGCTTTAGTGGTTGTTCTTTATATATGTATGTGTGTGTGTGTAAAGCGGAAAACGGAAAAAACTGAATGGTAAATAAGTGTAAACAGAAAAGGCGAAGAAAGAAGGGAAGAAGGAGTGAAAGAGATAGAGGGAGAGAGAAAGCCAGTAGCGATTTCCATTTATCGATCCGCCCGTTCGCACACCTGAAGCCATTCCATTCCAGCATCATCGACTTAATCCGTTCGAGCGGGATTAAGGCTGCGCTGCTGCCACACAACAGCGACTGCGGGCGCCCACGCAGCGTCGACGGCGCAGCGACCGCATTACCGGTCGCCGGTAATTAGCCGCCAAGGCCGTCGGCGTTGCACAGAAAGAAAACCCAGAGTTATCCTAAGATGATCAATAAGATTTTAAGTTTAACCTTGGCTTTAAAGTCCTAGAATTTCCATTTAATAATTACCAAAATATCAAATTGATTTGTAGATTAAAATCATACAAACTTATTTTGGTAGCCACAAAAGATTGGCATTTCCTTGCCAAGATAAGATAGTCAAACTTTGTTCATATAGTCAGTTTTATAGTACAAAATCAACAGTATACTTATTTGCTTCTTTTATAAAACTTCAAACTCCTTTTTTTTTTCTGTGTACATAATTGCTTCAGTTTTGCTGCAGCGGTGTGAAAGTTCAGGCTCATTAAGTGCAGCCGCCTAACCGTGCTCTGCAGCACGGTGGTTCTTTGGTACTCGGTACTCGATACCCGATACCCGGTACTCGGCTACCGACGATGATGTAAACGAGATTAAGCGAAACCCAGTAGCTTCCTAATTAGCAGCATCCTGAATAAAAGTGCCCCAAAATTTAAGGCTGGCAGATACAGATCAGAAAAACAGCAATCTTAGTAGGATTTTGTACTCCTTAAAAACCTTAAATTTAATCTTAATGTTCTTTATTTTTTATAAATGCCAAACTATTGCAATTTTTCATCTGAGGTTAAGGAACTGAATTAATACAGCTTAAATTTCTAGATAACTGAACTTTTATGGGGACATTAAATGTTGAATGAAAAATGTTCTTATGGGGCCATAAACTCACTATACTTACTATAGTTAAAACAACAAAGCTAGAGGGAAAGCCCATTTGGAAAGACAGTTGTGCTTTATTTGGCTTAAACGTGCTTAACGTGCTTAAATTCTAAGTGCCTAAAAAGACAATTTTCTCGCTTTGCAAATCTCTTAACCCTATATGGGATTTAGTTAAATTTTGTAGTTAAACTGAAGTTATTTACTTGATTATAGGAAAATCGCCTTGAAGAATGTTGAAACCAACTAAAATATTTTAATGATTCTAAAGTCTAGTAACCCAAAAAATGTTAAACAAACTTTTTGTGTTAAAACCAACGCATAATTTATCAACTTGAGTGCCTTTAGGTCATGTTAAAGGTTTCGCCAGTCCTATAAATAGTATACATTCTAGGAAAACTATCTATATTTGGGGCTCTTTGTTCTCACTCTTTCTTTCTTTCTATCTATCTATCTATCTATCTATCACCATCTCATTTTACTTTCGCGGGCGAGAAAGTGTTAAGAGAAAACAACAAATAAACAAACAAACAAACAATAATGCTAATGAAGCCAACCGTGAAACGATTATACATATTTTTTTTCTCAATTTTTTTTAACGTTTTGGAATTTTGTTTAAAAGTGCAAGCGAAGCAAAAGCAGCGTAAAATAAAAACCATAAAATATATAACAAGAAGAAGAAGAGGAATCGGTGAAAAGCGTTAACCGAAGCCAAAAAAAAAAAAAATTAAAGTTAAAACCAAAAAACCAACAACCAACATCAAAAGTTGCCAACTTTTTTCCTTGCGACCGCAGCAGCCGAAGAAGCAGCGGCGTCAGCAGCGACGCCTGACTGCAGCCAGCGTCGCGCTGGCAACAACAAATTGCGGTGAGTATTTTTTGCACTCTAAAAACAAAAAAAAAACCTTATAAAATTCTGGTTCATACACAAGGAATATTTAAAAAAAAAATATACAATTTGTATTTAAAAAATCTCTTCTTTGATTATATAAAAAGTTGCAACTATGAAAAGGCAAAATTAGTCGTTTCAAAAACAGTTTCGAACTATCTTTACTATACTTGAAGTTAATCTAGAAGGATATTGAAATACTAAATCTTGAAGTTTTATGAATAATTTTATATATACTTTAAAGACATGATGAGATGAGATAAACAAGATGTTTATTTCGGAACTCTATTAAATTTTTCGAATAATACTTTTAAACACTTTTTCTCTATGTACATATATACTCATATTCCATCTGGATACACTCTTCTATATATACTTACTGCTCCATTCTGTCACAAACACACACCAACACACACATACTCTGCTGATTCTACTGTTTAGTTTGTAATTTTGCCAAATTGTAGACACAGCATAATAAACACACAAAAAGAAACGAAACTAGAAAATGTAGTTCAAAGTTTGACAGTCAATGGAATGGGGCGAAACCTCGTTCCTCCTTCCACAAAATAATTCACTTAAATCTATTACATAATGCAAAAGGCTCAGGCAAAAACAGTCGATTAGGTTAATTAATTACGGTTGCTAGTGAAAGTTCAATCAGTGGTGGTTTATTTCAAAAACTTTAAGTAAAAAACTTACAAAAAATACAAAATTTTAATATTTTTATCAGAAATTATAGAGTAAATCTTAATATAAGTTTAAAGTGGATAGGTGTTTATGTCTTTTTTTTGATTATTTCATGAATCTTGTTTTTGGACATGAAAATCTTGAACTTACCTTTAAAAAAACGAAGTATAGAAAAGAGTTTATTTCAAAGTTCTTTTATTTTATCACTTAAATGAACTAAGAATTAGTCTTGATTTACTTTTATTTGCCAGTCTCAGCTTAAATGATGCTTAAATGTCATCCCCGAATTAGAAGCATGAGTTGTCTGGAAAAGTTTAAAACCTCTATAGGTACGACCAACCCCCAGCATTAAACGATGATAACGATTTCTGGCCATAAAAAGTCATCCCCATTTGCTGAATTTAAACGCTTCGAAAGACTGCAAAGTGTGAATGATTTTTCAAATTGAAATTAACGTTTAACAGAATGAGAAAGCAAAAATATAGAATGAAAAAAACAGACAAAATAGCAAAGACAGACAGATGAGGGGTAAATTAAAAAAAAAAAGAAAACGAAAAACAATTTTCAACAAAAAGTGCTAAAAATAAACAAAAAATTCGCTGATGCCGCTTTCGACGGCCGCCTAGAAATGACTTTAAATTACACAGAAATAAAAATAATGGAAATGTTAGAATTTTTATTAATTTTTAATATGTTTAAGATATTTTTAGGGGATATCTTAGTTTAGTTTAGGAAAAGTTGGAATAAAAGGCAAATACTTTTAACCTTTTTCAAGCTGAAAAGGAAAACTAAAACTTAAGATTCTCTTAAAGTCTTAAAAATATATAAATTCCAAAGCTGTTTAAGAATTGATTTTAATCAAAATCATAGAAAACGAAAACTCTCTTATGGAGTAAACGTTTACTTTCACCGAATATCTAAAATTATTTATTAGATCTTCGGAGAACTTCATAAATGTTTTATTTAGCAAACAAAAAAAAACTAATTTTGTTCTTCTATCGAAAATGATAATTTGCGAATAAAACATACGTGCCTATGGGGTCGCAATATTGGTTCATCATTTTCCATCGTGTATGCAAGGTGGGTGGCAATTTTCGGGGGTGGTTGGCGCCTGCCAGCGGGAAAATGGAAAAGTATAAAGGCGGTATGGGGAAGGGGGATTATGAGGCAGACAGCAGTATTCGTTGATTTTTCCGTCGCCGGTGTAAAGCTCTATGTGTGAGTGTGTCTGTGTCTGCTGTCCATGTCCAAGCATTCCATTTTCCCATTTCCTAAGTCCTCCTCCCCCATAAAACTTGCGTGGCCCAAGCACTTTGGGGGTTAGTTATTTTTGGGGACGACAACCGCAGGAGCAGCAGCCCTCTGAACTTCTCAACTCACCAACTGCGGAGGAGGATTCGCGACGAAGGATTGCGGATGGGATATTATATGGTGGTACGGAATGGTGTGGTGGTATGATGCAGCAGGATGAGGATGCCTGTGGCGCTGGCAACGTGTGTTGTTTCACTTTTCTGTTTTTTTTTTTTTCTGGGCCACTCTTGTCTCCTGGAGTTGGCTGTACTCCTCTTCCTAGCTGAACTGGAGGTTAGTGGATAGAAGATGTGGCCCACGGATGCGATGACAACCAGAAAGCGAACGGGAATGAGCCGATAAATCTTAGCTGAACCGCAAAGACCTGTTTAGCGGAGTTCTTGGGCCTGTAATAAATAACTTCAAATAGATTTTATATTACAAGTCAAATTCATGGTCTTATGTTTAAAATTGCTGGCAATCTTTCATAAATTTAGTTTACTTAAGCTAAAGCTTAGGCAGGTCTAGATGGAGATGGCAAAAGCTTATAGGAAAAGTAGTTTATAGGTGGAAAATCAGGAGAAATTTGAATGAACTTTTGTGCTAACTTTCTTGAGATAGCTCTCAAGTGCCTAAGCAGCTGAATTTCCCTGATGATTTATTCAAATGCAAAGTTTGAATTGATTATTTTACTTTCTCCTTTCGACAGCTTGAACTAATTTCCCTTGAAACTATTGACTTTTGAAGGCCAATTATGTTATCAAGCTGAAAGGCTAAGAGTAATTGATCACTAATATCTGGAAATGTGGATCAGATGGGGCCAACTCAATATAAAATCTGGGCGCCCGAAAGCTTGATTGGAAAATGTCAAGGGTGCTATTCTGTACTGGCCTTCTGTCCTTCGGTCCATTTGACCATCTGTCCATATGTCTCGCTCTCAAAGTGAACAAAAAAGACGCACAAACTTGGCGATGATTTTGTTGCCTGTGTTGTGTGTTCTGTTTCTGAACTTTGAAGGATTTTCCTCCCATCTACTAGGATGCTGGCATTCGTATATATGTATATATATATATATATATCAATGTGTGTATATTGGCGAAAACTCTCCATACAAACACATGCCCAGGGGGCCACGCATAATACACATGCAAATGTCAAAGCTGCCAGGCTGTCGCCATAAGCGAAAGCGTCACTTGTGCCACCTTACCACCAAAACCATCCAACCACCCAACCATCCACCCACTTTGGCACTTCTTCTTCTAGCAATGCCACCACTCCACCTTGCCACCAAAGTCCAACATCCACCACGACGGCGGCCATCGGCGAGTTTTAGCGGATTTTGTTTGTGCCGGAATGGAAATCGTCGTCTTTGCTGTCGTCGCTGTTATTACAGTACATCCTCCCCATCTCCCATATGAATTTTCTTCGTTTGTAATGAGTAAGAGGAGTTATTTCTATGATTACAGATGCTTGCCTTGCAACAGGTTATCAAAAGTTATTCAAAAGAATAAGATATGCATTCTTATGGAATTTATTCTTTAAAATAAGGTAGAAAGTTGTATTTGTTAGTGAAAAAGTAGTATATTAGGTAATATTAGTACTCCGCCTAAATGCAGGCAACACTTTCTAAATTTTAACTGCAATCATTACAGTAAACTAAAAATATTTAAGAAATTCATAAAATTTTTAAGTTTTTAATGATTTTACTGAGTGTAGACTGTATTGTTTTTTTGCTGTTGTTGTTGGTATTGTCATCTACGCGTTTTCTTCATGCTCCAGTAAAATTTAAGGAGGGTTGTTGAAAGAAAAGTCAGAAATGGGTGGGTAGAATAGCTAGGTGTGTGTGTGTGCGTGTGTGCACGGTGTGTGAACTTTGAAAAACTCACCACCGTCTTTTGCGAAACCGGTCCCAGTCGGCCTCTTCCTCTCCTTATTTCTTAACTATCTTAGACACTTTAAAAAAACTAAAAAAAATATTACTTTTCACTTTTTTAAATTCTTTATTCTTAAGTTTTTGAATGTTCAAGGCTTTAGATAGCCAAAAAGCTTTATTACCTACCAACATTTACATAAAGTTTGAGGAATTTTTAAAAACAAATTATAAAAGAAAATTTCCTTGTGATTTAGTTTACATTTTAGTTAATTCTTACCCTAAAAAGTAACTTTTTTTGAATGTTAAAAATTAAGTAATTTTTTCCAAGTGCCCCACTTATTTGTGCGTTTCATGTTTGCTGTCGGATTTGTTCTGTTTGGCAAATTGTTTGGCACAAACAATTGCATATTTGTGCAGGCTCTAGACCATTCTGGAGCGTTCCGGCTTTCTTGAGCTTTTGAAGCCTTCATCTTGATATTTTACTACCTGTTAATTTGAGAGTTTCAGTGGGTATATTGTGCAGGTGCAAGTGTAGGTAACAGGAATAGGGAAGTCTTTCGTGTAGAAGTAAGGAAAATCCATTTTGTTGTGTTTTTTTTTTAAACAGCCTGCGGTGAAAGATGAAAATTGTGGCACTCAACACGTCGGGTTTTTCCACTTCCCCTTGTTTTAATTCAAGAATTTCACAGGAAAAATATGATATTATTCTGTTTATATCAAAGTGTATAGGAAGTCTTTATATTATTTTTACGTTTTTGGGTTATTCCCGAAACGGTTTATCAATTTTTAGCTTTTCTACTTCCTTTAGTATTCTTTTTAAATTCAATTTTTTCTTTCTGCATTTCTTTTTTGTAAATTTAAAACCTTTGCACACAATATTTTTCCGTGTGGATTTTCCTACACATTTTCTCAACTTCGTTCGCCTGCAACAACAATTACAATAACAATGCAGCCCGGAAAACAAAGCGAGCGAAAAGGCTTTTCTTAACGTTTTAAGAAGCTTTTGCTATCGCTATATGGCCTTTTGTTTTCTTTCAGTGTTTTTGTTTGTGGCTGTGTGAGTGGTGGTGCTTCCCCTTCCCTTTCCCTTTACTACTTTTTGTTATTGTTTATGTGCATCACGCATGCAATTCGCACTATGTTTTTCACTCCCTTTTGTTGTTTGCTACCAAATGGAAACGGAGGAGAGTAACACTTTGGGGCCAGAAACACATTGATGTGGTGTGTTTTTTTTTTTACATTTTTTTTTTTAAATTACATTTTATAATTATCGCAGAGTGGTGGTGGGGTGTTCCAACTTTGGTTATCAGCAAACATTGAGTTCCTGGAATTTAGAGAAAACATTAATGAAAATTTAATAGAGATTTTGTATTTTTATGTTGGATTTCAAGTAAGTTTTCGATAAGAGAAGCTGACTGCTATCTGGTTATATTTTTACTTGAAATTCCAACTTGAGATGATATATAAAATTCGCCTTTTAATCTTAAAAACACGAAACAGAAACCTATGACTGAGTTCCAGTTAAAAAATGATTCATCCTCTAACGATAAAACTAGCAATTCCATACTCGTTGATAAAGCTAAATATATTTTATATACAAGTTTTTAGCTTGCAAATCACAGTTTGTAAATCATAATCAGAAAACTAAAAGCTAATTAAAAATGTATTTTCATAATGGCTGTTATTTATTGATTAACCATGCACCGCCCCGCCTCGCCCTCGTATATTATTTATTTTGTGTGAAAATGCTGAAAATAATTAGCTCTTGTGTTTGCTGTCAGTGGCATTTGAAATTTGCCTTTGTAACTGGTACAATAAATAAATAGTAGAAAACCCTAATTAAATTTGAAACTCAAGGGCCAGACATTGTTTTAATTTATGTACGAGTATGTATGTAACTTGTTCTTTGTCCTTTTTGGGGGGGTTACAAAAATCCAAAGCTGGCAGCAGCATTCCTTGCATGTTTCCTGCTTGCCCTTTATCTTTGTCCCCGTTAACATTTTCCTTTTCCGACTTTTCTGTCCATGCTTTACCCCACATTCCATTAGATATAATAAATACCAAAATACGATAAAAAAAAAAGAAAGGCGGGCAAAAGAAATTAAAGATGCAAAGCAATGAAAAGCTCTCAAAAAATGGGGAAATAAAAACGAGAAGAGGCGAAATTATCCTTGTTTGTTGTGACTTGAATCTAGTATATATGAGGGGAGGGGAAAATGGAAGAAAAACCACTCACACTGGAAATTGGTTAAAAATGTCAAATGAACAGCATTCCCTTCCCGTTCTTCGTTTTTTTTTTTTAACTTTTCTTGCTTTTTTGTGTTCTGTCATCAAAAAACCAACCCAAACTAAACGAACTGAAAAGCTGCAAGGCAAAGGATAGCTATTCCTTTCCTTGTTTATAGTCACAGAACTTAACAAATAACACTAGAAACCTTCTCAGAATTAGCTTTAGACTTTGACTTTCTAATGTATCTTCTTATTCTTCTTATTTAGTGTTTATTAGTTTGATTAAAACTTGTCTTAAAAGTGGCTAAAAAAAGGCTCTATATTGAAGATCATAAAATGTTAAACCATTTTCTCACTTAAAAACAAAATCTTTGCATAAAAATAACTTACTAAGACTAAAAATAAGTTAGTCATGGTATGATATGAACTTTAATAGTTTCTAATCACAAGAAATGTAAAAATTATGTGAGTAATAGCACCATGAATATTGATCCAAAAACTAAACTCCTTTTAGTGCACCCTTGACGTATGCAACACTTTATTTAATTTTATATTCTTGATATATATTCGGTATAGTACCAGCCATATCCACATCCACATAATCATCACCTTTATCTTTATCGTCATTAAACGGGGCTCGTCATTATTACCATAAAAGTTTCTTGTTTTTGTTTCTTTTAGTTCCTGCCGCAACTTTTGCCCTATCTCCATCTTATTCTTTCATTCTTTTTTGCCATCTTTGTCTAGCGCTTATTTTCCGTCCTTTTCCTGCTGGCATTGGCCTTTTAGTTGATTTCCGTCCGACACGCTGCCTTGTGATGACATTGTTTTTATGACGCGACCCCCTAGTTTTCCCCAACAACCGCCAACGCATTTTACCTACAGACAAAGGATATGCCCCTCCATCTACCAGATATATAACATATATATATAAATATACATCTTATAAATATATGGTAGATGTGTGTATATCGTGCATAACTTTGTTGCGGTGGGGTTGGGCTTTTGTGCGATTCTGATCCTATTGCAACAAATAACAAAAACACAAAGCCTTTGCCGCCATGGAGTGATGGATAATGGTGCTAGTGATGGGCCTGTCAATCAGCCACCGATGTGCTATATTGACAGAGACATCGGTGTCATAGATCTACGTCGTGATTGCCGTTACACACATGTCTAGAATTTAGGTCACATCAAATTTATAACCTACCTTTGGTGTTAATTTTGTGGTAGAGATTATAGGTTTTTAGCTAAAAAATAATAGGAATTAATCAGGTTTTTTATTGCATTGATTTATAAAAATCTATATTAAATGATGTGTTAGTTTTAGTAAAGCAAAGATTAGTCAACTGAAAGCATCTCAAACGCTTAGTTTTTAGGAGAGATTACGAATGCGAGTCATAAATAGAACTGTTTTAGTGATGAGTCATTAGTTAGCTTAGAGTTAGTTTAAAGATTAAAATATGACTTAATGTATGTGAAACGTTTAGCTCTCCTATAATATTTATTAATTTAACTATTGTCATGAAAGCAAGTTCATAGAAAAGTCTTAAATAATAGCTTAAATATAAAAAGATATATTAAAATTCCTAAACAGACACACTCAGCATCACAATATTCCAATTCCTAAAGATCTTTAGCTTATTATGAAAACAAAACAAGCAGCTTAATACACATAACAATTACCATTAAAAAAAAAGATGAAAATTAAAGTCTAACAGAGTTCAATTCCTTCTCTTTTTTGGCCCACTAAACTGTCGGCTGAGTGAGTGTGTCATGTAATACCAACCCAAAAAAGGGAGGAGAGGAAAAAAAAAACAGAAGAAAAATACTCATTTCGGTGGGCTGGGCGTAACATTAGCGGCTCGTTGGCGAAAATGCTGGCAAACCTCCTCATTAGAACCCCGGACCTGACCTGCCGGGGTTCCTATATGTGTGTTTACCTTTCCCAAAGCGCAGGCTCGCTGTTTTCCATGCCACCCAACACGACCCGGACCCACCCTTTCCATCCGGTCGACCTGGTCGACACCCTTGACAAGCATTCAGAGAAATAATTCTATGAAAATTTTTAAAGATTTTCTTTGATTTATAGAAGGAAATGTGGAAAGTTAACTTGTAACTTATTTATACTTTAACTTCCAAAGAGTTTAATCGAACTTTCTTCTATAAATTATTTATCTAACACATATTTCCTAGTATAAACTGATTTTTCTGGAAGTGCACATCCCTTTGCATACTTTTTTCCCGTTTTTGGGGCCTGGTTTTCCTTTCTCCCTTTTTTTTTTTTTAATTGCTTGGAAGAGGGAGCACGTCACGCAAATGCTGAAACTATATAATATGGCCAAAAAAAGGAAGTGGAAACCGCAATCAGAGAGTGCGGCGGCCTGGGTTTATAAAGTTATTCACAAACGTTTTTGGACACAAGGGAAAAGGTGGAAAAGTGAAAAAGTAAAATGGTCGGAAGTTGGGGGGCAGTGCAATTAACCCTTTCGCTGGGCCAAAATGCAGTTTCCATGGGTGAGTGAGTGACTGACTGAGTTAGTGTGTGTGCTGGCATTTACCTTTGTGTTTTGGCCCCAAAAAATACGAATAATTTATTCCAAATTGCAGGGCGACATAAGCCAATGGAGAGAGAATGAGAGATGAAAATTCAATTGCAAATTGCGAAATATGCGGAAAAAACTGAAAGGGGTTGATGAGGGGTAAGGGGGAGAAATGGTCCCATAACGCCACTAAACACCAACATCAATGCCAAAACGGCGGAGGTTAGCAGCGGTCCATCGAAATCTAATTTTAGATCGATATTCCCCCATCTACGCCGTTGGTGGTGTTCGCCTTTTTATAGACTTTAAGTAAAATGGATTCGCAGAGGCAGCCGTTTGCTAAATTTAGTATATTACCGAAAAGCAAACAGTCAACAATCTAGGGGTACACAAAACATCAGGTTACATTTCCAATCGATCCAAAAACGTGCCAGATGCCCCATTAGCCGCATATTCATGTTCGAGGGTCGCTCCATGAGCTTTATAAACTCGGATTTTTTTTTTTCTGTTTTTTTGATGTTCGCATTTTCTGCAAATCTTTCAGCTTCCTCTAAAGACACACAGATACAGTTTTTCCACATCCCACCCAAATGCCTTTGATTGTTTTATGCACATTTCGTGGAAACATTTTTCGATTGGCCATTTCCTCGACGCAACAGCCACAGCCCAGCGCAGACAAATTGATAATGTGGTGAATGGTGGTCGAGGGCGAGTTTCATTTAGCCTTCATAAGCACTTGTTACGCCACGAATTTCCCAGGAAATGTGAAGCATTTATTGGCATATATACCCCGTATATATATACACAGTTCAATTAGCCACAAGAGCGCCAGTTCCTGGCCATTTCCCAAGTACGTTTTCTCTTAAGCTCTTAATTGTGTTTTCCTTGCCTTAATTTATTAATGAAAAACAAAAACTGAAATGAAAATTCCCCTACCAGATCAATCTCAAGCGAATGATAATGACAAGGATTACATCTGTTATGGATATATCCTTAGAAGGTATCTTCTTCTATCAGTTACCTAAGCAATGGCCGTCGAATTTTATATGTGGGTTTCTCCCAAAGCCTCTAGTTCCTCAGGATTGGCACAACATTTCCATGATTCCTGAACACCAAAATGATAGATAGTCTCATGGAAATAATGTTCTCCCGGATTGATAAAGATGCGTGGAAATTCCGGTTGATTGACAGCATCCGGATAGTTAAATAGTTGCAAACTAAAACCACAATGCTGCCAATACCGGGTGCAATTTTTACCCAAAATCGGTTCTTCGCCTAGGGGTTCTTGGGGAAAATTGTTGGCGGTAGTGAGTTTAACACCCGGTTGATTGCTATAGATCTCCATATACCGCCCCGTTTCGGCATGTAGAAAAGTGCCCACATAACGGGTTATATTCGAATCGAATTCCCTATCAAGAGAATAGCAAATATCATAGCCTTTGGTTGGTTTTTCCTCAAACTGACGCACTCGATCGCCCATGAATACTGGTAATCTTATATCGTATACCGAATCATTGACACTCTTAAACCGACCCGTTGGTATTCCTCCTTCACCACCAGCTATCTCCAATGTCTCCTTTGATTCAATATTGATTTGATGATCGAACATACCCTTGACCCCTGTACTTTGACCAGCTAGATTGAAGTATATATGATTGGATATATTCACTGGCGTTGTTTGGTTAGTGGTGGCTTCGATGCGTATAAAGAAACGATTATCATCGTCGACGGTGAAATGGAGTAGAACATTCAAGTTCCCAGGAAAACCCTCGTGTCCATCCTGGGAGACATGACGTAGGGTAATACCATCCGGTCGCTTCATATAGAGATCCCAAATGATCTGATCGAAACCCACAAAGCCACCATTGCTGTGATGTTTCTGGTTGAGATTCCTTGACACAATCACACGTCTTTCATCCATGATAAACTCTCCATTGCTCACAATATCCGTGACTCGTCCTAGAGTGCATCCAAATTTATAATTCCTGTACTTCATATAACCAGCTATATCATCGAATCCGAGGACCACATCGGACAGCTGATTATAGGCATCTGGTACTTGGATGCTCTGGATAGTAGCTCCCAGTTGGATGATGGACACGGAAAGACGATTGGTATTAGTGATGGTATAGCGACGTATAACCTGAGCTTGATTGGTAAACGGATTGGTGGCAATCCCGAAAATATCCTCTATAACCTTGACCATAATTTTGGGGGTTTTTAATTTTGAATTTGTTTTTTTTTTTGGAATTTTTCCTTATCAACTATCTGAATGTAATGTCAAAGTTAGTAGTCTTTTCTTTCATTTTAACTTTCAAAGAGAACTTCGATTATAGCCACTTATTAAATGCCATTTCGATTGATATTTAATTAAAAATAAGTTACGTATGAAATGAAAAGAAACTCAGTCCAAGTCTCATTCGATTATTGGCTTACCAACGCTGACACTGTAGTTTTCAACTTGAAATTAATTGCAATTAAGCTGTCATAAAAGTTGCAAACATTTTCTGACATTTCAAAAGGCCAAAGTGTAGCGAGATAATTAATAAGGGCATTTTTGAAGATTTTTGATATGAACTTGATTGCATTTCTTACTTAAGGGTAACCATTCGATTTTTTGATTATTAACCTGGAAACCCTAATGCAAAACTTTGTTGATTATGTCTTTTTGACCCCCCCAAACTGCGGTTACAGAAAAAGAGAAACCAAAAAGGTAAATAAAAATCGATGAGCAATGGCATGTCCATTGAATGGTTAATGTGGTTATAATCAATTTGCTGCCAACTTGAAGTTGAACGCGAAACACATATGGTACTTTTAGTAAATTGTTTTAATGGCTTATCGTAAATCCAGTTGTTAATTGCACCCATCAAGGCTGTTTAACCACGGATTCACCTCACTCCTAAATCTCTATATTTAATGGCGATATCGCAACAATTTGTTTGTTTCGAGTGCCGGCAGTTTGAGTGCATGTCTGTCACCTGTTCGCCGTACATCGCCCCCCAAAGATATAGTAGATAAAGTTCAGTTCGCTTGCATCGGGAAAGACTATCTTATCGTACAGTGACTGCCTGTTTCACCCAGCTATGTGATTTATAAGGGACCAGAAACCTAATCAAAAATTGGTGCGAAATAAGCTGGGCCCAGGGATCATTATTCAGCCAATAACCGTGACAGGAATTATCATCATTTATAATGGCAATAACTGAATAATTGAATACGTTGCGATATAGATATATCTGTATATATAGTTATATATATGACGGAGACAGAACAAAAGAGTAATTGCCATCAATTACTCTGCCCTTGCGCCCCATTACGGCTTCTTCGACAGCTGCATGGTTTTTCACACTACACTTGAATAAATTATGCCAAAAAATGAATCTTAGAAGTTATTTAAGAAGTAGTTAAAAGAGATTTAGTTAGGTTTGTGGAACAGCAAGACAACTAATATCAAAAACATCCCAGCTTTAACCTTAAAAAAAACCTTCTTAAACCCATATCTTACTTATTAATAGATTTTCTTAAAGTGCAGAAAATAAAAAAGAGAGAAAATGAATAGGGGTATAATGACCATACATACCTGCAGTTGGTCTAATGGGTTTTCGAGTTTCCAGCGAACCATTGTTCTTTCATATAGTCCTGTGGCAACGATTCCATTCCATCCATGGCTCATTGGCCATACGGAAAATGCAGGAGAAAATACGGAAAATTGCAGAATGGTTCGGTGGGTGGGTGGTTGGTTGGTGTGCAAATAAATGCAAAATCATCGCTCGTCATCCACATCGACACCGTCACAATGGTAATGGCTCTCTGGTCTACCAACCCATTGTGTTTGGTTAAAGTTCAGCGAGGCCAATGCCAATGTCGTTTGGGCCTTTTGGGGGCTTTGGTTGCTTTAGTCGCTTTATTCGCTTCACCTTTGCTATTTCACCCAGTTGACCCCCATTTCTCCAACCCCTTTCTCTCTCTTCGAAAGGTAAATGTTTGCCGATAAGAACTCTGTCAGTTGAATCTATAGCCTTGGAACCTTGATTCTACCATCGTCGAACTTTAAGCTTTTAGGAAAGATGATAAATGTTGCACGAATGGAAATCTCACTTTCACTCTCTCCGGTAGTCCTCCTCCTCCTGCAAATAACAAAAGGAAAAGGTCAGCATTTTAAATCAAGTTTTTAATTGAAGAAGGAAATAGTTATAATTAAGATCGAAGGGTACATGCCTCTTGGAAAGAAAGTTTAAAGGGTACTGCAGTTAGGACGTGGCTTATTTAATGAAACAATGCAGAAAGTAATAAGATTTGTAAATAAAATAAGTTATTTTGTTTATATATGAACTTTGATTTTAAAAATAGCAAGATACAGGATCAAGAGCAAAGTTTGGTAACATAAGAAGCTTTAAACAATCTACCTTACCATGGCAGCAAAGTAATTTTTAGTTGCTTTATTTATTTATTAGTTTATCTAAGGCTAACAATTAGTTAAAACTAAGAGTTAGGAGCATTATTAGTTGCTTTATATAGACTAAAGTTTTTTTATAAGATTTTAAAATGAGTTCCAACGATTATTCGTCGAGTCTTCTTTTCCAAATTTGTCAAAATTTATGGACAAAACATTAGTATTTAGTTTTTATAGATTGTTAGTGCCTACTGCACTCCACTTTATACAATTAAAAGCTTTGCAAAACAACCAAAAATCAAACTACTTCTTCCTAAATGTTTCAAATCTGGTAAACGAAAAAAAAAACAATCTAAAACTTTCGCTAGTTTTGACGTTCCTTAACAAAGATTACCCTATGAACACCAAGAAAACCTATTCATACATCATGAGCTAAGAATGTAAGACATTTTCAAACCGCTTTCCAAATTTTCCATGTCGATTTTATAGCTTGTTTATACATATTTTGATTTTCCTTCACACACCGCCAATATCTTTTGACTTGGCTAGGTAAATAAACTAAAACGTCTTACAGCACGTTGTCTTAGTGATTGGTAATCAATATAGGAAAATTATATGGTAATTTAAAAGCTAATTTAAATTGCTATATGATGATTATTTAATGATTACTTGATCACTTTTGTTATATAAAAAAAAAGAAAAACTAAAATTGCTTTCGGAAAAATAATCACAGCCTGCTTTTCGATTTAATTTTGTTTTAAATAAACAAAAAGTTATGATAATTACTTAATAATAATCAACATAATCATCATATAGATACTACCACTATTTAATATAAAATTAAAAAAAAAAAAAAAAAAATTCCCATTTTCAAGGTAATTAGTATATAGATTTATAGATCAGTTCTAGCTGAGGCACTCAACAAGTTTTATTATTCACTTGTTTATGTTTATATTGACTGAGCTCGTAAACCAATTTGGCTGTCTTGGAGCCTTCAGAAAGTCTATAAATAAGGCATTAGTTGTTAGATAATTTGAAATGTAATATCTAATGGTGATTGGGCACAAGTGAACTTTGCAATCGCAAATTGATTTAATGTATTGATTACGGACAACGATAATGCCCATGAATCATGGTCGAATGACTGATAAGTCAGCTAGCTTGGCTAGCTGTTCATGTCTTGGCTTCATTAGCAAGTCTAGTTAATCCCAGACCGGATATGCAAATGCACAGTATGCATTCCCGTGTTGGGCCCGCCTTATCGGACCACCGATATGCAATGTCAAGCCAGTGATTATGGTGGAGGTAGAGGTAGCCCAAACATGATAGCCCACACCGACCAACAAGTTGTTACACGCAGAGAAAAGGTTACTCAGACAGCAGCAGAGGAGGAAATTTTTAAGGTATATAATACAAATCTGAACAACAAATTCATTTTTGAAATTAAAATGAAATATTTTTGAGTAGGCACATAAGTGCTAGTTGCTGTAATGCCCCAAATATCTTTGGTCTATAAAAAGCATCACAATGTTGCATAATTGCCAAGTGAGCAAAGAGTCGTAAACTTTGAAAATGAATACTTTGTATTTAAGTTATTTTTAAGTACAAGAAATCTTCTTTTAAATAATGAAATATTTCATTTCATAGTTATAATTTTAATCTTTAGTTCTTTCTTTCTGTGCAGTTTGATTTGACCGCCCCTTTTAAGCACGCCCTGCCCATGTCTAGCGCTGATTATGCTTTGCTTTACATTGCACTGCTGCTTGAAATTAGAAAAGGGGAGGGAGGACACAAGGCGCTGCAAATGGGCAAAGGGCGAGGGAACCTTAAGCTGTCTAAAGTCGTTCGTTTTGCATATTTGCATGCAGTCATGACTGTACTACAAGTAAGCATTTGCCAGGGTTGCATCTGATTTTCCAACTGGGATTATATTTTTTCGAAACAGCAGCAATGCAGCAGCAAAGGGAAAAGCTTGTGGCCTTTGAGTTTGGGTGGCTTAAATCGCGAAATTTCTTGAACAGCTGCCTTTAAATTGGTTTACTTAGTTAATTAGTTACTGCTTAGATAAATATTAGTGTATATATTTTTAAGGAAGAATTATATACTCCCAGGTAACTTCTTAAAATGTAGATCCTTTTGTAAGACATGTCGTATGAGTGATATTAATCAAAAACGCTCATACGTAGATTTTTAATCTTTAAAAACTATATATTACTTATTATTTAAATTATTATTAATAACTCGATTAACTAATTCCAGGCAAATCCTATTATAGGATACTGAGATAATATTATACCCTTTGCTATATCACTCATACGCAGTGTTGCAGTTTAAGAACCGTTGAATTTAAGAACATAATAATATTTTAAAACTATTTATTACTGATTGCTTATAATCAAAAACCCAAGTAACTAACTTAAGGCAAATCCTATGATGAGATACTGAGATAATATTATAGCCATTTTCATATTGCTCATACGCAGTGTTGCAGGTTTTGAGCTGTTGAATCTGAGAAAAAAATCTATTACTGATTATTTATAATCAAAAACCCAAGTAACTAACTCAAAACAAATGCCTATGATGAGATGCTTAGATAATATTAAACCCTTTGAAATATCACTCATACGCAGTGTTGCAGTTTTTAGGGAACATTCTAATCTTCAAAAACTATCTATAACTTATTATTTAAATTAAATAACCCAAATACCTAACTCCAGACTAATCCTCTACTCTGCTGCTCCCTTTCAGATGCCTGGACTTGTGGTCTTCAGACGTCGCTGGTCTGTGGGCTCTGATGATCTCGTAGTGCCTGGCGCATTTCTCCTGACGATTCATTTTATATGGTAGATATAACTAACCCAAGAATTTTCCTTATAACTTCCTTCTTTCTCTTTCCATAATAGTTTTGTGATTGTTAGCGTCTCGTTGGTTATCTTTGAGTATAATACACGAATTTTAAGCATAAAATTATTGTTCTATCATCTAATAGGCTACTTGTTGATACTATTTTGTAAGTACAAATTGATATTGAAATTCAATTTCAAATCTCAAATTAATAAATCCATTTGCAGTTTCAATATGTGTAGAAATAGGTATATGTGTGATCTCGATGCGTGGCAGTATTCTAGATGCCGAGGCGCGCACCTCGATCAACATCTGGATCTATCTCAAGAGCTGTAAGTTATATCTCTATATAGATATGTTTTTAATATATAAAAATATTTTTGTTATCATCTTTTTAGTGGTAATACTGTTCGATATTGCCTGGCTGGGTGTGGGCTCCGTTTGGCTGGGGCATTACTACACCACGGCACCAATCGATGATCCCAAAAAGGTCTACATAGGTAAGGTTTATAGCTGGCCTATCTTAGTACAAGCTTACTTTTTAACTAGTTTGATTATATGAAGTAATGGTTTACTATTTAAATAACTGGTATATCAGCTTATTGATTATTTATGCATTTAACTATTGGGCTCTCTAGATTATTTAACTTACTCTTTTTTTTTTTGGTTATTTTCCATTTTCTTCCCCTAGCCATTATCATCTGCAATTGGGCTTTAGTGGTGATCACTCTTATCACGATATGGTGCACATTTGATGCTGCTGGAAGATCCTGGGTAAAGATGAAGAAGTACCAGCGATCAATGCGGGAAACGGAGTCTCGTTTAAACTACAAGAGAAGCAACAGCATGAATCGCAATTGGCGGCAGAGGTAAGTCGAATTATAATAAGATTTATACAGATTATAAAACCCATTTGATAGACCCCTATCTTAGTACTAGAATAATAAGTAATCCCTATAAAAATATTCTTAGGAAAGTGATGCGAGCTTACCAGGACAGTTGGGACCATCGCTGCCGGCTGTTGTTTTGTTGTATGGGCTCCTCGGAGCGGAATCGAAACTCCTTTACGGACATTGCCCGCCTGCTGAGCGACTTCTTTCGGGAATTGGACGTAGTACCATCGGATGTGGTGGCTGGACTTGTCTTGCTCCGAAAGTTCCAGCGTCTTGAACGTGAAGCCATTGTGCGACAGCGTAAAAATGGCACCTACGAGTTCCTCAGCGGCGTACCGATCACGGAGCGAACCCAGTTCCTAGCACTCAACGATGCCAAAAACTATGATTTCTTTCAGACGGTCATACACTATATGTACTTTGCCCAGGGCGCCTACGGCTGGCCCATGTACGTTATCATCAATCGGAGCAAGATGTGGCACCTGGTGCCGGAACTGAAGTGAGTAAAAATCTGTAAAGAAAAGAAGAATAAAATGTTTTCGATTAGTTAAGGGTTATATATGGAAAATATTTTCAATATATATGGGAAAATTGGTTTCCATTATGCAACGTCATGTTATATATATAAATAAACCCCTTAATATTCCTATACACGAAATATTTATAAACGAAAAAACCTGCGAAGAGTGAAACTTTTTCACATCGCAGCATTTTTATGTGAAATTTGCATAGCGCTGTATTTTTCGCTATTTTTTTTGTCACCTCAACAAAAAGTTTTAATGGAAAAATCCCTTTATTTATTATGTTCTTTTGCTAAGAACTTTAAATACTATAAATGTAGATGCATTATGCTGTTTTATTTATATTTTTTAAGGAAATTTTAAAACATTTTGGCTTGCCAAGGTAAATAATGGGGATTTTTTGATTTATAAATCAATTTAAGACCTTCCAATTTGCAGATATTTAAAATTAAACTCACTTTATTATAATCTTTAGATGCTTTGGTTGTTGTTGCGGAAGTAACGATGACACGGAGGTCATCCAGGACAATTGCTGCCTTTGCAACTATGCGGCACTGAAGAAGACACTCCAGCTGGGTGACATCGACATCGTTTATGCCACCTATCATGTGGATGTGGGCGAGACGCCCTTCTTCGTGGCCATTGATTACACGCATCGTGCAGTGGTGATCAGTATACGTGGTACCCTTAGCATGAAGGACATCCTCACGGATCTGAATGCTGAGGGTGAAGTCTTGCCGCTGCAGCCACCGCGTGACGATTGGTTGGGCCACAAGGGAATGGTGCAGGCAGCGATTTATATACGCAACAAGCTGCAAGAGGAGAATCTCATTGAGAGGGCATTGCAGCGGAATCCCGATCGCCAGACGCACACCTTTGACCTGGTTCTAGTGGGTCATTCCCTGGGAGCCGGAACAGCGGCCATTCTTGCTATTCTACTGAAGCCCGAGCATCCGACGCTTCAGTGCTTCAGCTACTCCCCGCCTGGAGGTCTGCTCAGGTGGGTTTTCCTCTATAGATACTCCAATCTTTAATATTCATTTGGTTTTTGGCTTTTTTAGTATGCCCGCCGTGGAGTACTCGAAGTCGTTTATCACGTCGGTGGTATTGGGCAAGGATGTGGTGCCACGCATTGGTCTCAATCAGATGGAAGCCCTGCGAGCGGACCTTATCAATGCCATTCAGCGCAGCGTGGATCCCAAGGTAGTGTTTAAATGAAGAAAAACTAATCCATGATATGGATATTGTATGATTTTATATATATTTCTAGTGGAAGACCATTTCCTGTTCGGTCATCTGCTGTGGCTGTGGACCAGAGCCCACTTCCGTGGTCAATATGTCCGGCCAGGATACGCACATCAATCAATACCAGGAGGTAATTATCTCATAACTGGCATATATCACTTTTTATAGGGTTTTAAATTATGCTTATCTTTGCTTTTCAGGAACGTGGTACTGCCCGTTCGACCAGTGCCCATCCTACAGACAGCTCGATAGCTTTAACCCTGCATCAGCCCTTATATCCGCCCGGTCGCATCATTCATATAGTGCGACATCATCCCAAGCCCGACGAGTGAGTAGCCTATGAATTAATCGAGTTGGAATTAAGTGCGACAGCTGGACGCATCCGCATTTGTTTCCTCCTCGATCTCGCAACCTTGCAACCTTCCTGACATCCCACTCATCCTGATTTATTTGTTGTTGATATTTTTTGTTTAATTTGAGATTTCGGTTTCGAGATCCGCCTTTGGCCAAGGTCTGTGCTAATTGAGGTGCGATAACCATAGCCTTATCGCTGTCAAGCTGATCCGCAACTGACTCATTGACAATCACGTCAGAGTTGTGCTGTCATGGCTTCATAGACTCAGATTCATGTTCAGGTTCAGTTTCAGTTGATGATGATGATGAACTCGTCATCGTCGTTGGGAGCACTAAACTTTATATTGAGGTCGGGCCCTTAGCGGTCCGGTGGCAGCCTCTAATTGTCACCAACAAATTGACATACCCACATGATTTATGGCCGGAACGTGCTGCTTCAATTATTAAGTTTACAAGTGCCCCATTTTGTTGGCTCTGTAACTCGATTTCTTACAGAGTGTGTAGGGTGTAGGGTGTATACTATAACCACACATATGATTTCTTGTGACAAAGTTTAATAAATGAATATTGAAAAGTTAATTTCATTAGTCATAGGACGGAGAGAAATTTGATTAACACCTAGTTTCTAAATGCCTTAGATCGAGTTGCTAAGCATAGAAAGTTTGATTGTTTTCTGAGACCATAAAGTTATCTTTTAAAGTACTAAGCAAAAATAGAAATAGTATCAATAAATTATAATAAATCTTGTATCATTTTACTCAAAGAAGTAAAGAGATTCCCTGAGAGTTACGACTGATTACCCTTATAGGCCATAATTTATTATCAAATAGGATTTCAAGTTCAGGAGTTGGCCAAGTTCTCGAGCGAATACTTTCACTACTTATCGTTTTAGTTGGTTCGCTTTCGTTTTGCTCTTGTTTTGTTTGTTAAATTTTGTGTTGCTGAACGTGTTTGGTCGATTTCTGTTTGCCCCATCTCCCAAAAAAAAAAACCCGTCAATGAGTAAAGAAAATAATGTTACCAAAATGTTTTTCAGGCAAAAATACGACAGTGGTTGGAGGTAGGCACACACACACACACACATACATGACACACCCATCAAAACACACACATACATACACAAACAGATACAGATACAAATGCACACGCATCCATAAGATTGAAAGATGATGAGCTTGAGCAGCGCTGCAGTAACTGAACTCAACTCGATCTCTGTCTCTATCTATCTCTCTTGTCTCTCTCTGTCTACATATGTCTATCCCACTCTGCCCGTGTTTATGCTCGCCCTCTATCTCTCTCTTTCGCACACTTTCTTTGTGTCTTAGCTTGTTTGGTTTGTGTGTTAACCTAGTGGCAGTCCAAGAATTCCATAATTATTATCAATTCTATTAGAAGACTGTTCTTCCTCATCCAGTTTTTGATTGATCTTTGTTGCATGCTGAGAATAGTATCACCGATGCATGCATCGTCCCCAAATCCCTCTTAAGGTGGCTTTATACGATCGAAATTCTTATCTATGATGTATCAGTTTCTATGGTATCACTATCTTTAAGATACTAAGATGAGAACTAAGTTGGTGTAAAGCTATCTTTCGATCCAATCTCTTTCTCTCGTTGTTTTCACCTCTTTCTCTTGTATACGAGCCAGAGGATTATCAATTGTGATCCTTATAAGTTGTGATCGAAATAGCAGACCCAGCATGATATTAGACCTGAAGACTACAATAAAAACTAATTTATATGTATAGTGTCACAGAAATCTAAGGATCTAAATCCTTATATACAGAAATATGTATATAAAGACCAATCTATCTAATTCTAAATCCAAATAAATCAATCTTATGTTTTAGTTCTAGTTTGATATTAATATTAGAGATATGTAGCGATGTCTTTCTATTAATCATTTTCTAATAAATCAATAGATAACTTGTGATATTGATAAACCATTAATATATAGTAGTTCAGTAGACTTGTTTGTTGATACAAAATTTATGACAAAATTAGATTGCAAAAGATTTCTGTGGCACCTAAATTGGATTTTAGTTGGAAGTACTACCTTGGTACTACCTTCTATAGTAGATAGATAGTTAATAATAATATATAAAACCGAAAAAAAAAGTAACCTACTTCATTAAAGCTCTTGTGTATATTACAGGAATGTGCTTAAAAATCGAGAACCCGTTTACCAGGCCATCTGGGCCGATTCGACGGACTTCGATGAGGTGCTCATCTCGCCGGTGATGCTGCAGGATCATATGCCGGACAAGGTCCTAGCTGCCCTCAAGAAGGTAATTGCCGAGTTCGACGACGAGCGCGGCTCTTCGGTGCACAGCTATTCCACAGCCAGTTGATCAAAACCAGTCGAATGGACGGAGTTGAATGGAATGAATGATCGTTGACACCCTATAACACCTTACCCTACGTCGTCTTCGTCGTTGTCCTAGAACCGTATATAGTCTAACTATAGCCCTATAGCATTATCTAGAGTACGCAGCACCGATCTAGTTAGTTGGTTCGTCTACTGTACTGTACTGTACCTTGCCCTTAGTCTAGCCTTAAGGTTGGAGGTCGCGAACTGCAAAGCCACAAGACCACAAAAAAAAAAAAAACCACCAACCAAAAAACTCACAAAAACACAAGAGCCACTCGAACACAAAAAAAAAGAAACACCGACACCCAACACACCCCCACAGTCATGACAAGCATATTTACACCGATGCCTATTTATCTATATGTAAACTCAATTACGTTTAACGTTATCTAGTCTAAGGCCAACTATCGCTTATAATTTTCAATAATGCTAAATTGTTCGACATTGATTTGTTTTCTATTTATTTATTGCCCTAGTTTATTTTTGTATATTTTTTTTTTGATTTTTTGGATTATCTAAGAATGTTTTCCTTTGAAATGTCCAAAGTAAAGAACCGATACTTAGCCAGCACTACACACGCATACCCAAGAAAGAAAATCCAGTAACTCTATTGTATTTATCGCTGTGCGAGGCATATTGACAACTTGGACTTTAAATGTTTACGATTAAAACTACGCCTAAGTTAAATTTATATATTTATATACTTGTATTTCGTTTGTATCGCTTAAGTGACCCTTGTCCATTTACTGTATAAGTTGAACGATGTAATTTGCATTTCGTTTTCCTAATCTCCGTGTCAATATCACGCTCTCTAGAATATCTCTTATATATTTTCACTTGAAAGCTTAAACTGTTTGTTTATTATTATTATTATTATTATTATTATTATGACGAATATACAAACTCTTGTACGTACTTAAATTTGTTTATTTTATTTCTTGCTTTTGATTACACTTTTGAAACCCGTAAATGGGGTGGGTGGGGGTCAAAAATAATGTACTTTTGCACGCCTTGTAAGTTGCCCTTTCTACTCTATCAGAATGTCTAGTTAATCCCGTTTAATCGTTGGATTAAAGATGTTCGGGAAATAGCTACGCTAGATGGTGATTTCATTTGAGTTCTTTATGTGGATTTGATTTGGTAAGTTTATTCAGTTACAATTTTCGTTATCCTTTGATCACGCATAAACTACCATGAAACATACACACAACGCTCTTGCAAAACATATCTGCTGCATGGGAATGGTTGTTAAGTTGTTGTAAAGCTTTTGGAATGGCAAAAAATAAAAAAAAATATATCGATATATAGTAGACGAGCTGGGAGGAGGCCTCGGCCACGGCTGTGTGCTAGTTGCAATGAGAGAGTAGTGGATCAGGCTATAGGATAATCCCTTGAATTAATTCCAAACCCTAACCGAAACCCTAGGTGATCCGATTTTGGATCATAGCTAATATATATACGAAGAATTTGTGTAACCAATGATGTATTTAATTATGCTTTTGTTTTGCTTCTTTTATGAAACTTAACGATTATCGATAACCGATAAACGAATACCGTTTTTACCGATTTTTTATGTGACCCGATCATCCGATGATGTGCACAGGTCGTGTCTTGTAGAGATCGAACCGTAAAGGCATGTACCACTCGTAGACGTAATGATAACACGACAATAACTACAACTACAACAGTTACAACAACTACGACAACACAAAATACAGATACCAGGTACAGCCGCCCGCCTACTTCTATATAAAAACCAAAAAAAAATAATAATAATGTTATCATTAAAACAAAAGACTAAAAGCAACTTTCCATTTTGCTCTCGTTAAAACCAAACAAAATTCTTAAATATGTCAACCGAATTACAAGTCTCTCTCTCTATCTCTCTCTATGTATATTTCTCTCTCCCGCTCTCAACCTAACCTCAAACTAAAAAAAAAACCAACAACCTATCAATTTTGTAAACTAAACTCTATAAATGTAAATCGTACTCGCTGTGTATGTACAACGAAAACCAATCTTGATATTGTGTCTCGCACCCGTAAGCTCCCCCACCCACCCTCAAATCACACCACACCACAGCGAACTATCGAACCATAAGCAAATAACTGTATCCATATTCTAAATCGCTTTACTATGACGCAACTGTACTTAGTCACTCCACTCGCTAACTGCATATGCATCTGTCTCTATCCACTATCGCTCATCTGTGAAACTGTACATACACGCATCCCACTTTCGCTCGCTCTGTCTCTCGCTCGCTACATCTACTCGTCTCTATCTGCATTTATATGTAACTACGAGTTGTATAAATCATGATTGATTGATTGCTTGATCTCTTATAAATATAAATTATATAAAGGCCTTTCTACTTACCATATGATCAGCAAAGTCCTTCCAAATATTTTCGATGAAAATCGTCAAGATCGAATTAGATACAAAAGCAGGCCAATTAATCAATCAATCGGTTAAATATTTCAGTAGGACTACATAATAGACCTAAGGATAAATGATCATGTATAAGCAAACATTGATATCTTTCACTCTCGCTACTCACCTTTAGGTTGTAACAACGAGTGGGCCACGCAAGCCCCAGCGCCAGACCTCCAATGCATTCTCCACTGGATCGAACGAAGCCCATGATACGGACTTGGAGCCGCCACATTGCAGTAGCCACAGTGAGACAACGGATGGTATGAGATTCGAGGCGGAAACGGATCCTGGACAGACGCAGACTTCGATAACGCAGTCGCGACACTGCAAGCGGCCATCGCAAAGTTCCTACACAAATCTGAGCAACTGCCTCGTCCTCACGCCGACAGCCCAGCACAAGCTGTGCCTGGAGACGTCCTTCACCAATGGCTCCGCACCGCTCCAGCCGCCCCAGCGTTTAGCCTCGGCGGCCTCCTCGCTCCTTAGCTCGACAACCACGCCGTATGACATATCAAGTGCTCTGGACGACAGCCTGGCCACAGTGGCCCTTCGCCAGAGTCCCTCGCTGATCAGTGCTGAGACGACGGCCACGGTTATTGGTAATCTGGAACCGGATGCGGAAGAGATTGCGGTACCACGCCTCAAGGCGGTGGCTTTTGATATGGCTTTAACTCCGCCACCATCGCTGTCAGAAAGGTCTCTGCTCGGACGCCAACATTCCGAGAAAAAGCCACGTTCTCTGCCACTTGCCCATGTCCAGGCCCTTCGCCGAGCCTCGGATGCTGGTGCGGTGCCTGGTGTGGATCTCCTGCACGACGACTGGTATGGCCTAGCTCCTCTGGCCAGTCCTGAGACGCTATCCGAGATCTCCAGCGTCTCGTCGCGCACTAGTGTTCCTATTAGTCTGGCCAACAGTATTGAGCGCTATCTGCAGCACATGGGAGTGGGTGTGGCTGGACCGAAAGTTCCACTCGAGGACATCTTTGAGTCACAGCTGCATACGCCGAAGGTCATGAGGCGAGCTCCCAAGTTTAGTGAGAATCTGGCGGGCTGTGCAGAGGACACCAGGAACCTAGATCAGTACAAGCGACTTGGACGCGTCTTCATCACCTTTCCGCGCATCTTTCCGGATCAATCGCCAGCGACTCATAGTCTAGACTCCAGCGACGATAGCTTTGAATCTGCCTCGGCTCACAGTCTGCAGAGATTGCAGCTGCCGCATGGGGCCAATGCGGTCCAGAGTTCCAAGTCCGCTGATCCTCTAGATGGGGATCAAGATGTGACAAGGCAAACGCAGCCTGCCAAAAAGTTGACCTTCAGCGACAGCGATATACTGGCAGATGCGGACTGCCTGCGTCTGTGTCCACACTGCCCATGCGATCGGGATGTCCAACGTGGCTGTTGTACTCGTTCGGAGCATGGCAAGTGTGCCGCGGAAATATCCGGAGGAGCAGGCGGTGCCATGGGATTGGGATCCACAGATACTAGTTTCTACAGTGCCAGCTCGTCGCTGGAACAGTTTGCCACACCAGGCCGACAGAACGGTGGTCCACATCTAGAGGAGATACTCATACGTCCCGGCGTCCTGGAATCCCACTTTCCAGTTCTCGGCGGTGGGAGTGGGATGGAAACACCGGCTTTGGTGGCACCCGCTTCACCATCACCGCTGAGCAATGGAAAACGACCGGATGTGGTGGGCGGCAGGGTGAGGAAACGTCTCTCCTCTGAGGAGTTTGTCTTTTCCAGAAGCGAGGATCTGCCTAGCCTAGTACAAATCGGTGATAGGAGCTCCGGCTCTCCGGCGGGCCGTAGAAGGGGCAAGGGCTGCGTCTATCCGGCGGGTAATAGCCTGCGTTTGGATGCAGCAGCCTCCGCATCGCCCACGTCCATTAGTAAATTTACCCGTACCCGTGTGGCCGCTGGAGGATCGGCAGTGAAGCCAGGATTGGCTGCGGTTAATAACGAAAGTAACGTTTAATAGTTGTAAGTTGCAAGCAGTACCTTACCAGTCGGAGCGATGATGATGATGATGATGCTCACGAAACTCGTAACTCTCGTAGCCCCCAAAAATCCAAAATCGGCATTAATTAATGCCGTTTGCCATTGCTTACACACGAGCGATCTACAAGAAACAGTTATAAAAAACACACACACAAAGAATCTAACATTTTGCATACCGATTACCTAAGGAACAACATTTAGCGTTAACACGAGCGTTTACTATTAAATAAATGCAATATACATACATATATATATTTTTTTGTGCAGCCAAACCCCAAGCGACGACAAATTTTAATAAAACGTTTTAAAAAATGAAAAATGCTGCACTCACTCACTTCACTTTTAAATAACTGTAAAACATAACGGTTCCTTGTTGGTCAACAGCTAGTTCCACAGCTTTGTTAATCGATTAATAGTGCGCATTAGCCCGCCACAGCACACTATCGGCTGTTAAGCTTTTAACAGTACAATATCGTCTGTTAGTTAGCACTGTTTTGGCTTTTGACAAATTCCAAAGTTCGTTCCCATTCACATTTGTTTACATCATTGTTCCCACGAAAACGATGTCCTTGATGTCTCAGGCGAGTCGCACAGCACCACAAATGCTGTTGCACTTGAACCGCCACCTCGCCTTTTCCACTGCCTCCGCCACGTCGTCAGAGTCACCGGATGTCCGCAAAATGCTTACTCCAGCCGAGCTCCTCAGTCCAGAATCACAAAAAAGGTGTATGGAGAAGATGCTTAGCCTGCCGGCGTTCCCACGTCCGAAGTCCCTGACTCCCAGTCGGCGGGAAAAGCAGACGTCTGCGGTCCTAATTGCTCTCTGCCAGGAACGGGGCACGTGAGTAATCCGAAATCCTAGTTCCTGAATTCTATACTATTCAAGATTGTACTTTTAGGGACGAGATTTCCTTGCTCTACACCCGGCGATCACGACACATGCGCAGCCACAGCTTCCAGATATCTTTTCCGGGCGGAAGGCGAGACGATCATGACACGAGCTACGTGGACTGTGCGTTGCGGGAGACGGAGGAAGAGATCGGTCTGCCGCGTCACCGCATTACGGTTTGGGGCGAGGCCAACCAACTGCATCTGCCGAGGACATCGTCCATTGTACCGGTTGTGGGTGTAGTGCCAGACTTCAGCATCTCCGAACTGCGACTGAACTGGGAAGAGGTGGAAGAAGCTTTCAGCGTACCTCTCAGATCACTGATGGTGCCCAAGGCCACCAGGCACACGCAGTTCCGCAGCGGCTACAGCGGACCCGTGTTCGTGGTGGATCATCACCGCATCTGGGGCATCACCGGCTATCTGACGCACCTATTCCTGCACTGCCTACTGCCTCCCAGTCTGCTGCCAGATTGCCTTAAGACGAACATCAAGTTCGTAAGGCCTTTTAAGCTACCTCCAAAGCTGCCGCATCACCGCGAGCATTCTGCCACGGATCCCTCGATGCGCACCTGAAAAGATGTACTCGATACCCAGGACCGTAATCCCACTCAGGCTAGGCCCAATGTGATATACTTTGATTGGGCCGAATAAACTCAGAAGGTTATTGTTTCGGTCTAACCGAACAGTAGGCTAAATTTGATGGCGTTCTTTGTATTCGTATATATATTTTTTTTATTATTGTGAATTACAACGAAAGATTTGCGTCTGTTTTTATTTTAGCAAATCTGTGTAATAAAATTGTTGACCAAAATGTTGAAATTAATCGATGAGTCTTTACTTTTTAAAAACTTTTCAGCTGAAATTACATTACTCCACGAGTAATCTCAAAAAATATAAGACAATAGTTGTCTTTTTGTGTTTTTTATTTGTAATTTTTCACTTAAATACAAAAAATACTCTTCATTTCCTCTTCTAATTTTCGTTTCTCTTGTTTTTTTTTTGTTTGTTTTTCTTGTTATGATAAAAATATTTAAATAAAAATTAAAAGCGAACAAAATGGCAAACTTGCGCCAGGGAGCGATAAAAAAAATCAAAATCATAATTTCGCAATAAAAAAAATACAAATTTGTCTTTAAATACAAAAAAAAAAAGCTCCTTGCAGAATAAAAAATAATAGAAAATAAACAAAAGGACCGAGAAGCGGACCTTCCAGGCCATCAATAAATTTTAATTGACAGCGAGCTATATATATATCTATATATATTCATATGCGTTTGCCTTGGCATTTGTATATCAAATACAAATGTTTTCAATATATATAATAATATTAAACAAAAATACATATGCAGGCGGTCAAAGTTAGTCAAAGCCTGCTCGGTTGGTTGCTGATTGGTATTGAATTGTGTTTTAAATAGGTTTTTAATTTTAAGCATAGCTGAAGAAAGGCAACGTGGCTGCTTAAAAGAACACTTTTCGTTATGCTTGTTATGTACTCGTTATATATAGTAGGTATATATATACATATATATATATAATATATGCATGGGTAGTTAGTTAAGTATACATCTATGTATAGTCCTCAGAGTTGCTGCTGTTGTGTAAAGTTGTCCAAAATATTGTAGTTGCTGTAGTATACTAGTTTTATAAGCTGATGTGTTGTGTGGCTGCATGGCTCTGCTCTGCTCTGCATAGGAAACCTACTCCGAAATATCAATTGGAATGGATGTGGTAAACGTGGGCGTCTCCAGCTCCTCGTGCTTCTTCATTTTGAGACTCTGGAATGGTTACAAGTTGATATTAGAAAAGCATATATAAAATAATGACAAAACTTCTCACCTGTTGCAGCTTGTAGTGATTGATGATGTCCTGGTCGGCCGGGCACGATTGTGTGAAGGCGTCCAGCTGGTACATGTGATACATGTAGCGCCACAGCGCCGTCAAGTGCTTCTGCAAGGAATCAAATATTACAAACAATGAGTCATCAAATCGATTTTGGTCAAGTGTTAAGCTTATGGCTATAATTGCACTTCCAAAAGGCAATACAAATATGACTTAGAACCTGTTTATGGCTTCTAACTGCACTGCACAATGAAACTCACAAATACGGCCTAGCTAAAACTAATGTTGTGCAATATTTTTGTAGGTCACATGGCTTAGAACGAACAATACTACTTACTAAACTAACTTTTTAACTTAAAACCTAAGCAGCCAGAATACTTTTTGATAAGGCAAAGCCTTGTGGTTATATTTTATATAATTTTATTCATGCGGCTTTGTGGAATTTTATCAACAAAATTCGTAAAAAGCTTGGCAACAAAGTTGAAAGTCAATATTTGTTCTTTGCTTTCTATTTGCAAATAAGGGCGCAATCAATCAAAGTTTTTTATGACTAACCTATTGGCAAATAAGATAATAGACTTTGTGTTTATACATAAATATTTCAATATTTAAACGATTTCGATATATTGTATCCTAACTAACAAATCTTTTACTATATATCTTAGATATTTACCGGGATCTCAAAGTCCACGAAGTACTTGCCCGCCACACGGATGTGCTGGAGGCGTGGCATCAGCTCACAATCGAAGCAGCACATGGTGTCGCCGGTAAGGAAACGGGTGTTGCGCGTGGACAGGTGATCGTTGATCTTGCGCAGATGCGTGAGCAGGGCATTGTTCTTGGCCTCGTCCTTCTTCACCAGCATCAGCTTCAACTTAACATACAGGTTCTCAATCAACGTGGCCACCTCCTTATCCTGAACGAACAAATTATAACCACCCGGGATGTTCTTCATGATATGCCTTTCGATCTTCTCGTTCTCCAGAATGGCCAATCCATTGTCAATCAGGATGGGCGGGTGTGTGGCCTCGAAATTGGTACGGAAATCTGGCGGTGGCTTCTGCATATCCACCGTCGTCACCTTCAGGCTGATCGTCTTCAGTTCGGCCAGCAGATACAAGTCCATGAAGTACTCCTGACAGAACAAACAGGCGCCCTTCCGCCGGCCATCGATGGTCGAGGCCTGTAAATTAAAAAAGCAAAAATAATATAATCAGAACTAGCATATTTTATCGAACTGTGTTTACTTGGCAATTTCAACGCCATTTAGTTTGAGATAAGAAAAAAAATAAATATTATGCCATGCGATACCATCAAGTGTTAATGTGGGTCACATTCCCAGGGCACTGGGCATTTTTCCAGCGATTGGACATTGCCTTGTGTCCACTTAATGGGCATAACGCCTCCCCTAACCCCCTCCCTATCCATCGCGTGCCGGCAATTACTGATAAATAAATCAAACAAAAATTTTAACGAAATAAAACAACATAATTTCCATCATGTGACATCATCATTATGATCATAAACGTTTTGCGTTCAAGCGTCGCGTGATGAGCCATAGAGGTTCGCTTTTTTTTTTTGAGGGACCGGAAGCTATCAAAATGCCAAGACGATGGAGTGGACTCGAAGCCAAATCCGTACGAGAATTCTGCATCGCTGCACTGCCAAGGCCAGTCAGCATGGCAAAAGATAGATAGATACATTTGTGTGGATACACAGAGATGGGCAAGATAAATAGTGAGACTTGGCAAACGGCCGGCAATGACAGCACAATAGCGTACAGTAGTACATCATGGCTAATCGATCTAGGCCTTACATTCATATCATTGGATGTATAGAATCTTACATATTTACAGATTAATCCGTGATTTATATTTATTTATAGCTTCCTGTTTGCGTTCAAGAAAAAACAGCACCGGAAATATTTCATATTTAAATATGATAAATATTGCTTGTTTAAATGATAAGCCGTGGAAGTTATTTACTAATTTTACTGTGTTCCATTTAGTGATTTATTAATGATTTAATGACTTTGCAAAGAGCAAATTAACAGTTTAGCCAAAAGCAAATTAGTTTGCAAATTATTCTAGTTAACACCGTAAAAATATATCATTATAAAAAGGTGCTAAAAGCTTTTATTATAAATATTTTTTAGCTTTCTTTGGCTATAGGATTATTATACAACTATAAAACTATCTTTCTGTAGATATTCAAACTGCTTATCTTAGCCAATATCCACTGTACGATCGAAGGGATATTGCTGCAGCTGAGAAGCAACTAAACATCATAAAAACGACGATGATGTCATCATCGTCATCATCATCATTGGCCGTGTTGTGTGCGAAGTTTTACTTGCTGATTGCCGTTGCCAGCCTTTTTTATATTTGCGGCTGCCTATATATATATTTTTTTTTTCTCCACATTTCTGTTTCTGTTTCTGCTGGCGTCGACAGCCGGCTTAACTTCAAATAAACCCAACAAAACCAGGCAATCAATGTGCGTTTATGGCTGTGTGCATATTTGTATATTCGTTAGATAAGCCTTGCACAGTTGGCATTACAGAACACAACAAAGTACGACTATATCTATGAAATACAAATATAAATAACGCAAATTAGTTTGCCGGGCACAAAGGGGCGTTCAAATCTACAGACAGCAGATCATGGACAAGGTTGCCAGAATGCTTGCCATTCAAAACTTCATTTCGAAAAACTCCATAAACTTAGGAGACGGCAATGAGTTGCCTTCTAAATACAACATTTTATGTTGAAAATATAGCAAAAAAAAAATTGTAAAACAATCAAGGAACATAGATTTGCTAGCTTGTTCATTAATCACCTTAAGTTACACTCCAAATCCTATGAAAAACTAAAATGAACACTTGGAAAAACTAACTAAATACGATAACGAGGCGTTGAAAATGATTCCCCCCCACTGTTTAATTTGAAGTGCGTTTAATGATAATTCCAGTTTGTATATTAAATTATACGCACCAATTGCAGGCAATTAAAATATTATTTCGAATACGAAGTTAATTAGCATTGCCCTGTGTGTTAATGGCTTAATAACGAAACCAAAACGAACTGAACCCAACCCATTTTCCAGCCCACATGCTCGTCACATACAAATACACACAGCATAATCTATGGAAAGCCAACTATACAATGGTTGTGGGAGCGGTTTTCGTATCAGTTTTTTAATGTTGTTTTTTTTTCTTGCGGTGCTTAAACGGTTTATTTGTATTCTTTCACACATTATTAACTGTGCACGTTCGTTTACCTGGTCTACGCACATCCATCCATCTATAGCTATTCCATAAATTCCCAACTGAGCCGTATTACTTTCAGTCCAATACATTCGTTTCGCTCGTATCTGTATAGCAATTTCTTGGCCCGCATTTCGTGCTTTATATTTTTCAGCGATGGCTTATACATTCTAAAGCTGAACTTAACTATTTGTTAATATTATTATTTGCTGGCAGTTAAGGTTGAGTTTAAGCTTAAGGAAGATCAGTGATCTGTGAGTTACCAGCTTGCCAGATGATATATCAAAAGCTTGGTCCAATAATTACCATCACTAACGACAAAGTAGAGTGTGCAATATACGAGGTGTGTTCAAAAAGTAAGGTGACTTTTCAAATTTCTCGGGCAACATATTTTCGATTATCGATTTTTTTGTTTTGTTATATTGGTACACTCTTCCCTAACATCTGTACCAAGTTTCAATGGAACATCATCTTTTGTTTGGTTGTGAGAGGCGTAGAGTTACAAGTTATTTTGCGAGCTCGGCGATTTTTTGCTATCGAAAAATATGGATCAAAGGATTTGCATCAAATTTTGTGTAAAAAAAAAAAATGTATACCCATGATTCGTCACCAGTTATGACCCTTTTGAGTAAATCTGGGTCGTCGTTGACGTCATTCAACAGCTCTTGAGCGATGCTCATGCGACGGTTCTTTTGGTCAAAATTCAGCAATTTCGGAACAAACTTCGCTGACACACGACTCATACCCAAAACGTTTGAAAAAATTTCATGGCACGAGCCAAGCGATATACCGACATCTTCAGCAACTTCTCTGATAGTGATTCGACGATTTTCCAAAACAATTTTCGTCACTGCTTGAACGTTTTCATCAGTTGTTGACGTGCTTGGGCGTCCAGAGCGAGGCTGGTCATTGGCATCTTCCCGGCCATCTTGGAAGAGTTTGTACCACTTGTACACATTTTTTTTACTCAGAACAGTTTCACCGTATGCCACTGTCAACATTTCAAGTGTTTCAGAGCACTTAATTTTATTTTTTACACAAAATTTGATGCAAATCCTTTGATCCATATTTTTCGATAGCAAAAAATCGCCGAGCTCGCAAAATAACTTGTAACTCTACGCCTCTCACAACCAAACAAAAGATGATGTTCCATTGAAACTTGGTACAGATGTTAGGGAAGAGTGTACCAATATAACAAAACAAAAAAATCGATAATCGAAAATATGTTGCCCGAGAAATTTGAAAAGTCACCTTACTTTTTGAACACACCTCGTACATATATGAGTTGCAGAAATTGGAAATGGAAATTGTAAAACCCAAGACTAAGACATGTGGCAACGTCAAAAGGTCAGTCGAAGTCAGTCAGGCAATCATCTCGAGTTGAGAGTCCACAACGTCTTACAGATACAGATACAGATACATTTACAAAGTATATAGCAAAGAAAAAACAAACTACAGATATAGATACGTATACCAACTACTAGAGACGGCGATTGCAATTGACGTTTTCAAAATAGAAATGACGAGAGACGGCAAAAACCGAAAAGCAGTTAGCAAATGTCAAGTGCCATTCACAGCACTCGTACACGTATGCTTCAGAAGATATACGAGTATACTATATACTATATATGGCACATCTGGCTAATAAAAACCGCTAGCAAAAATAAATACCTTTGCCAATATAAACGTTCGTCTTTGAATACATTTTCGTTGGAGAAAATGAATTTGTGGTCGTTTGTTGTTGGCTAACTCTAAGCACAAAAGGGGTCAAAACTATAGATCATAAATGGATTTCCTATTTGGTTAATAAATATTATTATATATTTAATCTATAGCTTAGGACCTTATATCACTTTTAATTTGTTAAATGATCAAAAATGTCTAATCTAATCTCAATTAAATTACCTATCTTATCTTCTAAAATCTATTTTTAGATCAATTATTGCATATATTCATTTATGGCTAATGAAAATTGGCAATTGTCCAATTAAATATATTAAAATATATATATTTTTTAAGAATTCCATTATTTTACCCGCAACTGTAGTCTGTACACTCAACATCTTCGATTTGTTTTCCTTTTAATTGTAAATTCATAGCGCGATAAGATAAAGACGGAAAAGTTGAGTAAAGTCAAATAAAATGAAATTCGTTAGAGCTTTCGGCCAAGCAACACGAAATCGTAAATGTAAACGAAAATGAAAATGAATTTTGGTGGAAATTGTTGTTCTCCCCTCCGTACCCAATTTTTGGCTGTCGGATGGGATGGGTTGGTTTGTTTTTATTTTTGGAACCGGTTCGCTGACAGCTGCAGCGCAATAAATACATTTTGATCATGATGTTCCTGATGATGATCATGTTGGGGGCAGATGTCAACCTTGAGGAGAGCTTTCTTCCCACTCGAAAAACAAAACTATTCTTTCAAATCTTTTTTTGGGCCACACAAAAAACCACATATATGTAGTATTAATGCCATATCTTATCAAAAGTCGGGCGGAAGTTATCGCCGCAGTTTTGTGATGATGATGATGGGGGACTGATGAAGTAATAGCCAAAATAATAGAAATATAATCAGGCCAAAGTGGTCGCATGGCAGGTGAAGTAAGCTGGCCATATCTTGGGGCCACAAATTTTTAATGGGCTAATGGGTTTTTCAACACAACTTCATATTTCCAACAAACTCTTGAGATACTTTCTTATCAAATATTTTAGAAATTAATACAATAAGTTATGCAATTTGTTATTAAGTAAATGTTTTATCATAAAAACAAACCATTACTCAAAATATTTGTTAGTTTAGCTGTTGCAAATGGTAAATTCAGAGATGTATTCCTAGAACTTCGCTGACTTAATTAGTTATTAAACAGAAATAAATAATGTAGCAAATGAGTTCACTAAGTTAAAAAATGAAGATGAATGCACTTTTATTTAGAAGTCGTAGAGGAGGTACATTTTGTGGGCGGGTGTGTGGGCTTGAGGATGGCAAACCTTTGCGTGTTTTTCTTTGCTAAAATGTCAGTCACACACCAACGGACAGATACACACACCCACACATAGAGCACGTGGGGGCGTGAATAAAACAACAAATCAACGACTCAACTGTCACTTTTGCACAAAAAAACACACAATAAATAAGACAAGGAAGACACGTACAGTGGTACTTAGATAGCAAGAACTTCCGTTATGGACTCTGTATGGTATATGATTGAATTTTAGCGAATTTAAAAATAGCATTTAAAAGTTACTTTTAGGGAGATATTTCAATTTAATAAGTATACAGCTATTAAACCATTAACAAAGTTAAATGGACTATTGGCATATAAGTATTTTTCACTGTGTAAATCCCGCCCCCCTTGGGCCTTTTTAGTGTGAGAGCCAAGCACTGTGCTTGAATTTAAGTGCAGCTTTTCATGTCGACTCTTTGCTGCAGCTGAAGTGGCAACAAAGAAGCGCATTTTCCTTAACTCAGCACAACTTAACACCACAACAATTGCTGGCGTTGTTGAGATGCAACAAAAGGCACTAAATTAGCTTAAGCTTTCATGGTTTTCATATTTATGGAGGAAAGTCTACCAATCCAGAAACATATCTTTATTTGAAACTTCTATTTTCTTCTATAAGAAGTTGGAAACAGAATATCATCCATGGTTTGTTAATATTTTGGAATAATTTTCAAGAAGATCTCCAAAAGCTCTTCTTAACTATTTAATAGCAATTATTTATTTTTTTTTTAGTGCAATGGATCGCCTTTTGTTTTGATTGCCGCTTTGTTTTGATTCGATTCGATGGCATGGCCAATTTCTGGAAATCTCGCGTGGGCGATGACTCGAGGGTAAGGCATTGGCTTTGGCCTGGCTTGTTTTCCAAGCCAAAAGCGAAGTTAGAGCCAAAGCCAAAGCCAAGTCAAGGAGGCGGAAAAGCGCGCACGAGAAAAACCTGTTTAGCGTTCAATGATTGTTTTGTTTTGCTGTGTTTCCACCCCTTCTTCTTCTCCACCCAACCAACCGTTCCTCCTCTCAGTTCCTCCTAACAAACGAAACAAGAAAACACATTTGTATTTGTTTGTTGCCTGCACGCGCGGAACAGAGAGGCATGCCACCGCCGATCCCAAGCTATATGGTTGAATCTATAGCTCCTTAACTCCAACTAACTAACACCAACTGCTTTCCTCTCGAGCAGCAAATTGAACTTTCACTTTTTCACTGGGAAATAGCAATGGAAATGGAAATGCCTTTTCGCGTGGGCCTTGTATGGAAGTGCGTTGCTATTGCAGAGTTATGTCAAAGATGCTTCTGTCACTCTTCTGGCAAAGTCAGCTTTTGCTTTTGCTTTTAACTGGCCAAAAAAAAGCAGGTGTCCCAAGCACTTTCTCTCATGAAAACAGGAAAAGGGAGCGGGACATTTGAATAGAAATTTTTTGGCCATGGATCATTGGTTTTACCTTTGGGAATGGTATGGTGTGATATCTACAGTTAAATCTGGAATCATATGGCATATATATTCATAGAATGGAAGGATAAATATTAACCATTAACTTTTCCTACAAACAATATCTATTTTTAGAACATAACTGGTTTGTAAAGGTAAATAAAGTATTACCATCACTGATTGCTCATAGCATTTGTTTTGCATTGAGTGGGTTTTTTGGGGAATGAATTGGTATAATATGGTATTGTATAGTATGGGTACATATATGTTGTAGGGAGGTGCTGGAAGGTGAGGAATTAGTCATGGGCAGACGACTCGAGAGGTGCGGCCTCCATTTGCGTGGGCTGGATGAGTGGCTAAGTTGAGTTGCGTCGAGTTTGCCAATAGAATCAACAACAACAGCTAACAGCCAACAGCAGGGCTCCAAAGTGTTCCGAAAACAATTACAATTACTTCAGCAAATAGTGGGAACCAACAAAAAGCCATGAAAAGAAATGAAGTTAAGAGGAGTCATGCCCGGAGTCACAATTGCGGGAAAAAGTATATATAGCTCACAAATTATGATTTCAGACCTATAAACTTCAAGTCTCATTGAGTCATTTTGCAAAAATAGTATAGATTGCAATGAACAATTTGTGATACAACATCACAAGTACGTTTTGCTCTCATCATATAACAAAAATGATAAGATTAATTTGGTATTCGAGGAGATGGTGTTTAAAGTAATTAAAAAAGTTAAACAAGTTTTTAAGTTAAAGCCATCAAATTAAGTTATTGATTAATTACAAAAAAAATCTAATTAAAAAAGGATTAAAAACCTTAAACTTCAAAACTACTTATCAATCCTACTATTTTGGCCGCTGGTGTAGGTGCTAGCTTTTTGTTTTCTTCGATTCTTTGGAGGGGCATGACGTATGCGTCAAGAAATTTAGAAATCACTAAAAGATAAAAAAAAACCTCTAATTCGCACACACACAAATAAAGGAGAATACTTGAGGAGCATGGAGAAGGGGTGGTGGTGGCGTGGGGGGGTCAATGGGAAGCTATGGAGAAGAAGAAGGAGCATTTGTTGAGCAATTGGCGCAATGAAATGTGATTAAAGTTTATAACAGATAAGAACCACAGAAATATGTTACGTTCCACAAACTGCAGACTTTGGACGTAGCCTACACAAAGATTAATATTTTTAATAGTAAATATATATTTTTATATATTTATAAAGAATATTAATAGATCACAAATTTATATTACACATTAAAACTTCTAACGGTCTCCTTGAAACTTTTAACCATACTTTTTTTGAGAGGAATATCTATATCTTAACAAAGCTTTTATATGGCCATAAAGGAACTTTAAAACAAACAAAAATCATATCATAATTTTCGTTCTGTGCAGATGTGCATACATATATATATGTATGTGTGTATGAGCGATAGGGAGAAAAGGAGAAAACCGGTTTTGGCGATGCTTAGGAACCGCAAGGCGAAAGGGGAGATACGAGGAGGGGTGCTAAACGTATTCTGTTCATTTTAACCAAATGTGACACACTGCAAAGTGCCAGAGCGAGAAGAAGAAGAAGCACAAGACTGGAAAGGGGGAAGAATATGAGAAGATGAAGAAGAACAAGAGGAACAAACGGAACAGTTCGTGTTTTCCCAGTTGCTCTTTTTTGTTGCTTTTGTTTGCATTTGCTTTTGCTTTTGCCTTAACTGCATTTTCACTCTGCATGGAAATTTTGCGCAGAGCGAAATGGAAAACTGTGCAAGTATGCAAATTTTGCTATAATATATGTATGTGAATATTTTTACTCACCTTTATGATCAGTTCTATCTCGGGCACATCAAATTTACTGGTACCGTTCGTCTCCTGGCTTTGCTGCGATTCCACTTCGGACGACATTGCAATTTTTTGATTGTTCTCTATTGGCGTTTTCTGATCGGAACGGATCGAAGAGTTTTATCCGCGTGACGAGAGGTGCGTGCGTGGTCGTTTCCTTTTCGCTTTTGTTGTGCTAATTTCCTTTGCCAATATACCACACAAACATACGCACAGGCAGTAGCACTAATATACACCAAAAACACAGACACACACACACGAAAACAGAGGGGAGAATAAGAAGCTCGCCTCGCAGTGTTAAAAAAAATATGCCGTTCGTCGATATGCGCGCTGCCAAAGCGTATTCACGATTGAAGTGACCGTCGATGGTTGCCGTTGAATATACCAAAAGCCGATGCACCAAAAAACTCTAACGCCAGCCGACTAGGGATGCCAGACTTTTCAGGTAGAAAACTAGTATATTTATTTGGTTAAATAGTATTAAAATACTATCGTATCGTTTGGCGCGAAAATCTGCAAAATACGCGAACCACTGGCCACACTTAAACGCTTGGTGTGCGTTTTGTGTAAATTTTTGTTTTGTTAGACCCGGCTTTTCCTAACTAACAACCCAAAATGGATCTGGTGGAGCTGCTGCAGCAGGCCCAGCGCCTAACAAACGAGACAAAGATGGACACTGAAATGCCGGGTGTAGAGAGAACCATGTCCCAGGTTCTGCAAGCCACTCAGGAGCTCCACTCGCGTGTCACTCAGACGGGTACCAACGACCTGCAGGCGTGAGTATCACTACACATCATGTGCACCAAACACTTAGATATACATTACCCAATTATTCATATACAGCCATATATTGCTCGGCTCCAAGGGCGTAGACTTGCCTAGGCTGACACAGAAGCTGGAGACGCTTAGCGCACGCCAATCCTTCGAACCACTCGATCCCGTCACGGACACCGATGTCCAAGGCTATCTAAAGAACGAGCGAGAGAACGCCATACTGTCTGTCATCGAGGAGACAAACAGAAGTGTAAGTGAGAAGTGCTACATCCTTTAGAAATCCTAATTCTAAAGAATTCCATTCCAGATTTTCGAGTGTGTGAACCGTCAAAAGTGGCGCTGCGTCTATGCGGAATGGGGCGAGGATAAGGAGGCGCTGCTAAACGCTTTGGTGGGTCCGTCCCAGCAGGACTTTCCCGGCGTGCAGCGCCAGATGGTGCCAACGTCCATGGCCGATGAACCCACTCCGTTCACACGGATGACTGCCATCCAGCAGTTATATGCTAAACATATCACCGCCTACAACGAGTCAGTTATTCAGGGGACTCAGCACCCAAAACTGGTGTCGACACTTTCCAAATTGGCCGCGGACTCCTTTGACGATCCACAGGTCTCTGAAATGTGGAGCGTTCTGGAATTTATGTCCGCTGTTTCGCAAGTAACTCGCAGCAATGATCCGATAAAGAATCGCCAGAGTCCGGAATTCGTCCAGCAGGCACGCACATATCTGGAGTTGAGATATAAGACATATATGAACAGGGTTATTGAGAAAAACTTGGCGCTGGCCCGTCGTGGAGGAATTCCTGACGTATATCATCTGGTGAGCTCTTATGTGGCCGTCACTTTCCAAAAGCCGCAATCCCTCTATGGATTGCTCGATGTAAACAATGGTCGACCATTGTGGCCATTAGTTTACTATAGTTTGCGTAGTGGCGATATGGGTGCGGCTATTAGATACCTCAAGGAATCGGGAACTTGCCCTGATCTAGTCAAGCTGATGACGCTGCAGAAGATGGGTAGCAACGACACCTCAACGGCCAAGCTGGAGGGTCAACTGAAGCTTGAGTACAGCTCCAATATGAACGATTGCACAGATTCCTACAAAAGGGCGGTGAGTACTTGGATTCCGTTGTAGCTGGTTAGCTATTGATGATGATAATGATTCGTTTTAATCTTCCCTCATTAGGTTTTCGTCATCATGCTGGCCTGTGATACTCACGATTCGCATGGGGAACTGTTGAGCAGCATTGACGATTTCTTGTGGATACAGCTTTCCACCCTGCGCGTCGAGGGTAAGCGCGATTACAACAATGACCAGCTAACCTACAGTGATCTGCAAATGCTCATCCTGGAAAAGTACGGGGAGAATTACTTTAATGCCCGTGAGAAGGCACCGCTTTACTTCCAAGTGCTTACCCTCACTGGCCAGTTTGAGTCCGCACTTGAGTTCCTGGCTCGAACGGAGATAAATCGACCTCATGCAGTGCACATGGCCATTGCTCTTAACGAGCTCGCCATGCTAGGATCACCCCGTTCCATAAGTGAACCACTATTAAGCTCCGAATCCAATGACCCAAAGCCCATGAAACGACTCAATCTGGTGCGACTGGCCATCATGTATGCCAAATGCTTTGAGCAGACAGACACCGAACAAGCACTGCAGTACTACTACCTATTGCGCGACTTCAAATGCGAGGACGGAATCAACGCATTGCTCAGTTGCGCTAGTGATCTGATTGTAGAAAACTGCGACGCTAAGATGCTAGAGTTGGTTTTCGGGGTCGAGGATGAACACAACTCGTTCCGTCGCTCAGGGTGAGTGTTTTTTCTGCTACCCCATAAGCATATTTCGATGTTGAATGATGGATTCATCTCATACTCAGTCCTGGCATAAAAGCTAATAGTTTTTCTCTCCCTCTTTTTCAGCGGCATCATCGAAAAATTCCACACGGCGGACTGCGATAAGTATCTGCTGGCCGATATGGTCGGAGATGAGTTGTCCAAACGCAGCAACTACGAATCGGCCATCGCGCTCTTCTTTATTGCCGGCCAGCTGGAAAAGGTAGTGCGTTTGGTGTGCTCCTTGCTGTCCCAGGTTGTGCATCAGCCAGCGCGAGAAGGCAGCATAAGGGAGCGATTGGGTGTGATCACTGCACGACTGGACACGGCGCTGGTGGAGCGCAAAAAGGATGTGGACCCTCATTTAATTGTCACATACACAATGCTAGCGCAGTTAATGGAGTTTTTCGATCACTATCACGCGGGTGCATCAGGTTTAGCAGCGGAAATCGTAACCCAAAACCATATAATACCTACCAGTCCCCTTGAAGTGGACGAGTGCGTGATAAATTTGAAGTACATGGGCCCAGAGGTCATCAAGGTACTGCCAGATGTTCTGCTGGCATCCATGAACATTGTCTACGAGGAGTATGTAAACATAAGGGGGACGACGGGGTCAGGTTCGGTTTACGGCGACGACAGCAAAAGCGATAACAAGGATTCTGTCCTTGCCCACTTGCGCGGCAGAGCCAAGGCACTGACCAACCTGGCCGCCTGTGTTTCCTACCGCATGCCAGCGACCACCAACCAACGGCTCGTTCAGCTGGAGATCCTTATGCACTAGCACGTTAACTCCTTACTTAGCGATCGATTCGGATTAAAGCTGTTTTTTTATATATTATAATAACATTTTTGAGTTGCTCTATCTACAAGAAGAAGCCATTAACGACGTCTGGTGAGGAGCACTCTAAAATTAAAATAAAGGAAAGTTGGCTAGTAGTATTTTGTAAACAAGAAATGCGACATCCTTGATTTTTTGAATACATTATCCATAACAGCAATTAATAATATAAGACTGTCATATCAGAATATAATATTTTATTGCATATTTTGAGACACCGTTGCTATTGCTATGAAACCTCAAGAGGTCTCAGGAACACCCGACAGGACATATTTGAAAAAGTCTTTTTAATATATGAGAATATAGTATTGCCAACAATTACTGCCAAATTGTCAGAGATTTCACAGGAATCCATTACATAGTTTTGTTTTTTTTCTTCTAACAGATCCCCGTTTCGAGATCCTCATGCACTGCCATAAAAATAATAATAAAAAAGCCACTTACTTAGCGATCGTTTCGTATAAATGCATTTGTTTTGTTTTCACTTCTTGTCTGTTTATGATAATATTGTTAATTGGAATAAGTTGATTGCGATAGTTTTGTTCTTGAGTTGTGCGCCACTCTGTCGAATTTGGGGATGTTTGCGTGGATCGGAGTATGCCGTTACGCTTATCCCATATATTGATAGGAAGCGCAGACGGGCTCCTGATGACGGGCATGCGGCGATGATTGCAGCGCCAGACGTTGCAGGTGGCATCCACGGCAGAGCAAGCGCCCGTCCAGCGGGTAACAGCGCTTGTCTGGCTCATCGGTTAGCTGCATTCCGCACTCCTCGCAAATGTAGCAGTCCACGTGGAAGTCCTTGTCCATTGAAACTACGCGCACGGTTTCATCGGTGCCCTCGACGGGCGTGATGCCTAAAGATTAGATAAATCAAATTAATATCGTCTTATTCTAATGATCAAGACATTGTACAACCCACCTTTGCCACAACTTGCGCACTTAGGGGCAAACATTCTATGATAATCGTTGACGCAGTAGATCTTGTGGTCCACATCCACGGTGAAGGGTACACCATCTAAGCACTCATTGCACACACAGCACCGGAAGCAGCCCGGATGATACGATTTGCCCATGGCCTGCAAGATCTGCAAGAGGGAGAACATGTGCTCCATTTAGAGCGGGATGGATATGAATGGGCAGTAGTAGTACGAACCATCTCCATAATTAAGTGGCCGCAGATGGCGCACTTTTCCGCCGTCTGCTGGAAGCCCGAATACTGCAAGAGTGAGTTCTTATTATTATTAAATAAGGTTATTAAAATCATAAGTAATCAAATAAAAATGTAAAGTAAGTCAGTAACAAAAATAAAGATTGATTCGATTTGATTTTTAATTTAATTTCTAGAATTTTGAATCCTTGGTAAAAGTAATTCGTGCAAAAAAACTAATAAATCATAATTAAGAAGTTTCTTTCTATAGTCAAAAGAACTTTCCAAAAATCAATATTTTTGTGTACTGTCTAAACTATAACTTTCTTACCATGTAATCCTCCTCACAATAGACACGTCCATGGACATTATAGAAGGCCTTGCCACGTAGCGCCCGACCGCAGGAGCAGCAGATGAAGCAATTGGTGTGATAAAGATTTCCCATTGCCTGACAGGCTTGACCGGCACCTTTCACCTTCTCCCCGCAGGTGTGACAGATGCCTAAAAATAATTTATATACATTAGTAAGAATATAAAAATAATTAGTTCATAATATACCAAAGTATTCGCCATGCTCTTCACTTTGCTCGATCTCCTCCTCCAGCTGGCGGGTGAGCTCCTCGATCTTACGCTGCGCCTCTGTCGGGCCAGCCGGACGCGGCGGGGTGACACTATACGGCAGCAGATTCTTGGTGAGACCTGTCGGTATACAAAGTCAATATTAGGTCATGCCTTCAATTCAGCTAAACAACTAAGGCTTAGTCAGCGCCAAAAAAAAAACAATAACAACAACTAAATATGCGGGAGTAGTGTTTGGGGCAGGCAAACAAAAGGCAAAAAACTTGTAAACACTTGTAAATACAAAAACACAATAGATTTCTTAAGTACTAAAGACCTACACGACTGATTACACGATAATTAGTCATGATCAGAAATAAATAGAATCGAATGTGGGCTCATATAAATATGATAAAGTTAACAGGAAATGATTAGTTTCAGCAGAGTTTGAATAGAAACAAAAGAAAGATATTTCAAAATGAACTTTTAAATAAAGAAATTGTTATGGTTTCTTATTCAAATCATAAACTTATATGATTGGAATGTATAAATTCATTTTCTTTGTGTATGAAATCATAACTATAACATGCTAATTTCAGTTATCCCATATTGGAATGTTTGTATTTCATCTTTGATTTATGGTTTTGAAACGGTTTTCGATTTTCTAGTGAATCGGTTCAGGTAGAAAAAGGACTTGAATATAAACCGGTTAGCGGCAACCGTTTGAGCAAAGTTTGTCGCCCCGCCAACCGGTTTATGATTGAGCGATGAGTGATGACACAAACGGAACCCAACTGGGACCCAACCCCTTTTGCGAGAAACCAAGCTTCAGCCCCTCCTTCCTACCTCTCCTGGGTTTCAAGGCAGCGTTAATGGCTGCGTGCAAGCATTTATAGTGGGGGAAACATTTGGATTCATTAGTTTGATTAATACAATTTCGATGGAATGAACAGTGATGGGATGCGTATAGATACATAAATAGTAGAAAGACATTTTTAATAGCTTTGCCTTTACTATATCCCAAGGAATTTTTACTATCCATCATGGAAAGATACTCTTTCCCATCACTACACATTTTAGGAATACTTCTAGGGCAAATCTGCTTACCTGTACTGCCCTGCGAGGGCGTGGGTGATGTAGCCACCGCCAGAGGAGCTGTCATCGCAATGGGCGTGGCTCTCAACGAGGCGGTGGATGATGGTGCTGCTGATGCTGTTACTGATGATGGTGGGGCTGTTACCGGTGCAATAGATGTGGCTGGCGGTGCTGCCGTAGCCATACCCATGGCCAGTGAGGATGATATCGTAGCTGGTTCCTGGACAGTTCGTTGGGCCGTGGCACCCGTTGCAGCCGCCCTGCCAGTGGCCACTCCGGCTGCAGACGTAGACGTCCGATGCAGATTCGCTGTCATACAAACGTAGTCAGAGCTATTAATGTCCTCTATATAATTGGGATTCACGGAGACATTGATGGCGCCACTGGGCGACTTAATGGGCGTATGCTGTTGCAGTTTGGCCACCGAGTGCGCCGTGGGCACTGGACTCAAATGGCTAGGCAGCGAAAGATTCCTATATCGCTGAGTGGGCGATCCCAGCGAGCTGGAACTTGCCGTATTACTGCTGATACTTCGCTGGTGCATGGGCGAGGCCAGCAGTGCATTGAGATCCAGGCCAGCAGTGGATGAACCGCCCGATGAATTGGACGTCGGCTGCATCTCCTGGTACATGGTGGCGGTAGCCGGCGAGGCTTGCGGCTGTGCCCGCTGACCGGAATGGGGAATGATGTTTTCATAAATGGGTGCAGCGTGCTCCTCCAGATCAGAAGTAGGTCCCAATGCCACAGATCGCCCTGTTGGTTGGCCTGCTGCTCCTCTTAGCGTGCCTCCTAATCCACTACCCGGATTCTCTGGCACTGGCGTGTGTGCAAAGCGTCCTGCCCCAATCGGTTGCATTAGCAGATAGTCATTGAGCATGGCACTCTGCCTGCTACCAGGACTTTGGGGCTGAGCCCTCTTGTGGTTCGAATCAAACTGGCCATAGAATTCGAGGTTCTCGTACACCGGCGAATGCTTCTGGGGGGCAATTCGTTGACCCAAAATCTGAGCGGTGGGTGCATAGATGTGGGCACTGCCATTGTGGACATGCTGCATCTGCTCCACTGGACGGGGCGTGGCATATTTGGAGGCTGCTATGATATTACCGCGTTCGTAGAGCTTATAGTCCGGATTGCGATAGAGATGCTGCATCTGCTGATGCTCATTCCTCATTGCCATGGCTCCATCACCAGGGCCACCAATTCCCCCGCCTCCTCCTCCACCACCACCGATGTGAAGACGCTGCATCAGTGTCTCATAGTCAGAATCGGAATTGCCCGGATTCCTCGTCTGAGTCTGCGTTCGCTGGGTGGTCATTTTATATATATATATATAGTCCTGATCCTGCTCCTCCTTATGTTCTTCTTCTTGCTCCTCCTCCTCCACCGATTCCTACTCCCTCACTTGCTATCTCGCTCTGCGGGGGGGACGCCGCCCCGAAATCAACGATTTCCTGGCTTTCCCCGGACGGAAAAATACCTCAGCTAACAGTGTACGGCTAGTTGACAATCAGTCAATCGACTTTTCCTTTATTCTTTTAGCTTTTCTGCATTTTCTTTGTGTGCTTCAATCGGAAAAATCAAAAAATTCGGACCGTGGGAACTGTAGTGTGACCGCCGTTTGCAACCATTATAATATTTCATCCGGCAAGCAGACAAATATACTAGAAAAATACCAGCCTACAAGTGGGCAGCCCTAATAAATTCATAATTATTTTGAAAATCATTCAAAATGTTTTTGATTACCTTAGTTTAAAACTTTTGGTATGTGTTTAATTCTTGAATATAAGTTTATAAAAATAAATTGTACATATTTTTTTAGATATCTCTGAATCGTCAATGGTGAATACCCATCTAATAAAAGCTTTACTGGATCTCTAACTGTTTTCAATAAGTTGACCCAAAAGTCTTGCGTGTACAAGTTTTGTATATTTAAAGGTTTTGGTCTGCCGCGTTTACATTTTGGTTAGTAAAGAAACATTTAAATTATGTATATAACTAGCGTATATATATATATCTGCGTATTTTGCATTAAGTTAGCGTAGGAAGCCAAAACAACGCGATGGAGCAGATGTTCCCAGACTACTTTGCGTGCAAATCTGCGGTAGAGCATGTCTGGTTCACCTTAAAGATGTTGGAGAGCTCGTCCAGCAGCGTCTCATAGCGATAGGCTACCCGAATCTCGGGCACATTGGTTCGTGTAATGTCATTGCCCATGATTCCATCCTCATAGTAAACGGGTCCCAGCCACTGCTGTTTGATCTGTTGGGTTTTTGTTAGGCAATAAGTTATATTCATATTATTTTTAAAAATAATTTAGAACTTACGGTATGTGGGAATCCACTCATCATTACACTGTTCCTGGCCAACTCGCACATGTCACATGAGCTAAGTTTCCACACCTGGGCCGCAATGCTGTACTCCTCCATGAGCGGTTCCTAAATAAGATCGGGATTGTATATAGAAATGGTTGCGGTGATATTACAAAAAAAAATCTACCTTAGTAAAGTGGAATTGCAAGGGATCATCCGTCGATAGAGAAATTATGAGACCCCGGGCTAAGTATTCCGGTAACGGATTGCGATGGTAGTTGAGGAACAGCGAATTGTTCGACAGCGGCGACATGGCGATACCGATCTGGGTCAAATAATACAGATACTGCAGCACGGGCACCTTACGAAGAAGGAGACCGTGAGAAATGTTCTCGGCCATCAGGAAGCCACAGACCAAATGTTGCACCGGCCCAGCCTCGCCACAATGAGGACGCAGCACAAAGGTGTTCATGTCGCGCGATCTGCAGGGTTATAGTTGTCAATTAGTTATTATAGCAATTTTTAGTAACATTTAACTCACTGTCTAAACTTGTTCAGCACCGTCATGTTCGCGTACATATAGTAGATATAATAAGCATATGGAGGATTTTCCTCGTAGGTCCACTCTTCAGGTCGCGGAACATCATTGTCAAAAAGTGGATTCTCTGGCTTGGACTCATCGTCCACCGAATCGAAACCGATCACGTACTGTAGGAAACGATGTAGCTCTGGATGCTGGCTGGGTCTGGCTGTCGCCTCGAAGAGCGGCAGGAATATATTATTCAGAATCTCCTGGAATGACTTCATCATCTTGTTCGACTTGAAGATATCGAAAAGTCGCGGTATCTGTATAAGCCAGCGAATGTTCGAGCTGTATACATCATTATCGATGGCCCATCTGGCCAGCTTGATCCACTCATCAGGGGATTTTCCATAGATGGAGAGACGAAGCTCGGCGTTCTGGTATTTGGACTCCTCCAAATCGAATGCCACTTCCTATACAAAAAAATCAAATATTATTAAGTGGTTTTTATGGATTATAAAAACAAACTTTACCTTTATGATCTGCGCAAAGTATTTGCCATTTAGATAGTTATCTGTCTTGAGGAACACCTCCCTGAGTCGCGACTCCCCAATTGGATTGTACTTGGAGTTGAACTTATCGAAGCGATGGAACGTATTCCTATCTGCGTGTACATCCAGCATATCAACGGTTAAATCATAGGTTGTCAGGTTCATTGATTGGAACACTTGGGCCAGAGTCATAGCCTGACCATTGGTGTGGGTCACCACCTCGTTGGCATTGTTCTTCAGTGTCTTTTTGATGAAGCGCAACAGATGCTTCTGGTTCATGCAGGATGCGGCATGGATATGGGTATCAACCTTGCGGGTATTGTAGAAATCACGATGTGGCACAGCCTTCTGGGCAGCCAGCTCCCGGAGTTCGTTGAGGAGTACGTGCATTTGGTATTTGGATGAAAGATAACAGAGACGTCGATAGCAAAAGGATTTCCTATCAAAATGAAGAGTTTTTTATATATTTTTTTTTATAATTTTAAAACAGAAAATACTTACAATGGCCCATCGGCAATCATATTGCACATGACCTGCATGTCGTTAACAAATTGGCTCATATCCGGATATTCGAACTTGATCTCGCTGCTATCGTCCTGTAAAAATATATTTATTATAGGATTTTATATAGGTATAAGGTAATCCACTTGTGCTAACTTACATCATTCTCGTAAATGTGAAAAACTCCGTTTAGTGGCTTGATTCGGAAATCTTGATCTTCGGGAAACTCCACGTTCCACGGATTCGTCATCTTCATCTGCGACGTCCTCAAATGGGCGTCTGTTGATTCCTCAACAAATTTTGTGTCAAGTCAAAGGTGTGATTGTGTTTTTTTTTTGGTTGATTTAGAAATTAAAAAATAGAATTTTGTTTAGTTGCAAAGGCTATCGATCAGCATTGGTAATTGGTACAGTTAGTGGCAAAAACTACACTCTACACTCAGGTGTTTGTGCGAGTGTTAATCTTAGAAAATGTTTGGTGTTTCTTGTTAAGTGCTATAGAGTGGATCTCAGATGACTTGAAATTATATATTTCTATAGATTAAGTCAAGAGAGTTCTATTCTTATCTTAAAATACATCTAAGTTCCACTCTAGTGCGCAATATAACATTGATTTTTGTACTTGTTCTACAAAAGCTATTAAATTGATTGAGTTTTTCCTTTTGTACAAGGCTTTTCCTTTTAAAAGGGCCGCAAAGTGAGTGACAAACTGCGAGAGTTTAACTTCTAAGCGTCTACAACATCAGCTTTAGGCGTGTTTTTGTCTTGTTCTTGGTTAGCAAAAGTATTTAACACACAAACAAAGAAACTAACTAAAAGCAAACAAACACAAAGTAACTTATGCAAAACGTTGTGTAAATTTAAAAGTAAACGAAAAACGAGGAAAACTCCCATGCGATTTGTTGATAGAAAAATCGAGCGAGCTAGCTTTAGTTGCTTAAGTGTGGCTAAATTTGTGTTTAATGCAGCAAGTCAGATAGCTGCAGGTTAGTGTGGCCAACTTTGCTGTTTTTTGCAATATATTTATAGTTGATTTACAACAATTACAAAACGGTAATGGCGAATTCGGTGAAGCCCAACTAGTAAGGTTGAATCAAAACTGTAGCTTTGAACTTTTCTTTTAGGCACAAAACATTTAAACATATAACAAACGGTTGGATATTACCCTAATTTGAAAACATAATCTTAATGAGAATCACACTAAATTGGCAACACTGTCTGCGTTGAAAGCAGCATTTGTAGTTTGTAGCTTTGAGGTTAGCATTGTGAAGCAAAAATTACGCAGAATAAGATGAAGCAGTGCTCAACGGAAATCAAATGTCAGGCGGAACGGAAGAAGGAGGAGTTGTTCTGCTTGTATTCAAATCGAACGTGGTAGGAAATTTTGGATAGGAGCAAGAGGTATAGGTTGTTGGAAATCAGGTGTGCACACGAATTACCTTGTATGCTCGTTACACTCATTTTACGAATGATGTCTATAAGAAATAATGAAAAATACGAGAAGAGAAATAAATATTCGGTACAAAATCAAATTGAAACAAAAAAAAAACAACGGGCTTAAAAGGCTCAAACATATAGTATGTAACAGAGAAAGGGAAATTCAAATGGAAAACAGATAGTAGCTCGTTAAAGTGGCTTTAAATAAAATTATAAAAAAAACGGGGACTCGAGCGGGGCAGCAGCTGCTAAGGCGGAGGCGAGAAATAGACGGACACACGAGCTGACCTCTGGAATTAAACGAGGTGGCAACACTAGCGCGTACAGTTTACACAAAACACACGCTAATATCAATATTGTATTATACATAATTCACTCGAAAGCAAATTAATTGCAATATACAAATAAATGTATGCATTTTGGTGCATCACAACACTTAAGGGACATCTGTACAAAATTGCTATTTTATACATATTTACATAACTGCGGTGAAATGGGTCGATTTCGATATCATTGGGCCGGATATGAATACTTTTTATGAGCTTGTTGGCTTAAATAAACATATAACCTATCCTGTAAATCGACCCACTCCATATAGAATGGATATAATGAAGGCACCACCTTATAAAGGCAGACCACAAAACTGAATTTGGACTCATCTTCTGGGAAAAAGGATTCTTGGGTTAATGAATTACATCAACTCACCCGATACCTCCTTGACGGGCACATTGTTAATGCGATCCTTAAGTTTCACCGTCTTGAGGAAACGCGCCGTAGTCGAGGGAAACGACTGATCCGACATGGCCATGTAGTGGCTGCGGAGACGAAGTGCTTCGATGAGCAAAGTCGATGCTCGCTCCAAATCCTCCAGGGGAACACCACTGGTGTCCTCCCCGGAAATGGAGACCCTTTGAAAATTAATGTCGGCATCGTTTCTGTCGACTTCAACAGCGGCATCGTGTTCCTCGGTGCTGCTAGATGATTCCCTGTGCGTTGACAAAACGGGAGCTGCAGGAGCGGGCCTGGTTCCAGTAGCCTGCCTGAAAGTACAAAATAATAAGAGAAGATATAGATTTTATAAATGCATTCAAATAAAATTGAAAAATATATACATTTTGGTAGTTTAAGCGGTGGAAGAGGGGAATCAAAGTCGATTATATCAGAAGTTTTAAGCTATCTTTGATACCACTCGTAATTCAAGATTTCCTATTGCACTGCTGACCATTTGGAATCGTCTGGTTGATATTCGTAGCAGCGCCCAAAGCTGTAGCTATCATCCGCGAAGGACATCCTGCTCTGACCAGTGACCACCGACTATTGGAGCACTCCGCTTTGAGTTGTCCCTTCTTTTGGATGGCTTCTCTCTCCTTCGAATACGGAGATGTTAATGATCGATTGACCGGTTGATTTATAGCAATGCGAAGCTACCGATTGCCACTAATTTGCAATCCAACACGCTATCAGTATAACTCTTGCAACCCCGTAGAACATAAACGTATTTCTTTAGTTGCCACAAATTGCGTGTTTTGGGGAAACTCTTTAAACTAAATTAAGATACTTCGATTGTCTTTTTGGCTAACAAACATTAACTCGGAGCTCTCTTAGGGTTAACTATTCATAAACAAACCGAATAAATACTTCGAATAATTTTTTACTTTCTTTAACAGCAATTTTGAAAAGTTTCTAGCCTTAGCTTATGATCTTAAAACACCTACAAATTCTATTAAAATTCTAGAATAACTTTATCACAAAAAAATAAGAAAATTTTTCAGATTTTTGTTAACTTTTAGATGGATATTCATAAGCCCCCTGGCTGGGGGTTTTGTCCCCTTTTTTTTCGAATGGCGTGCGAAACTTGTCGGGATTCTCGGTTTAAGCCAAAAAAACTTGAAGTGTCCGTGCAAGTTGGAAAGTTTTTCCAAACGCGCCGCTTCTTAGTTGCTTTTCTTTTATTTAATTTTTGTTTTTTAGCAACGCCTGGCGTGCGACACGAACAACAACGACGTTGGTGGAATTTAGTGGGGCAGTGGGTGGCGGTACGTTTGAGTGATTCCCCTTATTAGGAGGGCTCAATGTCAGCGGAGGTCGCAAAGGTAGCACCAGTATTGGCAGGTGGGAAACTTTTTGGGCCGCGTTTCGCGCCGTTGAGCTGCCCGTTTATTGGATCGGAGCGTACTGAAAGTGACGGAATCCGAGCCAGAACTCAACCGTTGGTTACACAGTGCTTCCCTTACTCATGGCGGTGGTGGTTCGTTATGCCATAAGCCCCACCACCGTCGTTTTTGGGTGGCATGGGCGAAAGTCCATCACCTCCAGCTGCGGCTGCCTAATGCAGTTCCATTCAAAATCAAAACGTGTTCTGCATCGGTCTACACTTTCGCCAAAAACCCGAAACCCGGACTCTAGCCCAGCCATAAACCCACTTTTGGATTAGCCAGGAAACACCCACCTGCTCTATATGGAACTACCCAACACCTGCAGCACCACCCTCTCGGATAGCCTGATAATTACGCCGCGTGCAACGACTAAACTTTGCGGCTGCCTCATTATGAGGCTATAGAAACTGCTCTGGAATGATATCTAAGCAGAGAATAATTTTGTTAAACATTTTTAACAAATTAGTCCAAGTGCAATTTAATATTTGTTCAACTTTTAGTAAACAAATATGTATTCTAGAAATATATTACTATTTATTTAGCATTTATCATTAATATTAAACTTAAAACTTTGTAATTTAATTAATATGTTTTCTTTCCATTGTTGAAGCTCATAGAATTGTTTTCTCTGTTGGATTAAATATTTAAAATGATTTGAAATATAGCATTTTGGCCTTGGGAAACATCTAACCTTAAACCAGACTTGCTGATAAGGGCTCGATCACGAGATCTGTGAACCCGTCGTACATTGACTGCCTTGCATGTAAAGTAAACAAATCAAAATCAGAACCGATTTAGGTTCAGATCTGATTAGTGTAAACAGACAATGGGGATTCAGAAGAACAGCGCAATAAATTAGGACTGACCCAATATTACATATAAGCTATGTACATAATGTGAATATACTTAAAACAAACTATTTTCTAGCGGGTGTCCAATAGTCGAATACCTTTTTTTCCATTCTATAGTCTGCGCTTGTGCACATTCCGCTATGTTATCTTTTCCATTCACTTGTCAGGCAGAGATTTTGAGATCCACCATATCCGCTAGACTTTAAATTGCCGAAGTGATAGCACAATACTATTTATAATTCACTTTTCCTTCTCTAAGCGATATTTGGTATTATTCAAGCTTTGACATTGAAAAGAAAAACAGAAATGAGATAGGAGCGAAAAGAATATCATTGGAAATCCGTTATCTCTTCTTTCGCTACTGTGCCTTAGTTCTCCTTCGCGCTTTACCGTTTTTTCAGCTTTCATTCATTCTTAAGCAAATACACATGTAGATATGTAAATTACACGCACATATTATTTTGGTTTTAGAAAGTGTTAACAATTAATAGAACAGTTCATTAAAAGTAATTGCAGAACTGTTTTTCTTGTTAATACAATTTATTAGATTAATGGTGAATTCAATTAATTTTGAATGCCCAATTCTAGGTCTGCTCTGCGGGACGACTGAAAGTTTATTGACCCGGCGTCTACTTATATGTACATATGTATGTAAATAGGGAACCTCGAGTATAAGGTAAACAAAGAACAGTGGTCCCGAAATATATTAATTTATTTTATTCATATGTACATACATATTTTAAACATTAAAAAGTTTTAAATTTTGGAAAGTTAAACGACATTATTTAATATTAATATTTAATAATAAATAAAAGCTATTTTAATTTTTTCACTAAGAAAAAATGAATAGTAAAACGAAGATCTTTGGAAAGCTCCCTTTCCCGGCTACCATTAAAGCTCTTCTTCTTCTTTTTTTGTTCTTCCTAGTTTTCAGTCTTAACGAGTCACTGACCTAATTAACACGCACATCGTGTAGTTGGATTTAAAAAGTGTTAGCAATTGATAAAGTAGTGCATAAAAAGTGATTGCAGGACAACAATTTTGTGTTTTTTAAAGTACTTATTGTTTTAATGGTGAATTTGGCTCTTTTTATTGCCAAAATGCAAAGGGTGCTGCGCGTGGCAAGTAAAAGTGTGTGAGTGGGCGTCTTCATATATGTACATATGTATGTATGAATGTAAGTTTTCATGTGCGGGTGTAAATTTATATGTACTTAAATCATAGTCGGTGTTCCTAAAATATATTTATTTCATTGATATTTATTTTAATAATTAATAAAAGTTCGTTGATTTTCAAGATTAAATGATTAATCGTAATGTTAGCTTGAAATATGATTTGAATACTTTGGCAATGAAGAAATAGGGAGGAGAAGCAAAACGAAGATCGTTGAAAAGCCCCTCCGCTCCCTTCTCGTCAACGAGTAAAAGCTCTCCCTCCCTTTCCCATTGCTTCTCACACCTTCCTCTTGCCATTCTTAACGCGTCACTGACCTAGTTAACACGCAGGTCTTGCAGTTGGTTTTAAAAAGTGTTAAAAATTATCAAAGTAGTGCATAAAAAGTAATCGCAAGACAACGTCTAGTGTTTTTTAAGTATTCATTGTTTAAAAAGTGAATTTAGCTCTTTTTAATGCCAAAATGAAAAGTGTGCTCCGTGAGACAAGCGAAAGTGTGTGAGTGGGCGTCTTCATATATGTAAGTTCTCTTGTGCAGGTATAAATTTATATGTACTTAAGATACCTCAAGTAATATAAAAAATCATGGTCAATCATTCTAAAATATATTAATTTCGTTGATCTTTATTTTTATAATTTATAATAATTTGTTGATTTGCAAAATTAAATTCTTGAATACTTTGATCTCAATACTTTGACAATGAAGAACTGATTAAATGAGGAGGAGAAGCAAAACGAAAATCATTCGAAAGCCCCTCTCTTCCCTTCTCGTCAGTAAGTTAAAAGTTCTGCCTCCCTTTCCTCTCTTTCCCATTCTCACACCTTCCAGATCTCATTCTTAAACGAGTCACTGACCTAGCTAACACGCAGGTCTTGCAGTTGGTTTTAAAAAGTGTTAAAAATTAACAAAGTAGTGCATAAAAATTAATCGCAGGACAAAGTTTAGTGTTTTTTAAAGTATTTATTGCTTAAATTGTGAATTTAGCTCTTTTTAATGCCAAAATGCAAAGTGTGCTCCGTAAGACAAGTGAAAGTGTGTGAGTGGGCGTCTTCATATATGTATGTATGTAAGTTCTCATGTGCAGGTGTAAATTTACATATATCTACTTAAGATACCTCATGCAATATAAAAAATCGTGGTCAATCATCCTAAAATATATATATATATATATATATTAATATATATATTATACATATTAATTTCATTGATATTTATTTTAATAATTAATATTAGTTCTTTGACTTGCAAAATTAAATTATTTAATTTAATGTTAACTTGTAATACGATCTCAATACTTTGACAATGAATAAATGAGGAGGAGAAGCAAAACGAAGATCAATCGAAAGCCCCTCTCTCTTCCCTTCTCGTCTGCAAGTTAAAAGCTCTCCCTCCCTTTCCCTTTCCTTCTCACACCTTGCAGTTCTCATTCTTAGCGAGTTACACACCTGAGTTAGACGCACCTTTTGCAGTTGGTTTTAAAAAGTGTTAAAAGTATTAAAAAGTGGTAAAAGTGTTAATTAAAAGTGATCGTAGGACAGTACTTGGTGTTTTGTCAAGTCTGAATTGATTAAATCGTGAAATAAACTAATTTTTATATTGAAATGTAACGGGTGCTCCGCGGTGAAAGTGAAAGTGTATGTGTGCAGCTCCCCATATCTACATGTACATATGTACATACATCTTCACATGACGAATATTCGGAGATAGAATAAAAACGGTAAATGGAGTAAGGTGGACGAACAAGGTTAGTGGCGAACTTTGTACTCATTTCGGTAATACCGAAAATACTTACTCAAAGTCGATTTTAGTCGACTTTGATGTTTGGCTTGCCAAACGGATTTTTGATATAATATTATTATTACCTATTATTTTGCCGAAATGCGAATAAAACTATAGCGTTGAAGTGCGGAGGTAAGTATGTATGTCATATGTATTACATACACATAAATATGTACTTATAAGAAATATATTCACAGTAAATGGACAACGAATATGCATTACTCTATTTTTAACAAATCCCAATCAATCTTAACATTGAGTAATGTAGGAATATTAAGGTAAGTGTATCCAAAAAATATATGTTTTTATATTTATTTTTATATATATTTTTTAATATTTACTTTTTTAATATTTATTTTTAATATTTATTTTTCTATATATTTTTTTAATATTTATTTTTTTATATACACTTTTTATATTAATTTTTTTATATATTTATTTTCTTTACTTTTTTTTTATAAATTTTTTTTAATTTATTATGCTAACATCGAAAGAAAAAATGAATTTACTTTGAAAGTTTCGTCAAATAACATTATTATTTTTTACCGCAATATTATTTTTGAGTTATTTTGTTTAAATAATCTATTTCGCTGTTTTCCATGTCGACATGAAAATGGCGCTCCGCGGGACAAATTGAGTTAAAATATTATATGCATATTTGCATATAATGAATAGTATCGAACATCGAGGTTTGTGGTAATGAAGTATATCTTATTTCTATTTAAAACAATATTCTAATAACGATAAATTTATCTATTTGTTGCACCGCGAGATGACCCCAAATATGTATACATAAAAAAGTATACATTGATGATGATGAACAACGGTAATGCTAAAATCCAGGTAAACTTAACTAATAAATTAAAATTGTAAAAAGTATCAAACAATGAGGTATGTGGCATATATATGTGTATTTCATATTTTTGGTTTTACAAATTCTAATAATGATAAATTTGTTTATTTGCATTTGGCGCACCGCGGGAAAAGCAGTTTTTATCACTACACACACCATCTACACTACTTTCATCAAAGAACACTCAACAATCAACCGTTCCCGAAAATCATCTTCAAATATATGGAGTAAGGTTAGTGCCCGGTTTATATATTTTTCTATTGATAATTATTTCGAAAACTCAAAGGAGTGTATAAACGACTTGATTTCTCCACATATTACTATGCAAGACATAGATAATTCCTCGAATTTCTTATTTCTAATATTTTATATCTGAGCTAAAGTAAATAAATTTTACTTTAGCCTCAAATATAAGGCTTCTCAATTAGGAAATATAGTATATATCTTATATTATATTATATATTGTATATAATATATTATATATATTATGTTATTGATCGAAATATTCAAAATCAGAAAGCTGATGGATGGGAAATGGGCTGCCAATGTCCAAACCTGCAGAGCAAGATTATTGCTTGCTGGGTAAAGGGTATCTTAGAGTTGAGTCTGTCGACTATATCATTCCCTCTTGTTTCTTATCAGGCTATGCAAATATAACCTTCTGTTTTTGTCACAACTTAAACTTACATATTTGAAACGTGCTGCTTCATCTAATTGTTTTGATCACTGTCCGATCGTGCTAGTTGCAAACCGTGAACGTAAGACAGGTTCAAAATCCTATCAATAACTGATTAAACCTTTCGAAAACTGTAATATTTTATAATTTTCATCATTTAATGCTTCATTATCGCAGTCTTACTGATAAGCTTCAATTAAGCCAATCAGTTTTAAATAAAATCTCCTATTTATTTATAGTAATATTCGTAATAGTCTAGACTGATTTTTAGTGACATTTTCATTGTTTTACTTCTTATAAAATAAATATAGTTTACTATACTCACTTTTCATTGAGATGACGCTGGATTTGCAGCTTCTTTTCGATCTGTTCAATGGGAAATTGTGGCACCTCGTATGGAGCCGAGATCTCGTTGGTCACCTCCACATCAGCTTCAGCCTTCTCATCTACGGGTGAATCGGTGAGGTCACCTGAAAATAAGAAATATTTATTTAGATTTGATTCGAAACATTAGATTAAGCAGATGTTTGAAAAATGTGAGAAAGTTATTAGATTTGCAACAGTGAGGTTCTAGTTTTTTTTTTTTCATTTATATATCTTAAAGTCTATAACCTACTAAGATCGTCTGATGAGATAGTGGGCGTGGTAGTAAGATTGCTGGTATCATGAAGTTGATTTCCCATCGATCCACCATAAAGCCGAACATCGACTCGTAACCGATGAGCGGTATCCATGCGATTGAAGTTCATGGTTAAAACAAAACAAAAAAGTGCAACGTGAAAACCAGAAAAACTTAAGATCGTGCTGAGATGTAACTTGGTCGAGAGTTGTCGCTTAAATGAAATGGGAAAACATCGAAGATCGCAGATTGGAGAATTCCAGGCCGAAACCTACCAACGCCGACAGAGGCAGAGACAGCGACAGCGACTGCAGCAGAGTCGCATCATTTTAGACAGCAAAGCAAAAAATAAAAAACACTGCCACTCCCAAGAAAAAACATCTAAACAAAATTGATTACAGATTGGCAAGCAAACAACATTTTAAAAATCAGAGTGCACTGAGGGAAAACTATAAGTTATAAAGGTGAAGTCAGGAATAATCTTAAGAAGATTTTCTAATGTTGATATATAAGCGTACACAAGTATTTGATTAATGTTTACTTTTATTATTTTTTAAATTTTATACAATGTAACATAACAACAATTTTAAAGCATGGGAACTATTATCATTATTCAAGTTCGTTCTTAAAAGATTAATAAAATCTTTTTCGATCGATTTTGAAAATAAATCATAGATCTAATGCTATGAAAATGTACTCCTGTTATAGGAATATAAAAATTAATATTAACAAACATTAATCAGGTAAATTGACATTAGAAAAATCTTTAGTAAGAATTTTTTTTAATTTACTTGCTTATAAAAAGCACCCAACTATTTTGCTCAGTGTAGAAAGAGAAGAAGCGGGGTAAGGTGCACTGTGACAGGGGAGATAGTAAAAACACTGGTAAAATCAAAACACGCACTCAACAAACAACAAACAAGATGAAAACACTGATTGAGGCGATTCGAAGTTGAAATACACTTCAAGGTCAAAAACAAGAATAAATTCTTATCACTGTGGAAGCAAAAAATCTCGAGGAGTGAGAGATAATTTTAAGTCTTGTAATTATCTTAATTGTAAAATTTAAAAGCTAATTATTATTGTATTAAGATTAGAGATAAAACAAATAAAATTTATGTAACAGCTTTTGATCCGATTTATTAATTTAAAGTGGGCTGGTTTTAGTTAGTCCTTTTCTTATAAGGAAAGACGCTAAAAAGTTTTCTTCTGAGACCTTTTTCGACCCCTAAATAGGTTTTATAGAGTGTTCTTAGATGTTATAGTAAAACAGTTGTTCATTCGTATCCCGTATCGTATATAGACAAAACGTTTTTAGATTCCTAACAACCATATCACAGGGTATAATAACTTTCCTATATTTTTATATAGGTTAGTGAGACTTGAGAGACGTTGCGACTGATTGGCTGCGCAGCGACTGAATAGCGACACTGAAATAATTTATTTACTTAGTAGACTTCATTTAAATATTTTACAAAATTATTTCGCACAAGATATTTATGTTGATCATTCAAATAAAATGTATTATTTCTTTATAAATGAACTTCATTACAAGTTTTTAAACCCTTGAATGTAGTTCAATCTTAAAGCAGGTTTGTGATATAAAAACGTATACAATTTGTATAGCTAGGAATTTTCTTGAAGTGTAGCATATTGCTGTTTTTTAGCTTAGTGCTACAGGTTTTGTTTTGAGTGAGAGTGCTTTAATGTGTGCGTGGGAGAGTGAATGTCTTTCTATTGCTTTCTTTTTTCAGCAGAGAAGTGAGAGACTAAAACAGAGAACAAAAACGCAGCCAAATACACAGATATATATAAACATATGTATCTAAGTTCCAAAATGTCATACAATTTCATATGCTTTTAAAATTACGTTAAGAAGAAAGAAAAAGTCTAAAAAAAATGCAACTTTCTTATAATATTATAGAAACGTTTAACGTTTTTATAAAGTTTTCAATCTAATTACGATTTAAAGAACAATATAGCTGACCGAAATCAGCTTTAAACTTATCTAAAAAAAAGTTTTAGTAAGTTTTTACTAATGAGTGGGCTTATATCTCAATATTCTGTAATGGCTAAATTCTTAGCAATTTTTTTAGATACATTTTCTCTCTGTGTACCAAAAGGTCAGTGGGTCAGTGATCGTTTTGCATGCACTTACACGGACAGCGATTTGGGGTAGCCCTTTGGGGCTGGGATATGGATGAGGACGTGTTGAGGACTTTGCTGCCGGTCTTGTTCACATTTGTGGTCGGATGGGACATCACTGAACCTTCAAAGGACTCCATGCCAGGAGCGCCCCTCTCTGCGGACGAGTCGTCCGAGGTGCTTAGCATTCCGCGGTACGACATCTCGACTTGATCTTTGGATCCTGCGATCCTCACAATCTTAACTATTTGCGATCTGTTTTCTTGTTTATTTTGGATAACTTTTCGTTATTTTTCCTCCTTCTATATTGTTTTATCAATTTTGATTTTCCGGCTGTGGAGAATTTTTGTCGTGTTTGTGTGTTTTCTTTTTTATTTGAGTTTTTTTTTATGTAATTCTCCCGGTGACAGGTGTCGCCGCCTGTGCTTGAGATTCTGCTCTGGGGCAATGTCTTGGGACAACTGTCGGCACGGATCGTTGGGATATATACCGCCCGCGATCGGCTGCACTTAATATAGTTTGAATTCTGTCCGACGCAATTCGCGCATCTTCTACGCGCTTGTCTTTGGCCTTTGTTTGTCTCCGTCTCCGTTTTTCCTCAGTTTTTTCTCTCTCTCATTATATATTTATATGTGTATATATTTCACACCTCTCCCGATCTCAGCGGATCCAAAGTCTATATATCGGGTAAAGTTGTAAGGAAGCTTTTAGCGCTCACAAAAAAGCTCAGAAAGCCCACAATGTTTGCTAATTATAAACAATATTTTGGATAAACAAAATGCATGTAGCCCATGTTGAGGGGATCGTAGGAAATGGGGGTCTTTCAAGATCAAAGCTCTTTGAACCCAAGTGAAAGGCAGTAGGGATTGCAATTAAAACAAAAGAAAACAATGTTTTAGATTTTTAAAATGTAACTTTTAACTTTTGCAGAGGTACAAAATACTTTAAAAATTTAGATATTTGAAAAATTTTAAGTGGGAAAAGAAAAGTACACATTTTTCTGTGGAATATCAGCAGAAGTTTAAAGTTTTCTTTGATAATAATCACTTCTTGGAAATCATATCAATCTGACTGTTTATTCTTCATAAAGTCTATGATTCATTATATAGAACACCAAAAAAATGATACATTTCGGTGATATTTTCATTAGATTGCCAACTGGTAACGATGATAAGATTGCTATCTCGATATGGCACTTCAATTTCTAGCTACTATTTATAGTTTTAGTCTGGTAATTTTCCTCTATTAAGGAGGGCTCGTCTCGATTTGTTTAACAACCTGTCAGGGGCACTTAGCCCCTGGGTTTATCAATAGACCCCCCTCCCAGATGGTAGCCAAAATTGGAATTGGAAATTGAAATTGGAAGTACCGATGGTTAGCAGTGGGTTGTTAATAACCCATGGGTTGTTTTGATAGCTTCATACAGCAATCGGTTGGTTCAACTTGATATTATATTTTCAGCTCTGAATGCAAGTCATTGTCAGTTCATTTGCCTTATTTGCCAGCTGTGCGATATATATACTATATATTTTTGTTCATATATATGTCATATATATATATATATATATATATATATAGAAAGATGGACATATAGACATGAATATATGTGTTTTGTTTATCTGTTGGTACGTTTTAATTTATTATTCGATTGTGCTTAAGCTTATTTCATTTTATTTCGTTGTATTTTTGGCACAGCTCTTTGTTTTGTATTTATTGACCGAATTGCGAACTTATTAATTGCTGCGTTTTGGCCTTTTCTTGTTTTGATTTTTTCGGGCAAAGTGCCCGACAAGATTCACTATTGATTTTCATTTCACAAAGCAAAAATATATAAATGGCAAAAACTTTCCACCTTGCGTAACCCCGAGGAAAGAAGAAATCAAAGAACGTGTTTGACTTTTCCGATGACTTGATACATATTCCGAACTTGCCGCTCGATTCGACTTCGCGCAGTCAACTGACTTTGATTTTCCACTCATTTTTATCCGTTTGTGCTTGGAAAATTTTCGCTTCATACATATATGTAATAATAAGCTATGAATATAAACAGTTGATTTGGCATGACTATCTGCAGTCAGTCTCGTTTTTCAGTAGAAAAAGTAAAAAGGGAAAATAAGGAAGAGAAAAGTCAGCCGGAAAAGAGCGTAAAGTTTCCTAAAGAGAGAAAGCCGGCGGCACGGAACCACAAATAAATCATTTAGAAGCTTAAACAATAATAATATCCATATATCGCGTGGGTGAGTGATTGTATGTGTGTGTGTATGTGTGTGTATGGGAAATGGTGTATTGTTTTCTTTGTTTTTCCCGCCGACCGCCTTTTTAGTATTTGTTTCTAATTGGAAAACCCTGACCTATGTCTACACGACGGACACAAGCCAGCTGTCGTTAGCAAACAGTGAAGGGAAATCAAATAGGACCAAGATGTTTTAAATAGGAACTAAGGATATAAAATGTGCTGTATAGTACTCTTATGTTTCCTATAATAGTTGGTGTTTATAATATATAAACTAACATTTATGTATATTATAATTTCAATTTGATTTGATGGCTCATATTTATCTGGCAACTTGTGTGGATTGTATAGAGAGCCTTTTGCCATTTGGTTCTTTGGCTTTTTTCCCCCCTCTTCAGTTGATTGAACGCAACACATTTCTCATAAAGCGGTGGACACATGTCAACCCAATGACTGCCCCAATTGAGTTGGATGATGATGATGATATAAGTATTAGTTGGGATATGGCCACTAGATTGGTCAGATAATAGATAATGGGAGCTATAGTAACGATCGTGAATAATGCAACTATATTTATATATGTGTACTTCGAACTTGAATTTGAATGTTGTTATTCACGGAGGTTATTTATAGACCGATAAGAGAGTAGTACTGCGGCGCACAAAGCAAAAATTAGTTATACAAAGTTGTAGTTTTATATTCAGACATGACAATCAAGTTTGGTTAAGGGAAATGAAATTATAATGTTAAATTATTAGTTAGATATTTGAAATTTCACAAAGTATTATTCGAAAAATTGATACTAAAGTCACCTGATTTTTTACTGTGCACAAAAACTTGAATATCAAAGGTGCTGATAAGAGACTAAAAGAACATAAACTTAAGAAGTGGAAACATAGAGAAGAGGAGAATAAAATCAGAAGAGTTGCACTGAAAAAAATTAAAAATTCAAATGTAAAAATTTAAGGACACTTTAAAATATGTTTTTTATAAAGTAAAAATGTGCTCAATATTAACTTGATTTGAACGTGAAATAATGCTTAGTTTTTACCCATTGAAAGGCCACGTGGTGCTTTAAGGGATCCATAAATTCAGCTGGTCAAACAATAAATTCGCCCTGCCGTGCACTAGAGATTAGATTAAGTCCATTGGACTGCACTAACAATATGGAGTTGGGTTTCTATTTCGGAGGGTTTGGTTTTCTTGGGTGTTGGGGTTTATGGTTTTGGAGGCATCATCGAAAACACCCAGAAAGCAACCTTCTAAGCGATGAGTCAGAGCAAATAACAGCGGCTAATTGGCCCACATACAGGCTGGCCCATAAATATAAATGTCTCTCTCACTCGCTATGCCAGCGCCTGCTTTCGCATGAGTTTGCCTCATGTTTAACCAATTTCCTAAATGGCTTTGTATTTGCTGTTGGTTTTTCCCATTGCGTTTGTTTGCTGCATCAACAAAAAAAAACCATATAGAAACGCAAAAAATGCGAAAGTAAATAAAAAAAAAAACAGTACTTACAGAGCATAAAAATAATGAAAAAGACAAATGAATTAAGAAAGAGAACAATTAAGTTAGGGAAAACATTGGCTTAGTCGCGGGAATGTGAGATAAATCAGGTGGAATAATACTCAACCTATTCAGAAAACGAAGGAAATATAAAACTTAGAAGTTCCATATAAAAAGATTGTAAGCTAAAAACTAAACTTACTACTAAAATACTTTAAAGCTAATCCAAAATGTCAATTCAACTTCAATTTAAATAAATCTTAAGAATATTTCCCTCTTTCACAATCCCATTCAATTAATTGAGCTAAATCTTTTTGCTAATAAAGCAGAACTACAATTTCAAAGCAGATAAATTAGAGCTTCATTAATCAAAACGATGAAGTAAATATGATAATTTGTACAGAATGAAAGCATACAGCTTCTTGCAATTTATAACCATATTTTCTTGGCAAAGAAACCACATCTGACCCAAAAAAGGGGAAAAAAATCGAAACTAGAATGACGTCACTTTATGGTCCACTACCACAAGCATACGAGGGGGGGAGAGAGATACATTTATGTATATGTAGAACAAGAGCCCAGCTTGAACAGCGGAGATAATTGTAGGGCAACAGAGGGATTCCTCATCAAAGGAGCAACCTCCATCATCATCATCATCATCAGCGGAGGAACTAGTGTACTTTAGTCAGATAATTTATGCACAGTTACTAGCACGCCTCTTTCTCGCTGACTGATTATAATAATTGCACGTCATTACAACCACAAAGGCATTCTAGCACACTTACACACTCGTGCATTATACACACACACACACACTTATGCATTCTGTGCGTGTTTTTTCTTTTGACATGGAAGTGGAAATATTTCACGGCGATGACCAGTAAACGAAGTGAACGAAGGCGCAAAAGTCAATGCATCCCACATACTCACACATCGGTATATATTTCACCCACACACGTATGCAGAGGCGTACTTCGTTATAGGGGGCGTGGCTGGTAAATGGGGTCAGAACTTCTCTGTTCTATGGGTTCTTATGTTCTTAACAGAAACCTGTTTCTGTTTAGGTTTTTGTACTAAACAAGTGAAAGGTTCTTAAGAAAGTAAGCTTCTTCCTGTCATTTCTTCTATAATAAAGTAATCTTGTATTACAATAATCAATAGTCAATTTTTAATACTAGGTAAATTTAAAAATATTATTCAAGTTATAGAGTTTTCTTTTCGAGTTATAGAAAGGTAGAACAATTTGTATATTTTTTATTCCAAAAAACCCTCTTTGAAAAACCCAGCGTACACCCATGGAAAAGCCAATCATTTATGCGCAAAAAATAAAATAAAATGGGTTTCTTTAAATGCCAATCAATTTGTTTACCTTTGCAATTCCGCAATATGCATTGAAATGTTCTTTAAATTCCACAAAAGTAATTTCCATATAAACGAATTTGCATAATGAAGCCAAAATATTGCAAAAAGAATAATAAATAAATCAAATATTTAATTAATATACATCTTAAAGATAATACAAATATTTAGCAGGCTGTAAAAATATGTTTTTTTAACAATATTCCTCATTTGCTAAACAAAAACTGCAATTGGAGTTGATTTATACAAATAAGTTAAGAAATAAACTTAAAAGAACTTTTCAACTTTGAAATAAGCTTACATATTACAATTTTTCGTAAAAATATCATTAATTTTATTCAAAGAGTGTTTTTTTAGCGAATACATACTGTAATTTATGTATTCCTTTTTCTATACCTACACATTGATCAATTAAAACATAATTAAATATCCCCTTGAGCAAACCCACTCGACGTCCCTGTCTTTACACGCAAGCACACGCACACACACACACACAACCCCGCCCCCTCACTGTCGTCAGCCGCCCATGCTCATGTCCATGTCCACGCCCACAATGACACACTCACCGCCTTTGCGC